GGTACAGTTTTAAAATTAAACTTAGTATGAAAAGATCCGGCCCCTATTACGAAAATTGAGTTTCCCGTATTACGAAAAGTTCCGGGCCGAGGGTTCGAATGTTTTCTAAAAACACTGTACCCCTTGTTAGTCCTTTTCGTAATTGCACCCAAAGATTCTTCACGTGAGTCCGCTGCAAAATTTCCTATTTTGGTTATTAGCTACTTAAGGACGTGGAGGGGAAAGACAATACATGGTAGAAGCAAATTCTTATTATATACTGCACTAGCATGTCTCTCTTGGCTGGTGATGAGAATCAAATGCTTTCAGAATTACCTATCTAGGTAGTGTCGATTGTCTTTTTACTCTAATCATCATTCACATAATAGATCTGAAACTTCCTTGGCTAGCATGTAAGTGTACCAGTTACTTGGCGCAATCAAGTGCTACCACAAGTAACTAACTACGAGCAGGAAGAATGACTTAGTGGGAATGAAAATTCCATAACGTTGAGATTGTTTATAATTCAATTTTTGTTGCACAGGACCTTCAGACAAATATTGTGGATCCGTTGCACTACATCACGCGAGACCAATCTGCAGTGCAACTATTCCTACGCCTTCTCTTATCGTAACATTTATTATACTATACACTATCCCTTCAGTGGTTTCTTTGGGGCACGCGATTGGATCTTGATTCTACTGTACATGTCATTGATCTTCCGACTAGGAACTTTGGCTGGCCAGTAAAGACTGGCATACGACCACAAGTGTTTTTTCATCTTCTCTTTTTGACTGCTCTTTGCTTGGTCCACCTGTTCTCCAATGAAATCACCAATCAAAATCAACTCGCTTCTCAAGGTGTTGGCCCATTCATGTTTCTCCATTCCCTTGTTACCACGGTGCAATTTCATCAAGGACTTGGATACCGGCTTAAGTGTGCTCTTACAGGCACCCTCGTCCATACTCTCATATTCCAAATCTTCAGAAGGCTCGGCCTTGACTGTAGCAGCCACAGGCATCTTTTTGGGCTTTCTTTGAACATCTGGCGACTGTGCCTTACTAGAGCGCTTTCCGTTGCTTGCTGCTGAAATATTGCTGCCATTGCTTGGTGCTGGGGAATCGGTCTTGGGCTTTCTCTTCTTCTTGACTGAAGTAGTACTAGATGCAGAGCCAGGGCTGTCGTCCTGACCATTTAACAAAGTAAACAAATAGTCAACCCGTCTTCCCAAGTGAACAGAACCAGGAACTTTTTTGTTGGCTTTCTCCTCCTTGGTTTCTTTTCCAGTAGCGCCCTCCAAGAATAACTTATTTTGCAATCCGAGAACAGGGTCGTCACGAATTTGGACCCATGACCCGTAACCAAATTTATATACACCAACCAATAACATGGCATCATCCTTTGGTGACCATTCGCAAGACCATGCACTTACTTGCTTAGGTTGTTTAGGTAATTCAAATTTGGTTGGATTATCAGCAGGCACCAACTCTTCCAAGAGTTTCATGTCAACTGGTCTGGTTAACACCAATTCAGCGTTAATATTCTTGACACCCTGGTATTCAAAGAGAACCGCTTTCTTTTCTTTCTTTTTGGCAATCCAGAGTGCGGTAGGATTATTTCCATTGGCATCAACAACGTTTTTGTCTTTCAGCTCCATGGCTTTCTTCTCCAACTCGGCTAACACCTTGGTTCTTCTGTTTTCTTCTTCTTTAACCAATTGTTTGGACATGTTGATGATTTGATTGTAAGCATGCTTGATCAAAACGGGGTTCTTGTTCGATATACTTCCTTCTTCAACTAACAATTCCCACTTCCCAGTAAGATCACCAAGCTTTAAAATGGATCTGTATATTCCTCTGATCTCCTTCTCAGAAAGTTGATGGTCTCCAGCTGTTCTTCTTCTCTTCTTTCTTGATCCATCTTCATCCTCATCGTTATCATCTTCACTAGGTATTCCAGAGTCTCCGCCGTTTTCAAACTTACGCACGGTGGCCTTTCTTCTGGAGTACATGGCAATCTGCTCTTTCAAATATTCATCATCCGCCTTCTTCTTCTCTTCATCCTTCAATTTAGAAAGTTCTTCTTCAGGAATAATGTCATCCCATTCAACATCTGCCTTATAGTCAGTGACTTCGAATTGCTTCAAAAACTCTTCAGAACCAAGATTGGATTCTCCCAAATCAGGAGTAGTAACATGATCTTCGGCGTGGTTCAAGACTTCATCTAAGTTCAAATCCTCCAACTTTTTCTGGTTTTCGTTTGCTTTGAACATATTACCAGCGCCAAATTTTAAGATTTGAGTTAATTCATTAGCTGAAGGTTCAGTTTTTGACTTTTTAGAACTAGGATCTGTGATACCAAGAGAAATGATGGCATATTCTAAAATCATCTTTTTTCTAGCTCTTTCCAAAATTTGTTCTTCGACAGTGTCCTTACTAACAAATCTGTAGACTGAAACGTGGTTCTTTTGACCAATTCTGTGTGCTCTTGCCATGGCTTGTAAGTCTGCTTGAGGATTCCAATCTGAATCAAAGATAATCACAGTATCGGCAGTCATCAAATTGATACCCAAACCACCGGCTCTAGTGGATAAAAGGAAAACAAAATCTTGGGAATCTGGTGCGTTGAAGTGGTCGATAGAAATTCTTCTTTGGGCAGAGGGAATACCACCATCCAATCTTTGGAACTTGTAACCCTTAATGGAAAGGTAATCACCAAGAATATCCAACATTCTCACCATTTGTGAGAAAATCAAAACCCTGTGACCTTCCTTCTTCAATCTGGTCAAAAGTTGTTCTAATAATACCATTTTCCCAGATGACATAATCATACCTCTCAAAACAGTTTCACGAGAAGTAGAACCCACTTTACTTAATACTCTATCTTCGGCCCCATCAAATAAATAAGGATGATTGGATGCTTTCTTTAACTCACTCATAACATTCAAAAGGGAGATTTGAGATCCTTTATTACCAGCGTTCAAAGCTGAGTAATTCTTGGTGATAACATTTTTATAGTAATCGGTTTGCATATCTGATAACTCGACTCTCAAAATACGTTCTGTTTTAGATGGAAGAGATTTTTCCACGTCCTTCTTCAATCTTCTCAAAATGAAGGGTTGGATTTCACGTTGAAGGTCCTTAATGTACTCTTCTTGTTCATCATCAGGTGTTTCAAAGTCAATTTCCTGCTCGATATTGAATTTTCCAGGCATCAAGAAATTGCATAAAGCCGCAAGCTCTTTAATGTTATTTTGCAAAGGAGTACCGGTAATCAATAACCTGTTGGAGACTTTAAACAGCTTCAAAGACTCATACAAAGACGACTCCGCATTCTTCAATCTGTGAGCTTCATCGACTGCTAAGAACTGCCATTTGATTGAGCCCAATTCAACTTTATCTTTCAAAATATACTCATAAGTAGTCAATGCAATGTTGAACTTTGGCTTACCATTTGAATTATACCATTCGTAATCTCTTATAGTTTTTCTAGCTTGGGTGTTACCAAGGTAGTAAATACAATTCACTTCTGGTGCCCACTTTTCAAAGGTTTCTTGCCATGCAGGAATTGTAGATAATGGAACAACAACTAAATGAGGACCATTTTGTCTTCTAGCATAAATCAACCAAGATAAGAATGCGACGGTTTGAACGGTTTTACCCAAACCCATCTCATCTGCTAAAATACCGTTCTCGTTTCTTGACCATAAGAATGCCATCCAGTTTAATCCGGTTAATTGGAAATCTCTTAAGACTCCATTCTTGATAAAAACTGGCTGTTTGACCAACTTTTCAAATCTTGGTCTTGATGATTGTGGATAGTTAGCCGATAAGTTTGGCAAGATTTTTGACTTGAGCCTTTGCTGATATTTGGCTACTTGATCAGGAGATATGGTAGCAATCTCTTCTGCATCTTCCCACGAGCATTCGTCGTAATAGAGTCTTTTCCATTTACAGAAGTAACGAAGTTTACTCTCTCCATCTTCTTCGACTCTTTCGCTGTCGACGATTCTTTCCACTTGAGTGTATTCTTCCTGTTCGTCTCTTCTTCTTTCACGGTCAATATCCATGGCTTCTATGTCTTCCTTGGTAGTCAATGGGTCATTTCTGATTTCCTCATCCATTATGATGAATTGCTTGATGTAGTTATCAACTTTTCTGAACCCCTTGAAATCTTTAAGGGTAGTCCAAGACTCCCACGAATTATGAAGGTGAGATGCATCTGTCCACTTGATCTTGAATAGGAAATCGTATTTTGGATCGTCGGTCTTCTCGGGGTTCTCATCATTGGGTTTATGGTCCATAACAAGGTCGATACCACGTTCATTCTCAGTCTCGGTGGCCTGCTGATAGTAGTAGTAGTCCCCGTGGTCATCTTCATCGTCTTCAGCTCCGCTTTCAAGCAAATCATCGTCATTCTCGTAATCAACTTGATAGTTAACTTGTCTATTATTTCTAGCCGAGAATCTAAGCTCAACTGGAATCTCTTCGGCCTTCCTCTTTTTTACAGGCTTTCTGCCAGGTTTTCTCCCTACTTTAGGTCCCCTTTTAGGTTTAGCATTGCCCATTATGAAATCGTCATCTTCGTCTTCAATGTCATCTTCCACATCGTCGTCTTCATCGTTATCATCCTCGTCATAGTCATCATGATAGTCTCTCCTCTTTCTTCTAGGAGCCTCTTCTTCGCTGTCACTCTCAACTATAGCATTGGTTCTTCTCTCTCGATGTGATCTTCTCAAGCCATAGAGCTCGGGGTTTTCTGAAAGATCGTCAGGAATGTCTGGTCTAACCATTTTGGCTGGAGGAGTGCTATAATATCAATTGATGAAAAACAAAAGAATATGATTGGATGGATTCGGCGAATTCACGTATCTGTGGACTTACTTATCAGCCAGAATCTCTTCGAACACGGCACCACAAACACGATAATCAAACTGATAATTTCCACTATTTTTCCACCTATAATACAGGATGATACAAATGGCAGTAACGGGCTATAACAAAAGGAGCACAGTAACAAGTAAGTGTATCCAGTTACGCACAGGCGATATGCTATAGATTAGATAGATAAGTGTTCGTGTGATACGACCAGTGGTAGAATGTTGCAGTAAGGAAAAATTTTTGGAACGAGAACGGGAGAAATTTGTTGATAATTTTTTGGGCCGACGACGGCGACAAACAGCGGACGAGACCATTCTGGAAACGGTGCTTGGCACTATAACATAGGGTTAGAGCGAAAAACGCATAGAGAAGGGGAAATTACAACTGTTCATAAAATTCATAAATTCATTATATTGAAGTAATAATATAGATTTGCCTGGGGTGTGACTCCCCTGACAATAGTTCAGGGGTACACGACGACTCCAGATGCCCAGTAATAGTAGGAACTAGAGCAGAAATCAAATAGCTCCATCAATAGAGATGCGAGCCCGATAATTTTGCAGCCGTCAATCAAGCTCTCAAGAAATCCCTGATATTGTACGCAATGGATCCTTGGTTCTTGTCCCTCCTGACGTCATCAATCAAGAAGCGTTCGGAGAGTGACGTATTAGTCTTCAAAGTAGCTGCAAAAATGCAGTACCGTGAAACCTCAAGCTATGATCCGGAGTGGTCCAAATGAAATGTGCCAGTTTGATTCATTTGAGACAAATGGCCGTGTACTGGCAACGTATCCATCCTTCACTAAACAGAATTCGCGTGGAGCTCATAATACTTCATCCCGACTGCATTTCGAGCCCTCTGTTTGATGTGGGATGCGAGCATTGGTTCTCTTCCAAGCTCCACAAGTTATAATTGCCGAAATCGCAAAACGAGCAAAACATAACACTGACAAGCCGAGTAGTTCCATTAACTTCAAAGAGATGACTTGGTCTTCTGACTTGCTTGATTCCAAATCCAAAAGTAACCACTGTGAAGTATGGAATGTTTTTGGGTCGATTTTACGCAAGCCACATAGTTCGTGCCACGAGCACGTTTGGGAAGAATAGCTGCCAGCTTGAGAGTATGGACATTCCAGAAACGACAGCTTAGACGCGTGTTGCTAGGCGTGGCTATCTTCTGTTCTACCAAGAGGGCCCCAGGAAACTGGAGGGTTTTATTTCCTTGGATGTACGGCTATTTGGAACACCCACAAACCGATAACTCTGCTTCAGCCTTCGCAAACATGGGTTGCAACAACATCCAACTCGATTACCAGTATTCCTTCAAAAGGTTTTGGAACTCCAAGAAATCACAATCGGTGATGTTCGAGCTGAAACACACCGAAACGAGCAAACCCACTATAGTACTAGCATCTGTACTTCGCTAGTGAAGTATCAACTATCAGTAGCTTTGGCCTGCAGTAGAAGGTCCTGGTAGGATGAGGGCATTTAAGTCTGTAGGAAGCCACCACTATGGGTGGCTCTTTATCAAGTGTCCTAATCAAACATGATCACGGAACGATGGATAACAGCTATTCAAATAAGAATTACCCCAACACAAAACACAACCTTTTGAGGATAGTTGTAGAAGTGAATAGTATGTTTGAAAATTAGTTCAGGGGAAACTGATGATGGGCGAGCACGACTGGTGCGCGTTCCTGATTGGCTGATTAAAACAGGCAGTTACGTTGGGCAGTTCACGTGCCGAATCACGTGCGCGACATCATCAAGGTGGCCAATGACTTCATGATACTGCTTAAAATGAAGTGCCAGGCCACTTCGGAAGAGTCTCCTTGTCAAGCTCGACCATTGCTTCACAAAGAGATAAGGCCAATGGACAGTACGCGAAGGAGTGACGTCCGAGTATAATTCGTCTCCTGTTGTGGCTTAAGGTGTAGATAACCACTACTTAATATGAGGTGTGTCACATGACCATTCAGCCAGCATACTCTTCCCCTGCAAAAAGAACAGGAAACGCTTACGAGCCCAAGCAGTTTTGGCAGAATATACGCAGTCCCAACGGGCACGATCTCGTCTATCCCACCAGGCCATATACACACCATTTATTGGAGACGTCCCAGTAACTGTCCAATCACATCTGCTCCTTAGTAATGGACTCATACTAACGCGCAAAACGCCTTCACGCGTAAATTGGTTCCCTAACTAAACGCGCGAGTGACACAAAAACACCCTGAAAAAAAATTGACAAAAGATGCCTCCATCACAATTCTACCTACATCAACATAGACAGAAATGAGTACCAGTTCGAAGAATACTAGAATTGCCATTATCTCTACCGATAAGTGCAAGCCTAAAAAGTGCAGACAAGAATGTCGTAAGAGTTGTCCAGTTGTCAAAACCGGAAAATTGTGTATTGAAGTCACTCCGACCTCAAAGATTGCCTTTATTTCGGAAACTTTGTGTATTGGTTGTGGTATTTGTGTGAAGAAATGTCCTTTCGATGCCATTAACATCATCAACTTGCCAACCAACTTAGAGGCTGAGACCACCCACAGATACTCGGCCAATTCTTTCAAATTGCACCGTTTGCCAACTCCAAGACCTGGCCAGGTTTTGGGTTTGGTTGGTACTAACGGTATCGGTAAGTCTACCGCCTTGAAGATCTTGGCTGGTAAGCAAAAGCCTAACTTGGGTAGATACAATAACCCTCCAGACTGGGAAGAAATCTTGAAGCATTTCAGAGGTTCCGAATTGCAAAACTTTTTCACCAAGGTTTTGGAAGATGATATCAAGGCTATTATCAAGCCTCAATACGTCGACAACATTCCAAGAGCTTTGGCCAAGTCTCCTGTCAAGGAAGTCGGTGCTATCTTGAAGTCCAAGTTGGAAAGACCTGAAGCCTGGGATTACATTATCCACGTCATGGAATTAGGAGGTGTGATGAACAGAGAAGTCGCCAACTTGTCCGGTGGTGAATTGCAAAGATTTGCTCTTGCCATGACCTGTGTCCAAGCTGCCAACGTCTATATGTTCGATGAACCATCTTCTTACTTGGATGTCAAGCAAAGATTGAGAGCTGCTGAAATTATCAGATCTTTAACCACTTCTGGAACCTACACCATTTGTGTGGAGCACGATTTGTCCGTCTTGGACTACTTGTCGGATTTCATCTGTATTTTGTACGGTGCCCCATCCGTTTACGGTGTTGTCACCTTGCCTTCTTCCGTTAGAGAAGGTATCAATATCTTCTTGGATGGTCACATTCCAACCGAAAATATGAGATTCAGAACCGAATCTTTGCAATTTAGATTGGCTGATGCAGCCGATGATTTTATCCTTGATAGAACTAACGCTTTGGCTTATCCTACTATGGAGAAGACCCAAGGTGATTTCCACTTGAAGGTTGAGGCTGGTGACTTCACTGACTCTGAAATCTTGGTCATGATGGGTGAAAACGGTACCGGTAAGACTACCTTCTGTAAGTTGTTGGCCGGTGCTATTGCCCCAGACGGGGGTAAGGAAATTCCAAAGTTGAATGTTTCCATGAAGCCCCAAAAGATTGCTCCTAAGTTCGCTGGTACTGTCAGACAATTGTTCTTCAAGAAGATAAGAGCTTCTTTCTTGCACCCTCAATTCCAAACCGATGTTGTCAAGCCTTTAAAGATTGAAAACATTATTGACCAAGAAGTTCAAACCTTGTCTGGTGGTGAATTGCAAAGAGTTGCCATTGTTTTGGCCTTGGGTATTCCAGCTGACATCTACTTGATCGATGAGCCTTCTGCCTACTTGGATTCCGAACAACGTATTATCTGTGCTAAGGTGATCAGAAGATTCATTCTCCACGCCAAGAAGACCGCTTTCATCGTCGAGCACGATTTCATCATGGCCACTTACTTGGCCGACCGTGTCATTGTCTTTGAAGGTAAGCCATCCAAGGATGCTCTTGCCAAGGCACCAGAGTCGTTATTGACTGGTTGTAACAGATTCTTGAAGAACTTGAACGTTACTTTCAGAAGAGACCCTAACTCCTTCAGACCAAGAATCAACAAGTTGGACTCCCAGATGGACAAAGAGCAAAAGGCCTCTGGTAACTACTTCTTCTTGGACAGCTCCGAGTTGTAAAACCGACTGTTGCTACAGTTTTGAATGGAGGGACTTGGCTCCCGACCTTGTACATTAGTTTTTCAATTGCATATGCTCATCATGGTTGGAAAGTCTACACATTTGACGTTCCATGACCGTTACTGGTATTGGTATGATGATCTATTTAATAATATATCCTCGTATAACACAAATGTAGTCATGTGACGAGCCCATTTTATGCTTGCGACATCATACAGATAATAGCAGGCAAAGCGTCATAAAACCGTCGCCATCACGAAGGCACCGCTGCATAATGGACTCGACTCCCTCGGGTGCTGTTTTCTCTCTGAACCACGTCTTCTGCTCTGACAGCACTAACTGCTGGAAATCGTCTGGCGCAATCTCGCACGTGACAAACCTCGACTTTTAGGCCACGGTAGTTTTTCAAAACTCATCATTCTACATCACAATGGCACAACCTGGAGGAGACGTACAGGTGCCTATCGCACAGCAGAAGTCGCCCATAGCCATCAATTTGGCCAACTACTTGAAAGACAACAAAATTTTGAAGGAGAGAACCGGGTTGTTGAACAACACAGACGACATTGACTTTTTCAGATTCAAACGGTTAATTAGAGCATTATTGAGTGATGACTACAAGTCCAAGCAGCAGAACCCTAAGAACGGGCTTCCGTTGATTGCCAACGAGACCGAGGCTCAAAAGATCTTCATTATGTTGATCCAGAACCAATTGTTGCTTCCGTTGCAGAAGTTGCACTTTGTCGAGATCAAGCAACACCGAGGCTGGAAGCCCAACAAGACCAAGCCCACCTTGGTCAGGATCGAAAAGGCCACCTTGGATGCCAACGCATACTTCGGCTGGATCTACACCAAGCCCAACCCCTACATTCTCCTCTACAGTATTTTGGCGATTGTGGGTGTGTTCAGTGTGATTTTGTTCCCATTGTGGCCTGCGTTCATGAAGCGTGGTGTGTGGTACTTGTCCATGGCCGCGTTAGGAGTTATCGGATTGTTTTTTTTGACTGCCATCGTGCGTTTGATCATCTACATCATTTCTTTGGTGGCATTCCCCAAGCCATTCTGGTTGTTCCCTAACTTGTTTGAGGACTGTGGTGTCATAGAAAGTTTCCAGCCATTGTACGGCTGGGAAGAGCCCAAGAAGAAGAAGGCCAAGAAGGGCAAGAAAAACGAGGGTGCCGAATCCACCAAGGCCGAGCCTACTGGGGCAGCCACTGGCTCCTCGGTGGCTCAAGGCAACGTGACCAAGCGTAAGGTCACCTTAGAAGAAGTCGATGAGTAGTCATAGATGATTGTTATGTGAAGCTTGTAAATCGTAGGCGCGCACCACTGTGCAACAGGGAGATTTAGGGGGACGTCTCGCTAGAGTAGCACAGAACTCTCGCTAGAAGTGCAGCACTCTCACTAGAGTAGTCCTTCTACCAGGCTGGCGTAGCCGGTTAGTGTTGCCAGAAGACATGCCTTCTCCTAACTCTCGCTTTCTCTTCGCATATTCAGACTAGCATAGTCTCTTCGTGGTGCACCATTCTTCTTTTCCCACTACCTCACTCCCTCACTATCCTCCCTCACTATCCTCCGCGAGACCCTGCGCGCGTCACCCCACCACCGCATTTACAACCATTTCCCCATACCACACCACCAGCCATGGTAGTCATCAATGATTTGACCCTCAACCAAGACTGCTCGTGTATCTCGATCTCTACCAATGAGTATCACAAGATCTTTAACTGCGAGCCGTTTGGCGAGTTCTACACCTCCCAATCCCTGCCCCAGCAGAATGACCCAGACAGTGCCACCAGCAACGATAGCAACCAGGAAAGGCCTGCCACCAACAGGAGAGACTCACTCATTGTAACGGACTCTAGTGGGCCCAAGAACCCGACTGCTTTCCTCAAAATGCTCTTCTCAACCTCCTTGACCATCATCATCCCTCAGTCCACCACCAAGTTGGGCAACAGGCTCCTCAAGATCTACAATCTCAAGCAGAATCTCAAGATCTGCGAGTTGACGTTTCCTTCCTCCATCGTCAACGTGCGATTGAACCGCAAAAGACTCGTGGTGTTCCTTGAAATCGGCCAAATCTACGTGTATGACTTGAGCTGTGTCCGCTTGATCAAGGTGTTGGAGATCAACACCTATGGCGACTTGTCCTTGAGCGATGAAAAGGCACCGAACAGCGAATTGGTGGGAGATTTGAGTCCGGATGATCAGTCCTACTTATTACTTCCAGTCTCGATGATCAATGATCAAACCGACTTGTTCAACACCGAAAACGGTCGACCAGCAAGCACAAGTAGACCCGGCTCTCAGCCCTCTACCCCTGTGCTACAGCCAAGTGACTCCACCATTCTAAGTTACTACTTGGACTCCCTCATTGCATTGACCCACAAGAACGATGGCTCAAGCATTAGCAAAAGAATAGGGCAGGGAATAACGCTTGAAGATTTGAAGAAAGACAGCGACGGTTGGGTGTTGGTATATGACACCATCAAGCTCAAACCAAAGTTGATATTCAAGGCCCATAATTCGGCCATTGCCAAAATCACCATTTCTGGAAACAACCGAAGCATAGCCACCGCCTCGGTCAAGGGTACGATTATCCGGGTGTTTCAGCTAGAGATTAATGAAGACAAAATTGGCATTTCCCAAGTGATTAACTTGAGGCGGGGGCATAACCTTGCCCGCATCAATACTTTGAGCTTCAACAGCGATTGCACGATATTGGGGTGTGGGTCTGAGAGCAACACCATACATTTCTTCAAATTAAACGAGGAGGGCCAGCAGCATGTGGTAGAGTCAGACGATGAGTCGGACGAGGAATCAAGGTCTGAGGACTTGAACGATAACTTGGCCAGTTTGTTGGTGGAACAAAGTACCCCCAAGGAGTCGGAAGAGCCTGCTTCGTATTTCAGCTTTAACCTCAAGAAAACCTCAAAGCTCATTAACAACCACTACACGAAATCCATAATCAAGAGGCTCCCGTACAAGGACTACTTTGACAATTTGATCTGGGAGCCTCCTCGACGCTCATTTGCATATATCAAACTCCCCGAGTACACCCCTCCTCCTCCACACTCAGCAGCATCAGATATCTCCAAAAATAAGGTTGAGATCGGGTTCAATGCGAACTTGATTCTCTTGGCCTCTTACCAGACTGGAACTTTCTACCAGTATCAACTACCACCAGTGCCTGTCAAGGGCCAAAAGCACAAGCACAGGGAGGATGACACCAGGCAGGAATGCCTCTTGGTGAATCAGTACTCATTAGTGTAATCTATTGTACCTAACAATTCAGCTGATTGGCCCCATAGCGTAGTTGTTCGCCTGGTCAGCTAGATTAACTCGACAAGACTTATTTATTATTTCTCTACTAGTACTGTATCTTGTAAAGGTGACGATAGTGACCATCCAATCGCTAGTGAACAAGGCTTTAAGAAAGACTTCATCCGGAGGTCCTCTTGAGTTTTATTTCTGTACCCCTGGCACGGTCAGTGCTTGGTGCAAATAGTCATCACTGACAATAACTATTACTCTGGCTGCAAATAGTCACTCGTCTATATGGACTGGTATTAGCTATGATTCGGCTCATTGGTTTCATTATAGTTCAAGAGGAAAGTTACTATTTTACATTGTGTGTAAGTTAACTTATTTGTTAACACAGTGCTGCTGGTGACCGCTATTACAAATACTGCGTAAAAAGAACGCTGACCTTCTAGCGTGACAACATGAAGTGAAGCATTAACCCTCTTGAGAGTCTAAGGTTCACTCTGCCCTGAGAAGAGATTGCTGCTCATAACAATCTCCCAGTCAATGGTGTGAGTGGTATTGTGAACCAATAATGTGGTTGAATAGCACTCACTGCTGGTGTGAAAAACCGTGGATACAAACCAATGTTCCGGGTACAAATAATCCCCGTTGGTGCAATACTATGTTGGTGCTAATAGTCCCTGTAATAATGCAATTAAGACCTGATGAAATATTCCCTATTGGTGCTAATTCCTGCTGATTCTAATGGTTCCTATATTATTGCAAAAAATTAATGTTGCTCTAATCCGTGCTAAACCCTATGGAGCAAACGGCCAAGTTGATGAAACAGGCACCGTTGCTGCTAGTTCCTGTGGTGCTATATTGCTGCGAAACCCAGCCTGCGGGTCTACACAATAAACCTATCAGGCATTCTTCCGCCAATCTCAGGGGCTTTGGCACCACATATTAGCGCAAACTCCGTGGTATGAACAAGAAGTGAAATTACACGACAATCATTGATTCTCCCGCTATAGACCTACCTTAGTCAGTACCTACAATACCACCCGGGTCTGCCATGGAAACGAACCTCACTACCGCCCCCCCGTCATGGATGCCCCACCTACCCCAGATTCACCATCCTCACCACCTCCCTCACTAACCAGGGCCACACACTACCCAACAAACTTTTCACAAGACTTCCACGGATACCTACCCCACCCACCAACCCTTATAATCTAGCCCACCGCCTCGATACCCGTCAATGTTAAGATCCAATCTAAAAACATTAGTGAAACGTACCCATCCCATCAGAATGGTCAGTACCGCCTCCACCACCGCAGCCGCTGCCTCAGACAACGTCAATGGCCATGCTGAAGCTCCAGTGTTGTTCTCCAACAAGAACAACGCCAGACTTATCCACTTGAACAGGCTCAAGAAGCTCAACTCGTTAAACACCGAGATGGTGGAGCTCATCACCCCCAGGCTCTTGGAGTACGCCAAGTCGTCCGCCTCCAACGTGGTGATCTTGACATCCAACTCCCCCAAGGCGTTATGTGCTGGCGGTGATGTGGCCGAATGCGCCACCCAGATCGCCCAGGGCAACCCTGGCTACGCCAGCGACTTCTTCCAGAAGGAATACAACTTGAACTACCTCATCTCGACCTACTCTAAGCCATACATCTCGTTGATGGACGGCATCACCATGGGTGGTGGCGTGGGTCTTTCCGTACACGCTCCTTTCAGGGTCGCCACCGAGAAGACCAAGTTGGCCATGCCTGAGATGGATATCGGCTTCTTCCCCGACGTGGGAACCACCTTTTTCTTGCCAAGATTGGACCACAAGTTGGGTTACTACTACGCATTGACAGGTGAGATCTTATCTGGTATCGACGCCTACTTCGCCGGCTTTGCCACCCACTACGTCAACTCCGACAAGATCCCCCAGTTAATCAACAGATTGTCCAACTTGCAGCCTCCTGTCATCAACGACAATAAGACCACCTCCTCGGAAATCATATTCAACAACGCCGAATACTTTGCCCAAGTCAACCAAGTCATCGAAGAATTCACCGAGAACAAGTTGCCAGACGGTGCCAAGTACCCATTCTCTGCCGAGCAGTTGACCATCATAAGAACCGCATTCAGCCAACCTTCTGTCGACGCCATCTTCGACTACTTGAACAAGGAAGGCTCAGAATTCTCGCAAAAAATCGTCAAGAAGTTGTCCGCCAAGCCAATCTCCTCCCTCAAGGTTGCATTCGAATTATTGAACAAGGGTCAAGAAAACACCATCAAGAAGCAATTGGAGTTGGAGATGGTTGCCGCCACCAACGTCATGAACCAACCAGTCGAAAAGAATGACTTTGTCAAGGGTGTTACCCACAAATTGATCAAGAAGATCAAGGAACCACCTATTCCTGATTGGAACCCAGCTTCGGAGATTGACGAAAAATACGTCAAAGACATTGTTTCTTCTTCTATGAAGACCGTCAAGTTCTTGCAAAGCCCATTGATCCACAAATTCTTTGGCATCGACTACAAGCAATACCCTTTTAACATGGGTTTGCCAAACACCACCGAGGTGGCCAATTTCATAACGGGTAATGATGGCTCAAACAGATCCTACTTGCCAACTCCATTCGAAGTTACCAAGCACTTCGAAAGAAAGACCGACAACAAGTTGGGTGTTAAGGAAAAGATTGAAAGTATTCTTGAACTCCATGGTGATGTCTCCAAATACGATGGTAAGTACGTCAGCTGGAAGGCATGAAATAGTTTACCTGAAGACCACCAAAATTCCATTTACTATCTTCGTGATAAGTTTCCTTAAGACACTTGTTACTAATAGAAATGCCTGTATTTAGATCTAAGTAGTTAAAGACTATATTTATTAACGAGTATCAGGCCATAGTAAGTTTGTGAACAGTCTATGTTTGATTTTGATGAATGAGATTGCAGTCTCTTCCAATCGTGAACTAAATCTACTACCGAAAATTGCACACTAATTATACATTTATTAGATTCTGATTGGCATCGACCATAGTTTACATTTCTAATCGTCTAGAGATACTTTACTTGAACTTCTCCAAGATCAAATCTTCACCCAATTCTTCGTAGTCACTCTTGGTAACAAACCAGTTATCCAAGGCAATGTTCAGTGAGTCTTGGTTGCCGTCGTTCAACATACTGGCCAAACTGCAAGCACCCAACCATCCGCTGAATTGTTTATCCCAAACCTCGTTGATATCACTTGCAGGGCTTAAGTTAGATATTTGGGTGATCGAGTATGGACTATAACTGTAGTTAGGGAAGTATTTTGGTGTCAAGATTCTTAAATCGTTCAAAACCTGATCGATCAAACCGTTCGCTAACGAGGTACCACCTGTAATCAACACGTTAGATAACAATCCCTTGAAGATTTCGTTGAATCTGGCAAACTTGTTGTGGCTTCCACTACCAGCACTCCCATCATTTGGTAATAAAGTGCCTTCCAAACTCTTGAGACACAAGAAAATCAAGTTGGTTAAACCATGAGTGTGTGGCTTGTCAACTACCGGCTCAGGAATAGTAACGTTTGGCAATTTGTTCAAGTTTGGCTGGAATAGGTTTTCAAGGTAGCTTGGTTGGTCAGCAAGTGAGATGTGTTGATGGTTATACAATTGATAGTCTGATAATTGGAAGTTCAAGGTTAAATTCTTATACTCTTGCAAGAAATGATGACTGGTGTAGTGGTGTTTAAAGGAATCAGTTGCGTTTTGGAATTGTGAAGGTAATAACGATTCGAGAGTGGTTTTGGACTGCACGTAGTTTAAAACATGGAGGTTCAAGAAATCACCGGCGTATTTCAGGTGAAATGAACTTTTGGTTTGGATGATTCCATCCAAGATAGGAGTGACACTTGCGACCGAGGATCCGATATCAATCACCAAGCCTGTCAGCTTTCCCACTCTGTATAATTGTGCCAAAGGATTCTTCACCAACGAGAAAATAGGTACTTGTAAGTTCTCGAAGACTAACTGGGCAGTAGCCAACTTATTTTTTGATGTGTTCCACGATTGTTCAGTCAACACCAATGGATACTCCTTGGCATCGATGGGACTCAGGTTGTCGATATGCTTGTAGACGTGCTCCCAGTTGTGAATGATGTTCTCGAAGTCATAAATCAACCCGTTATCTATCAAAGTCATGACTTCGTGCTCGGGTTGCATGTTCTCGCCCACGAGCACAGTGTCATTGTGCTTTTGGTAATTGGAGGAAAAGACAAGCGAAGGTAAATCTTCCAGAGCAAACCCTGCTTTTGTGGTGTAGGACCCGTTGTCTATTACTACGGCTGGGGAGGTGAACATGGGGAGGATGGTTTGAGGAATAGTGGTGGAAGTTGTTTTGAGTTTTGAAAATTCGCGGGAATGGCCATGTGACTACTGGTCACGTGGTGGGTCTGGCTAAAACAGGATCACAAATCGTCCTCACTAATTCACCAATGATTAGAACAGCTTTTTCAAGGACAAAGCCCTTGAGTGCCCTCCGCCGCTTGGCTACCGCCTCCCAGACGGTCCCAGCCTACCAAACCACCGTCTTGGAAAACGGGTTGACCGTGGCCAGTGAACTCATGCCTGGAACCCGTACCGCCACCGTCGGAGTATGGATTAATGCTGGTTCCAGAGCCGACAACCCCAAGAGCAGCGGCACTGCTCACTTCTTGGAACATTTAGCTTTCAAGGGTACCAACAAGCGGACACAGCTCAACCTTGAGCTCGAAGTCGAGAATATTGGGCTGCAAATTAATGCCTACACCTCCCGTGAGAATACCGTTTACTACACCAAATGTCTCTCTAAGGACATAGATCAGAACATCGACATTTTGAGTGATTTATTGACCAAGTCGAGGTTGGAAGAAAAAGCCATTGAAAACGAACGTCATGTGATTCTTCAGGAGTCGGATGAAGTGGACAAGATGTATGATGAGGTGGTGTTCGACCACTTGCATGCTGTCACCTACAAGAACCAGGACTTGGGAAGAACCATCTTGGGTCCTCGCGAATTGATCAAGACCATTAATAGACAAGATTTGGTCAACTACATCACCACAAACTACAAGGGCGACAGAATGGCCCTTATTGGTGTGGGTAACGTGGACCATCAAGAATTGGTACAGAAAGCAAAGAAATACTTTGCCAATATTAAGATTAGTGATGAACCATTCTCACAGGGTGGAAACGACTTACCCGTGTTCCACGGAGATGAAATCCGTATTCAGGATGATTCATTACCATCTACTCATGTTGCCTTAGCAGTGGAGGGAGTTTCGTGGTCTGCACCTGATTTCTTTACCGCCTCGGTGGCTAATGGTATAGTCGGAACATGGGACAGATCTGTTGGCATAGGCTCCAACTCTCCATCTCCTTTGGCAGTAACTGCTGCTACCGGAGGACCCGGTATGAGTCCTATAGCAAATTCATATATGGCGTACACAACCTCCTACGCTGATACTGGCTTAATGGGCATTTACTTCACTGCCGAAAAGGATTCCAACTTGAAGTTGTTCATTGATGCTGTATTGAAGGAATGGGGTAGATTGAAGTCAGGTGATATCACAGAAGACGAAGTGGAAAGATCCAAAGCACAATTGAAGGCTTCATTGGTCTTAGCTTTGGATGACTCTACCTCTATTGCTGAGGATATCGGGAGACAATTGGTGAATACAGGTTACAGATTAGATCCAGAGGACGTATTTAAACGTGTGGAAGCCATCACCAAGAAGGATGTCATTGATTGGGCAAATTATAGACTTAAGGACAAACCTATTGCATTATCTGCAGTTGGAAATGTGAAGACCTTACCCTCTCACAGCGAAATCCAAAAAGGAATGTCATTGTAGTTGAAGCTACAGATCCATAGATTGATTCCATGCGTTATTCGTCTGTATATACATGTACATATTTATACAATTACTTCTGTGAAAGTAAATCCTCCGTGTCACCATTTTCCTCTTCAGCAGGCTCCTCTAACACATCACCCTCCTTGATCAATTTTTGATCGTCTGGTACACGTTTCATGATTTCTGGAGCAGGGAACAACTTACCAATATTATCAATCCATCTTCTCCTTTTTTCTAAGAGACCTCTTAAACCACTGTTAACAGCGTGCTGTTGTGGGGTTGGAGTAGCACCCGGTTGCTTCTTCTTCTTATTTTTACCCTTGAGTCTTTTGATGTAAGCTTGGTCCACCTGCTTGTCCAAATCATCTAAAATTGTAGAGTATTCTTGATATGCAATATGCTCTTCCACAGAAGGTATCAATTTCTTCTTGTTAACTCTATTTCTGCTAGAACTTTCTCTGAGTTGTTTTTGGAGTGCTCTTATTTCTGCACATACCTCATCATCTTCCTTATTTCTAATCCAATCATCATCATCAATGATACTAGAGCCCTTTCCTGAAATACTAGATTGTGAAGAGTGGCCTTCTTTCAATTTCAATTTAGCCTCCTCTTCTGAATTTGGAAGATTCATGAAAATACCAATATATTTTAATTCTCTTTTCAAGCGCTCTTCCACAGAGTAAAAGTCGTTTACTTCGGTATTCAATCTGTAGTCTTCTCCACTGTTAAGCTTTGTCGCAACTTCTTCGTCGTTTGTAGGTTCCAAAGCCTTTTCATTCTCGTTATCTGAAGCCTTTTCAGACTCTTCATCATAGTCCACGTTTGCTTCATTATTTCCCAAAATAGCTGAGATCAATCTAGATGACAAAGGACCGCATGATATCTCTTCAGTATAAAGCATCTCATCACTCAATTGTTCAATCGATCCTTTAGGCTTATACGAGTCTCCTAATAAAGGTTGGTAGGCTGGAGAATTCAACTTGGTGCTCAAGGAAGCATCTTCATCTATCCATACCTCTGAATATAATGGCCCCAACTTCGGTATTATAAATGGTGTCACATTTGCATCGTAGTCAGTCTTCTCGAAACCAGGAGGAAGAATATCCTCCTCGTTCAAAAAATCCAAATCTTCGTTAGTGAAAGTTCTGAAGTATGGCTCAATATAAGTTTGATATGTTGTAAATTGGACTTGGTTTGCAGGCGGCTTACCTTTAGAAAAGTCAATATTTGGGATCTGGCCAGGGAGTAAATTCTGCAAATCACTTTCTGGGTAAGATGAAACACCATACTTCTTTTTTAAATATTCCTTCCCGTGGGTTTCCAAGCCATTATTATCCTCGGAAAACAATCCCAACTGTTCTATCGTTCTTGTGGACAAGGTCTGCGAAGTTACGAATTCGGACTTTGGATTTTTGAGTCTTGTATCGTTATTTTGGGTATAAGAACCTGACTGGACAGGAGGAACGGGGTCATCTTTGGAGTTAACTCTCTCCTCGTTTCCATCTGTTTCTTCTATATTTTCTTCTTTGAGAGTATCCGGTTCTTCTTGATCCTCTGGCTGCTGATTTGAGCCGAGTTTTCTTCTTTTGACATTAATAGTTTCATCGTCGTTTTCCAAATCGCTTGCAACGCGCTTGGCTTCATCCCTGTTTTCATCCAAAGTTGCCTCGGTCTCAGTTTTAATTTTTGCCTCTAAAGTTTCAGTATCAGGATCTTCTCCCTTGAGGACTTTCTCTATTTTGCTCAAAACCACTTCATCCACTTGCTCTACTTCATGTAATTCGCGACTGAGATTCTTCAAAAGCTTGTTCAAATTTGATAAGGTGTTCAAATTGGGTATGTCTCTGATAGAATCACCATCAAGCAACCCGACTGAGACATCATACGTGAGCTTGAGCTCATTTATAATGTCATCGAGTGTGGTGGATGCGGAATGTAAGTCATTGGACATCGTGTGTGTGGAATGATTACTTGTGTTCTATGGCTATTATGTTCCACCTGACCAAGGTGTGTATCCGTTGCAAAAAATGAGCCAAAACCGATGCTATCCGGTGTAAAATGGTGCTTTGGCACTGGTTTTTTCGCTAATTCCACTATTAAACCCCTTCTGAGTCTAGAGGTACTGCTTGAATGGTTGAATAGCCGGCAGTTTTGATGTATCGGGTAACTTCGTGGATTATCGTCGTCGATGTTGATTTTGGCTTTGGCAGGGTGTGCGCGAACAAACGACGCTGGCCCACGCGTGAGTCTAATCACCATCTGGAGAACGGGGGATGTATCTACGTCTCTTTTGTAGTAAGCCGCTGACGATAAGAATGTTCATGGTGTTCGGACACTGGCAGTAAATCTCACACTACTCTCTTAAGGGTAATGTGGCCCTTTCGGTAAATTATTATCCTCAGAAGAATAAGCCTCTCACTGTGAGAGTAGTTAGGCGAATTGACTCCTGAGATAAGTGCCATGATGGAACAATCTCCAAAATGATATAGCCCTACAATTTCGCCTACAGATGTATCACTCTCTTACTATGTACATTACGCCCTCTGGGAAATGGGCAATGGCTCCAGCATCTATCTGTCTATGGACTGTAGTTGATGACATATTCAATGTCCTTTTGCTTCTTGACTTTCTCAACCAACTTTTGCACCACCGAGTGCTTCTCAACAGGAGCATCTTGTGGTCTCTTCCAAGCTTCTGGGAAAGTAGGGACGGGCTTTCTGGCGTGGTTTCTCATGTGACGAGCATCCACGGGAATGTCAGCAAAGTCGTTGGTGAGATCCTTGGCCTCGTTCAAAAGCTGGTTGAAGGTGTCGACCAACCAACGAACGTTTTGCGAAGCTTCGGGGAATTGGGAGCTTCTGAGTCTGAACACATTTGTGTTGAGGTTGAGCTTGTTTCCAGCCAAAACCTTGAACTTGTGGAGCTGCTTGTCATCCAAGCCGAGCTCTTCAATTTGCACATGGAGACTGACCTTACGGTTGAAATCATTGGTGCTTTCATCAGTGAAGTCGGTATTATAGGTGATCTTGAGGGGGGTGTTAGACTTTGGTTGATATGGTTGACGGAACTTGGCGAGCAATGGCATTTCGTAGGCACTGATACGGGTGAGATTCTCAATACGACGTTTTTCGTGGGGAGTTTGACCCTTGTTGGCCACCAAGATGTTACTCTTTTTGGCAGGTTGACCCTTGGTCTCGTTCTGCTTTTCAGTCAAGAATCTTTCTTTAAAGTTATCGATTTCGTACACGTATTCCAATGCAGGTGCTGGTGCACGGGACAATTCTTGCATGGTGGACAAGATGGCCATTCTTTCTTCATCGTTAGGGTTATAGTGTTCTCCTAACTTGGCCTTTCTGATGTTATGCAATTCGAAAATTTGATCGGCTGGAAGTCCTTTCCATTGGTGAGGGTTAAGGTAAAGCCCATCTGCTGGCTTGGAGTAGAACCGCAAGGCTGGCCTTATGCTTCTTATAGATCTCATTGTGGTTGAAGTCTTGTAAATCAGAGTGTCGAAAATTTCAATAAAAATTTCTGTCACGAGAATTAAGTCACGTGTAGCCTCATCTGGGACGATCAAGTCAAAGGGCAATTAAAGGGCAAAAGCAATCCCGAATGTGATATTCATCGAATGTAAATGATCCTGAATCAGACCGCAACCTTTGGTGAGGCCGTAGTCTACATAAATGTTTCTAGTCTATCCTATCTTGGTCTATATACAAGATTACTTGATTAATACACGTGATCTGTATCATCTGACCCAATATGTGCAATTGAGAATATCTATAGTTGCTCGAAAGACTTGTGAAACCAAACGTTTGCTTTGCTAACATGAGCTGGGAACAAACCAAATTTGCATTGAGTGCCAGATCAAAGGGTACCTACCTTATCACTGATGAAGTCCTTTCCAATATCCCACAAATCAAGAACTATAAAGTCGGACTTTTGCACTTATTCTTACAGCATACCAGTGCTGGGTTGACATTGAACGAAAATTGTGACCCTGATGTAAGGGAAGACTTTACCAATTCCATGGACAGAATGGTTCCTGAGGGAGACTTTTACATCCATGCTGATGAGGGTCCGGATGACATGCCAGGGCACGTCAAGAGTTCTACCATCGGTGTCAGTTTGAGTATTCCTATCAGCAATGGAAGATTGGCTCTCGGCACATGGCAAGGAATCTACCTTTGCGAATTCAGAACATACAGGCATACCAGAAAGATTGTTGCAACGATCAATGGATCCAAGGACTGAGAGTCATGCCTGTGACCTGATATGTATATAATGGAATGCAATGAACTACTATACCAGTGTAGTCTCTCAATTATGACGATGACAATATCTCTCGGGTTATAATTTAGCATTGAGATTCAGGTGTTTCCAAAGGCACTTTCACTTGGGATTTGGATAAGTTTTCGTAAATATCAATGCTGTACTTTCTCAATATATCCTCTTTCTCCTTCTCTACTTTCTCAACGCGCGATCTCAATTCGTTCAATTTCTTGGTCAAGTTGTCGTTCACAAGATTCCACCAGCCGTTATGACGCGGACACTTCCTCTTATCTTGAATACACAACTTGTTTTCAAACCAGTCCTGGTCGGTTTCGTCCGTCAACTTTTTTTGAATTAGATCAGTGAAGGTGGTTTCCAATTCGGAATTCTTTGTTAACTCCTCCAATATGGACTTGAATGGCGCTGCATCGCCTTTGACTTCATTCAACGATTTGTCGTACAAACAAATATCGATCTTCTTTTGCCTTGTCTTTTTCTTCGATGTGACCTTTTCTTCATTCTTGTCTGTCAATTTATCGTTGATGCCTTTCACGATTTCTTTCAATAATACCAAGTACTCGGTCTTTCTATTGTAAAGCTCGATCGAATTATCCAAAACACCCAATTTCGTGTTTATTGACGCTAATTCTTCTCTCACAGATTCCGGGAACCTTGATATATCCTTAGTCTGCTTAAACTGCACCACTTCTTCTAGTTCAGGAAACAAGGCTCCGAGATGCAACAATGCCTGGTGGGTTTCTGTGTGCTTCAACACCTCCTTGATGGTTGAGGGCTTCAAGTCGGCGGTCGAGTCATTCCTGCCCACCAATTTTTCCCTCATGTAGGTGATGCCGTGGTTTTCACTGCAGTATTTGGAGTTGGTTCGGATAGGCTCGAAGCACCAATCCAAGCGACATTTCCTTTTCCACTTGGTAGTGCCCTTGCCTTTCCAGTGGCAGAACTTGCAGTAGAACTTCGACACCAACTTAGAGTACTTTGCATTCAAGTTCATGCACTTGAAATGGAACCAGTCTTCACACCCATCACACGCGATCATCAACTCGCCATGGTCCGGCTTGCGGCACACGCAAAATACCTCCTCGCTGTTGTAGTCGAACTTAGCTGCGTTCTGGTACTTCTTGTACTGTCTAGCCAACTCTTCTGGCGATTCCAACTTCTCTTCCAATTCATGGGGCAGACCAGCTCTTTTGAGCTTTTTGGACGGCTGGAACTTGGGTGAGAGTCTTCTTCGCTTGAGGTCGTGATCTTCCCCGTTACGGCTATAGGCTGTTTCTGACATGTATGCTGATGCTGATGGTGGTGTTGATGAGGATTATTCTTTATTTGGGCGCGGTTGAATTACCAGACACTCCGCGCGTAATGGTTCCATAATTACGAGAAGAGCTATAGATAATCAGCATTAGACCAAAGACCAAGAGACGAAGGGCCAAAAATAGTTACTTCACTGCTTAGATCCTCACCAGACTCTAGCCAATCATCGTATCCAACAGCCGTGAAATCAGCTTCGTTATCCATTATTAATTGCTAGATATCTACCCGAGAGTCTATCTTATATCCCCAGTCATTAAATGGATGCAACGTGCCCCATATGCTCGAAGAGCGTCAGCAGAGCCCTTCTTGAACGGCATGTCAATAGCTGTCTAGATACCCAAGAGTCTGCCAACGGGTCCCAAGACCAGGAAGAGGTGGTGATTGTGTCGGAGGATGTGTCCAAGAAACGGAGATCAAATCCTCTTCTATCGTTGGGGTTGAAGATGGACTCGAAGAAGCCAAAGGTAGACAAGGGGACAAAAAATAGACCCTCCTTGACCAAATTACTTATAGAAGAACGGAGGTTGAAGAAGGAAAGAGAAGATAGACTTGCTAAAGGCGATCCTGGAGTCTCGTCCGATCCCGACTTCCAGGGCTCCCAAGATCACCTCTCTCAAGCATCTAAGGAACCAAAGGTACATACCCCAACAGTCCAGCATATCCAAAATAGATCCACAAATAATGAAGCAGGGCAAAATCAAGAAATTGACATTTCACAAGATCCACAAAGCATCCATACAGTCATTAGCGCTTCCCCCGAAACTAATAAGGCCATATCTCAAGTTCAGACCCCTCCAAAGCGGTCTCTAATCTTGCAGAAAAGTGAAGAACTAGCTCAATTGCGACGTGAAGCGAGCATCCCATTAGCACAACGGTTGAGGCCAAAATCTTTAGGTGACTATTTTGGTCAGGAGAAGCTCTTGGGCAAGAATGGTTTGTTGAGGAATATAATTCAGGCGGATCACGTACCATCCTTCATCCTCTGGGGAGTTCCAGGTGTGGGGAAAACTACATTGGCAAGAATTATTGCAAGCAATTCTTCCAGTAAGTTTGTTGAACTTTCGGGCTCTCAAAGTAATTCAAAGGACTTGAGAGAAGTCTTCACCCAGGCAACAAATGAAAAGTCGTTAACCGGTAGATCCACCATTTTATTTCTAGATGAAATTCATCGATTCAATAAAGGTGTGCAAGATTTGTTGCTACCAGTCATTGAGAAGGGTGTGTTGACAGTGATAGGTGCCACCACCGAGAACCCTTCCTTCACGCTCAATAATGCATTATTGTCACGGATGCATACATTCGTAATGGAACCTTTGAGCACTGAAGCAGTATCCAAGGTAATTAATCGTGGTCTTTATCAAGTCAATAGACTCAGAAAGAGTTTGTACAAATTACATTTCATTTCATTGAACAAAGATGCTGTCAAGTACTTGGCTGAATTAGCAATGGGTGATTCAAGAGTGGCTCTCAATTTGTTGGAGTCGGTCAATGCATATTTTTCAACTGATGAGTTTTCCACGGCCAACAAAGATAGGACAGGTGTTGTTCATCTTACTGCTGAAATGCTCAAACCTTTATTAAGCTCCAGAAATTTTCACCAGATGTATGATAGGGTAGGTGAATCGCACTACGATACAATCAGCGCATTTCATAAATCTGTCAGAGGCTCCGATCCAGATGCTGCTGTTTTTTACCTTACAAAAATGTTATCTGGAGGGGAGGATCCTATGTTTTTAATCAGAAGAATGATAGTTATTGCTTCGGAGGATATTGGATTGCGAGATAGCTCGTGCTTACCGTTTGCAGTAGCAGCTAAGGAGGCTCTAGAGTTCGTTGGAATGCCTGAAGGAGAGATTATCTTGGCCCATTGCGCTGTGAAATTGGCAAGAGCACCAAAGTCCACCAAATCATACCGTGCATTGCGAACGGCACAAGCATTGTTAACTGAGCATCCGGAATATACCAAGCTTCCGATACCACTCCACATACGGAATGCTCCAACCAAACTCATGAAAGAGTTGGGTTACGGAGAATCGTATAGATATAACCCGAACTTTAAGCATGGCAAGGTACATCAGAGCTATCTTCCACCCGAGTTGGAGGGAACCAAGTTTGTGGAAGATGTGCATCTTGGGACACAGCTTGACGAGAATGTGCTGGAGGATGCTTACAAGAAAGCCGAACAATTAGACAAAGAATACAAGGAGTTCAAGAAGAAAAAGAAGAATGAGCTCAAGCAAAAATATATGCATGCGTTACGGCAACATTCTTATGATGAGAACTTGCCCAAAGAGGCCCAGCCAGAGTACTTTGATGGTAACGAAAAGGATGAGTATTCAGATGATCCCGACTGTACGAATAACTTCAGTCACCCCTACGACGAGTTTTTGGATCGGGAATCACAGCCAGAGTATTTTGGCGAAGAGGATGTCCATTACGACCCAGAAATGGCTGATCTCTAGTATTTGTCTGGATCTTCCCTTAAGTAATGTATCAGTTTTTGAACGATTAATGCGTCAACCATGGTCGCACCAAAAAATCAATTGCCCCACTACTTATCGATCACATGAATCAGACGAAAACACTAAGATCATCATGTGTGGCAGGTTTGCATTGGGAGTGGTAAGTAAGATGGCAAGAAGCGAGTTTTAGCATAGAGGTATAGCTCTTATCTGGTAAGAGTACTAACGTTAGAACGCCAACGATCTACCTAGTCAGTTCCACCTTACTGCCTTGTTAGGGAGAGGAGATGCTGGAGAATTGCAGGCATTAGAAAATGGCATCTATCAGGCAAACATCGAAGGCTCTGAAGGTCAACTCAATGCCCAAGTGGATACACGCAACTTCACCAATTACAGAGAGTCGTACAACGTGGCACCAACCAATACTGCCGTAATCATCTACGTGGATGAAAACAAACACGATGCAGACATCAGATACGTGATGGAATCACTGACATTTGGCCTCGTGCCTTCTTGGGCTAAGCCCAATGATAAGACTCCAGTGGGAGGCGAGGGATCCGATGCACCACCATACTCCAAAGAATTACAACGGTTCAGTGGAAGATACTTCAATTGCAGAAAAGAGACATTGGCCGAGAACCTGGCTGTCTGGAACAGCAGTCGCAGGAAACATAGATGTGTGGTTCCAATCCAGGGCTACTTCGAATGGCTCAAAAATTCAAGTGAAAAAATTCCACATTTCGTACATTCAACCAAAACTCCTATCATATACTTAGCTGGGTTATATTCCCACAACTACAACTATAAGGACAACTTTAACATTAATGACCAATACTTGTCATCTTTCACTATTGTAACAGGATCGGCCCTCAAGTCCGATACTCACGATTTGTCGTGGCTTCATAGCAGAAAACCAATATTTTTAAAGCCTGGTACCAAAGATTGGAAGGACTGGCTTGATCCCAAACAAGATTGGCTGGAAAGATTACTCGATACATGTTTGAACTCCATTTCAAACCCAGCCTATGAAGATGTTGAAGGATATCCTGTGAGTAAGGACGTTGGATATCCTGGAAACAAAGGACCAGAATTGTTGGAAAGGCAAAAATCACCTCAAAAATCAATCACTCTGTTTTTCAAACGCCCCAGTGATGAGGATGACAGAGGCTCCAAGAGACATAAGAAAAATTATGTGAATGAATTCAAGGTGGAAGACAAATCACCAGAGCAAGAGGAGAAAATGGGCAACAAAATGACTGCAAAGCAAGAAAGCAAACCTTCAGTCCCAATAGAAACGGAGACTGGAAATACTTCTTCAGGTGTGAAGAAAGAGGAAGAGGGAATAAAAGGACCTGAGAAGCATGTCCAAGCAAGTCCTCAAAAGAAAAGGCTTCAATACACCTCGAGGAAAAAAGCAAATGACGTTAAACCCATACACCTGTATTTTAAAAGCCAAAAATGAATACCAAGATTAATGAAAGTACATGCATCATGTCGAGTCATTTCGGAATTGAGGCATAATTAAAAAAATGTATTATTTAGAGAATTTAATGAACATTACGTGACACCAATAGTTGAAGTATAGCAGAAATGTAGATAATACCAGCTGTCCAACTAGCTGAGAAGAACACTTGCCCAATTATATTTTACATCTTAGTTGATTGTTAGCTACCTGAGAATTTTCCATCATTGTTAAATAGTTTGACACCTTAGGTAGCTACTAAACCGTAGTGATGCAGAACTCATGTAGAACCCTGATGAATGATAGCCGTTGGTAAGTACTAAATCGTGGAAAAACATGTTGCGATAAATGAAAAATCCCGATGAAGGAGAATATCTCCGTTAATACAAAAGTTATGGATTGAGTACCCATTTTGGCGTTTATAGAACCAAAATTTGTCGCTCCAATCAACGCCTCAAGGTGAAGTGATTTTAATACCAATTTTCCAAATCCCCTAAATTTCACAAAAAAATACATTTTAATACAAATTTCTAAACATATTACAAAATATGATCATAAACTAATGAGCAACAAGAGCTGCGATTAAAGTATCCTGACAACGTAAAAGTAGTAACAACCAGTGTATGTACACTTTGTGAGAGTATTGATCCGAGACATTAGACGACTATCCAGTGTTTCTTGATTCTGTCCACAAAACGAGAATAGAGGGCTATTGTTTGTTTTCAGAGAGCCAAAGAAAGCCACAAGCTAATTAGCTTATACGGGCATAGGATTTTATTACTATCCACATAATTATACAGCATTATACGGCTGGAAAGTCTAATCTAGTCAAGGGCCTAATTAGCTGATCTGGGAAAAAGCTAAGAAGGATCCCAATGTTAGTAAAACTGAAAAAATATAACATTATTAGCCAACTTCAATTTAACCTGTTTCAAAAGATAATGATAAGCTAATGTTTAAAGGTGCTATAGTGAGTTATTAGTAAGTGATGATGTTTAGAGGAAGTCTCAAAATCAAGTTTATTGCGAAACAGTGTGAGACCTACATACATAGTACTTTCTTTGGCTGCAATCACTACTGTGTTAGCTATAGACTGGACACAATGGTTAACAGAGCATGTTACTTCTGCCAGAGGTAGTATACTTCTAGCGGCAGGAGTGGCATTCCGATTGTTGCCGAGGATGTATATAGCAATTGCCGGGAGGAAATTCAACAACCGGGCCAAGGTATTTATAATTTGGATTTTCAGCGCGTGAAAGCTTTAGTCAGAGTTACTGCGGCTTTCAGTGTGTCCGCAGCTGATCGGGAGTAGCTATGGGGTGGTATAAGCAGCGACTGCCACAACCATGTGAATAATGTTAACGATGTAACTTCTTATCATTCTTGACCTGCTTGTTTATCTTTTTCCCGCAAGGCTAATAAACTCCTGATTATAATTCATACTCCTCTGATACTTCCATTATACTCGTATCATACCATTAACACACTTTTATCCGTTTATATAATTGTGCTTACGTAATCTTATACGTAAATTTGTATATTGTTCTCCTCCACAACAAAGTTCAAGATTTAGGCAACTTGTCCGAGTGGTTAAGGAGAAAGATTAGAAATCTTTTGGGCTTTGCCCGCGCAGGTTCGAATCCTGCAGTTGTCGTCATTTTTTTGGTTTTTGAATCTAGGTGCCTAAAATCTGGTCCCACTATTCAGTACAGTACAACCTCTCGCTACATGTAATATTTCCACGGCAGTTAACAACACCCCTTGACCATGCTGATACAATCTTGTTTCTGATAATATCATTATGGTGATTCAGATAGCACCAATAGTACCCTATACTAGATTGGATAATACTTTATTCTCATGCTAGTTACCTCTCAATCCGCATCTCTTTTCGCACCCTCATGCCACTAGATGGCTCAAGCACCACCCGCCTTCTCGCTCTCTCGCCGTTTCGCTCTTCCCTATGCTCGCTCCTCTCACTCTGCGCACTGCGATGAGATGAAAAATTAATTTTATTCTACACTTCTTATCCATCAAACCTTCAACCATGCAACTTGCAGTCCACCAAGATGATGCTGACATCTTGTTGAAGCAGAAGAACATCCTCGATGATTCTGTTTTAAACAAATATAGAGTGGCGGGTCAAATTTCCCAGTCCGGTTTACAATACATTATCAACTTGATCAATGATTCATACCACTACCAGAAATCAGCTCCCGTTAGCGTTCAAGAATTATGTTTATTGGGAGACTCCTACTTGACCAAGTTGTTGGGAAGAGCCTACAACAATGTTATCAGAGAAAAGGGTATTGCCCACCCAACCACCATAGACGTAAACGAATTAAGCAGTGGATTCGCCCCAGAGTTGGATGATGAAACTGCTTATACTTTCACCGCTGGAGATGTGGTCACCATATCCTTGGGTGTCCAAATTGACGGTTACACTGCCACTGCTTCCCACACCATTGTCATATATCCTGGAGGTGACTCCAAGCCTGCTGGCCCTTTGTTGGGTGGTAAGGCAGACGCCATCTGTGCTGCTCATATTGCTACCGAAACCATGGTGGCTTTGTTGGGTATGTCATTGTCCCCAGAAAAATTACCACAACAGTTGGCAGGAGGTGTCACTGGTAGTAAGATCAGAGCCATCGTTGATTCTATCGCCGAGTCGTTCAACTGTGTTGTCTTGCCAGGATCTAAGATCAGAAGAGTCAGAAGATTTTTGGCTGGTCAAGCCGAAGGTGTCGTTGCTGAAAGAGACTTCAAGGGTGTCGTTTGGGACGAATCTCATCAAGAAGAAAAGTTGTTGAAGAAGAGCATTGGTCAAGAATTGGTTCTTGCTACTAATATCACCTCAGCCAAGAACACTGACTCCAATAACGCTATTCCAAGTGACGAGTTCTCTGTTGCCCCAGGTGAAGTTTACCAGGTTGACATCAGAATGGCCTCGCTTAGTGACGTTCAAGGTGCTGGTATCATCACTACCGAAGAAATCGATGAATTCACCGGTAAGAAGCTCAGCAAGGGTTTCAACTCTAAGAGCACTTTGCACATCAGAGATTTTGCTATCAACCATCAATTGAGACTCAAGACTTCCAGAAGATTATTAGCTGAGGTTGACAAGAAATTCTCGGTATACCCATTCAAGTTGTCTCACACTTCCAAGACCTTCCCAATCAAGGAAGAAGAGAACATTCCAGAGCAACTCGACTTGATCAAGAAAGACATCAGAACCAACAGATTGGGTTTATCTGAATTATCCAACCGTCATTTAGTCAAAAGCAAGCCAATTCAAATCACCAAGTTCATACCTCTTGACAAGATCTTGTTGAGTGCCAACCCTACCGGTAAGCACGGTATGGACATGGACAAGCCCGTGTTGCCAGGTATGGAATTGCCATTGCCTCAATTGGGTGTTTCATCGTTGTTGTTGAAGAACTTGTTGAGACACGGTCAAAACATCGCAAACGTGCGTGAGGCCACCACCTTGATCATTAACGAGAACGGTAACGAAGTCATCAGATTGACCGGAGGTGAAAAGACAAGCAAGCCTAGCTGGGTCCACTCTCAATACCAATTGGCAGGGGAGTATGCTGAAAGCATCAACCAAATTGTTGAATTGAGTAAGGACCAGAGATTTGGCATCAAAATCAAGGAGTGTGCTCCTTACAAGTTACAAATTGGAACCGATTCTATGCAATTGGATGAATAGTGTATATTAATAGCATGTTAGATGATGTAACAGCGTAGATACAAGGAATATTGTACAGACCGAGAATTATCGATTCTTCCGGTGGACGATAGGGTTAATGAAGTAAGACAATATGATGACAACGAAGTGAAGACGAATTTAGATGATAACAAATGTGAAACCAGAAAATGCCAAGGGCTAATTAGCATAACCAAAATGGTCCGAACTTTAGAAAGTATCCATCAACATATTATGCAAAGGACTACAAAAGGTTCCGACGATTGTTGAGGTTTAGGAAGGATACCTCATGCACTACATAATTACAAGAAAGCACATTTGGGCGTACAGATAATCCGGCTTGAACTTACGCCTCCTAGTCTAACCACCAGACGCAGTCACACTGCCTACCGCAGGAAATAGTTCACCGGTGTCAGCAACCGGATAAACTGGATGAGCCCCAATACAGATGTGGTTTGGTCTCGTGCTAGTTTCTGCTTGACAGTGAGAATTTGCGATCTTCCCTATTTACCAATTGTGAGGAGCAGCCATTGGGTCACCAGCACGATCGATACGCCAAGTGTCCCAAGACAAATGCCTATATTGGGGCACTCATGGCGTACTACATGTGGTGCCACAACACCCATACTACAATATGTCCCTAAAGGAAATTCTGCTGCCCCGTGCTGGCGCGGTAGGGCGATCCTGGCCCCACCGCGCGAGCTGACGCCAGATCGGCAACGGCTCCCTATCGTGTGGTGGTATGGTCTGATCCGGTGATTAGCGTCAGAGGAGCCACGTGACAACAGTGACTCCTAGGGTGAGGGTGGTGGCACTCCCAGCTTACATAAGCGTCCTCTGGGCCCCCCTGCTGGCTCTGTAGGCGCTAGTGGCCCCTGGCGCCACTCCAGCGTGGACACTGACGTTGCACGTTCTCGCACTCGGAGCCGCCCCTTCCCCCACTCTCCACCGCCCCGCCCGGTTGTAGCTGTTTTTCGGTGAGCAAAAACCCAAAAATCAAAATCTTTGCTCGCTCACCAGCCAGTTCGTCGGGACTTTTTTCTTTCTTTTTCTTTCACACTCTTTATATTGGATATCATATCAATCCTATCACCAATCGTACGTGTGCTTAATGGAACGTCAGGAGACCAATGAGAACAGCTTGCCAAGCGGGAGGCCGAAAGCCAGAGAAAAAGACGTGATCTAGGGCGATCCAATGCCATTTCGGGTGATTCTGGCCACCCAGTGGGGCAGGGGCTATCCAGGGGAATAACGCCGCCATCACGCCCACCATCTGATTCAATGGGTCCGTCCATGGTGTTCGTGGCGTGGATCGATTCCCCCCAGCGCTGGCGTCTTGTCGGGTGCCAGAAACCCAGTTTGCCCCATAAACATAAACAAATGACGCACCCACAATTTGCCGTCGTTGATCAATCAATCAAATAAGTCTTGCCTACATCTTTTCTCGGGTTCACTGCCTTGATCGGTGCATTTATCAGAGCTAATCGCCTCTGTTTACCCAGTGGCCACCTCCTCTACTTCCGCCCACTTCGCCTCAAAGCAAACCTCCGTTAGGTGTTGATTCGCACCACGACTAATTGGTGCGATTTTTTAGGCGTGAGCATTGTATGGGGATTTTTGCGCTATTGTCGATTGCTGTGCGATCTGGCACTAGCGTGAACTGGTGGTTGGAAGTATTCAGATCTTGGCCGTACAGATGGAGCATTTCATGTTTTTAAAATCAGCTAATTTTCGCCCGATATTTGCTCACCCGCTATTTTCCAAGCGCCGATCACATCCCAGGACAATATTCACTGCCAATCGGTCTGTCACGTTAAAACGTTAGATTCGAGTTTCCATACCTGATTATACTTCATCCGACCAAACCGCCGTCGGTTTGACGCGTTGGTACAGTCAGGTAGGTAATTCTCGCAATTGTCGGCGGAAATGTCGTGCGCGCGGATTGTCAAGTGCTACTGGGATGTCGCATCTTGTTCGACGTGGTCTCAATTGACGATTTTAGCAATCTCATTACTAACTTCTTTTAGTTTAACCAACCACATACACATAATGTCAGCCTCTCGTGAAGATTCTGTTTACCTCGCCAAGTTGGCTGAGCAAGCCGAACGTTATGAAGAAATGGTTGAGAACATGAAGGCCGTTGCTTCCTCCGGTCAAGAATTATCTGTCGAAGAACGTAACTTGTTGTCAGTGGCGTACAAGAATGTCATTGGTGCCCGTCGTGCTTCCTGGAGAATCGTTTCTTCCATTGAACAAAAAGAAGATGCCAAGGGTAACGAAACACAAGTTGCTTTGATTCGTGACTACAGAGCCAAGGTTGAAGCCGAATTGTCCAAAATTTGTGAAGATATCTTGTCTGTGTTGACTGACCACTTGATCTCCTCCGCTCAAACCGGTGAATCCAAGGTTTTCTACTACAAAATGAAGGGTGACTACCACCGTTACTTGGCTGAATTTGCCACCGCTGACAAGCGTAAGGAAGCTGCTGACTTATCCTTGGAAGCCTACAAGTCTGCTTCTGATGTTGCTGTCACTGAATTACCACCAACTCACCCAATCAGATTAGGTTTGGCCTTGAACTTCTCCGTGTTCTACTACGAAATCTTGAACTCTCCAGACAGAGCCTGTCACTTGGCTAAGCAAGCCTTTGACGACGCCGTTGCTGACTTGGAAACTTTATCTGAAGACTCATACAAGGATTCTACTTTGATCATGCAATTGTTAAGAGACAACTTGACCTTATGGACTGATTTGTCAGAAGCTCCAGCTCCAGCTGAAGAGCAACCACAACAAGCATCCACCGAAGTTAAACCAGAAGAAGAATAGATTTATTGAAGACGTGTGACCATTTTTCTCTACCTCTTTTATTGTATGTCTCTGTCCATGTTATTCTATTCTCCTGTCTTGTCAGTTTTTCTTCTTTGCTTGTTCTATTGTTTAGTATATTTCGTGTGTGATTCTTCAGCAATGTCAAACCTAGAACCGTTGTTTTCATATTGATACAGAGAAGAGTCGCCTCTTGAATTAACGCCTGATCTTCAGTTTATTATTATATCATATATATTTATTATATCTATATTCAATCCAGTATTGTCTCTGATATATGAATATAAGTACCATCAACGGTGAGATATGTATGAATAGCAATATACAAAATATGACTAAGTTTATAATTGGTATTCAGCAGGCAAAAACACCGCTCGTTGTGCGGTTGTAACATGTTGCTATTTAAGGTGAAACGGTATTGTCGCAACTTCATCTCAAAGATGGCAAGGGTAACGAAGTTAAAAAGTGGAGGAAATGCTGGTTGGGTTCCATAGTTCGGCTACAAGTCAATTAAGATAGTAATCTTGGTCCATTCAGTCATTTGTCCACCAAGACTCCTTCGCAAATGGATTCACGTCGGGTATCACTTAAACCACTCAATGTGCCAGAATGAACGAGAGATCCAGAAATATCTAGTCACTCAAATCACCCAAGCTGATGCACTTACCTATCTTGTCCGAGACAGCTCCTTTGAATGTTCTGTTGTTTTGCAAGCTGCTGATATGATGCCTGGCTCGTTCTGCATCGATAGGGATACTGGCACAACTACTGAAGTTGCACTTTAAATAGGCGAAGCAGCTGGAACCGATGCTACCTATTCAAATTTTCAAGTAATACGGTCAATATTGGCCCAAAACCAAATAGGGTTTAGGTGATTGGTCATATCATCGATTTTGGTCCATTTACCTCCCCACATAGATCTGGAACTAGGACCTCATTGGTTGGCTGAGTTCAGCTAGATGTGTCGTACGTCAAATCGATTGAGAGACTTGCTTGCTCCATATGCACTCACATAGGTCTGGATTCTGGGGATGGTGAAGCTCATAGATAGAAACACCATGAGGTTTCACCTTTTGATGAGAGGATCATGCTAACATTTCTACCTCAAAAAAATCGTTAAATTGAAAGAATTCAACTTTTATGGAAGTATATCTGGTGCAGCCCTTTCAGCTAACAAGCAGTAGAGACTCCCACTCCATCACAACACCAACTGATTGTTTGTAGTTGGTGGCTGCAAAGAGGGCATCCATTAAGTGTCCGGGTAACAACCAGAAAACTATTTAAGAACCCGCGATGAATCGACTTCCTTTGCCTACATCATTGGTATATTGCCTTTCTAATATACGAATCTCTGAAGTTTACTATGTAGACTGGGCCTATATCTCCACCCACATGCCGACCTCAGGTGTGGGGGGTAAACGAAACCCAAAAATTGATTGAGAAATCTGCAGAAGGGTCCTTATTGAATAGTGTATGGACATTCTTTTGATGATGGCTCACATTTTGAAACCAAACGGAAGTGATTCCGCCGATGGTCTCTTGTCGACTTACCGGCTAAACAACTGTCAAGGCTCATGTAGATGGAAGGGCAAGTATTGCCGTTATGGACCTTTTCTTCTGTCGTGAAATACGCCGACCCTAATAAGGTTTCCCTAGTATGTGAAAAAAGATTAACCTTATACCCTAATAATGTCGACAACACGGTCTCGTGGTTTTTATCATCAGTACGACTTTGTCAAGTGTAGCCATTAATGTCAAGACTCGTGGTATTGGAACTTGAATGTGCCATCCCAGTTAATAATTCCGTACGCATCACTTTACCAGTGGAATACTCTTGGTCAAAAAGCCTCGGTTCTACTAATGTTACTGCAGGGACTTCGACCAGATAAATGATCCTTTTCTTTCGTATTGAAGCCACTACTGAGCCCATACTTCTCTACATCTCAAGCTGGGACCGTCCAGTCGGCCCAAAGACTATTATCTATTACGTTATAGTCTCTGGTGTGTACTGCGACAAGCTAGCAGGCCCTGGAAGAGGCAGTACCATTTTTTGAGAGTACCAATCCCATATTGGATCCATCTAGTGCAGTATGGCCGTACTACTGGAGATCATTAACCTCCCTCGATCTCTCTCGAAGTTGGTGCTGCGATCTAGGCCCTGTCTTTGTATACCCCTGGTACAACGCGTAATCCAATTTTCATCCAGTGCACGCCCGTCAAATAAAAACAAAAATGACGACGGGTGGTTTGATCAGTTTCTACCATTCGGATCTCTCGTTAAATCACATTCAGAGGTTACACCAGTAGACCTGACACTACAGTACCAAGATGCCTGAACCAGTGGGAATTGCAAACTTGCCAAATCAAAGGTACGTACCGAAACTAGCAAGAATAGGACACGAGTCGAGCTAGCCGAGAGACACGATGTTGGCCCCGATGAATCTGGTGGCGATAGACAGCAGAGCCGAGACTAAGGGATTCCAGAGCCAATGGAAGCTGTTTAGCCATTCGATGATGTTTGGAATGCCAGACTTGGTCGAAGCAATGGGTGTTGCCAACGTGGAAATCAAGTCGTCTAGTCCATCACATTGAGTCGAGGCCCATGAGTAGTCAGAGAACTAAAACAGTTCCCCTTACACATAGTGTAATCTCAGCTCCTCCATTCGAAGTCGTTGTAGACTTGGTGACTTGAAACTTAATCATATTTGAACACGTACTAACATCTAGATACAAAATTGTATCCAAACAAGGTGCCACCTTCACCTTGATGGTTGCAGGTGAAAGTGGATTGGGTAAAACTACATTCATTAACACCCTTTTCCAATCTTCGTTAAAAGCATACCAAGACGCTTCCGAAAGACACAACAAGTTCACCAGTGCTCATCAAACTGTCGAAATCGACATTGTCCGTGCAATTTTGGAGGAAAAGAACTTCAAGGTTCGTTTAAATATCATCGACACCCCCGGGTTTGGTAACAATGTCAACAACCATGATTCTTGGACCCCAATTATTGATTTCATCGATGATCAACACGAATCCTACATGAAACAAGAACAACAACCTTCCAGATTAAATAAGAAGGATTTGAGAGTCCACGCATGTCTTTACTTCATTCGCCCAACTGGCCATTCTCTCAAGCCATTGGATATTGAAATCATGAAGCGTCTCTCCACCAGAGTGAACTTAATTCCAATTATCGCTAAGGCTGATACCTTGTCACCTATTGAATTGGAAGCCTTCAAATCGAGAATAAGAGATGTCATCGAAGCTCAAGACATTAATATCTATACTCCACCATTGGAATTGGATGATCCAGCCAGTGCTGAGCACTCTAAGCAATTGATCGAATCCATGCCATTTGCCATCATTGGTTCCGAAGAAGAATATGAGGTTGCACCAGGCAACTTTGTCAGAGGAAGAAAGTACCCATGGGGTTTAGTTGAAGTTGAGAACGACCAGCATTGTGACTTCAAGAAATTAAGAAGTTTGTTGTTGAGAACCAACATGTTGGACTTGGTCTTATCTACGAACGAATTCCACTTTGAAACCTTCAGATCAGTTAAGTTGGGTGGTAATGACGATGATGCCGGTAATGAGGGAGAAAAGGATGAAGATGCCAATGAGAACGGAGACGTTGTCAAGAAGTCGTTGGCAAAGAAACCAAGAAGATTACACAATCCTAAATTCAAGGAAGAGGAAGATGCCTTGAAGAAATTCTTCACGGAACAAGTCAAGGCTGAGGAGCAGAGATTCAGACAATGGGAAACCAATATTGTCAACGAAAGAAACAGATTGAACCAGGACTTGGAGGAGATGCAAACTAAGTTGAAATCCTTGGAAGAGCAAGTTAAGAAGTTGCAATTACTGAAACGTTAATCTCCATGTTGTGTTTAGTTCATCTTTTGTTTCGGCTGTTGGTATAACCGGCGAGTTTGTATATCATATTACATTTTACATAATGTTAAAAAGCCCAGTGGTGCTGTATTAATCGTTTGGTGTCTGTAGGGATGTAGATGTAGCTTGACTCGAGTGTCAGTTTAGTTTGCAGAACGTAAACCGACACATCTGTGATATGGACGTAGACATAAAATAGATCAATTATTGAAGTATAGGCTACGAAAATACTATGACAAATACGAGTACTACACGGCATGAGGAACGTCAATCCCTTACAAAGCACATCTAAAGCCGGTGCAACTACTAAAGAGTAATCCATCAGAAATTGACACACGAAACACGGAAATATTTGGATACTGTAGACTTGTTTACGTCTCCTTTCTCCATGTACGGGTGCTTACGCAATTACCATAGCCTGGCCAACCGTTTTCCGGATGGTATAGTTATCGACCTGTACCGGGTGGGAACGACCCACCGGACATATGAGCCTCGAGGACTTTGTCCCCGAGCCGCCCCTCCTGGCGGTTTTACCCCACGCAGTTGATCCATCTGTCACGGGGTTCGCGGTTAAATACGGAAGTTCACGGATAGTAAAAATTCAATATCCAGAGTCAAATCCCACCAGCCACACCAGCCGTGATCGCCAACCACCCGCTCTGCTGCTCCTCCTTGCTATATCAAACAGAAAACGTTCCAGGCGACCCCTTGCAGCTTTTAGACCACTCCACAGACGCTCTAGCCGGAGCCACCCATCAATACTGCTGGAGCCTCATCACCAATTTCCCCTTTACAATCACCACAACCGCACCACACCATGCTCGAGTACTCGGATCCCACCTCGCCGCCTGCCAACAACAAGCAGTTTCGCCGCAACTACCGTGCGTGCTTGAACTGCCGTGTCCGCAAGGTCAAGTGTGACTTGGGCCCCGTAGACAACCCCCGTGATGGCAAGTGTGCCCGATGCCAGAGAGAACGCAAAGATTGCGTGTTTGTCGAGTCGAAACGGGGAGGCATGGGCAACGTCACCATCGGCAGACAGAAGAGAAAGCGTGAGGACGAGGCCGGCGACGGCTTCAGTCCCAAGAGCCCTACTCCCGAGTTGGCTCCTAGCCCAGAACCCCCAGTCAAGCGTGAGTCCGGCCACACCCTGGCGCCCAGTACCACCCAGGCTCGGCCAGTACCGCTCGCTGCGTCGCAGCAGCGCCTTCCGTCAGTGACCAATATCCTCAACCAGGCCCAGCAAACCCACCAGACCCACCAGAACCAGCTCGACCAACGCGTCACTCCTGACCTGAAGCAGTCGCCCAGCAACCACTTCTCCACCATGGAGGGTGCGTTGGTATTTTTGGCCAAGGCTGCGGGTACCATCGCCAAAGCAGACGAACGAGACAACATAGACGCCAGAGCGAAACACGAACAATTGGAGGCTCAGGAAAAACCGGCATCCACACCAGATCCAGCACGGCTGTCAACGTTGTCTTCTGTGCCACCACCAGCGCCAGCACCCTCGTTCAGGCCGTCCCATGTCCCTCCCTACATGAAGCCAGGCCACCAGGGCAAGCGGATGACGATGCCAGCAGCCGAAAATGGGTTTGCAGTCCGTCCCAAAGGCTCCAATAAGTTGTCCAGCATCGAATACATTGGCGAGCCTAACGGTATCTTGTCGGAGGCCGAAGCCGAGCGATTGATCCATTTGTTCTTCACCACCATGCACCCGTTCTTCCCTCACATCCCCCAGTTCTTGCACTCGCCCAAGGTGCTCTCTGCGTACCCCATTTTACTCTGTACTATCCTAACCATCTCGTCACGATACCACCCATTCGAGAATAACGTGGGTGTCAACGGAGGCGTTCCTCGTAATATCGAAGTGCACGATCGCTTGTGGTTGTATGTGCAGCGGTTGATATCCCAGACGGTGTGGGCAGAAGCCAGCACCAGATCCATCGGAACGATTTTCGCCTTTTTCTTATTCACAGAATGGAACCCCAGGGCAATCCATTGGAGATGGAGCGACTATGCCAATAAGGCAGAGGAAGCCAACGACGAGGGAATGTATGCTGGCGCCGGTGCTGCCTCCAATGGGACAGGATTGAATGGCTCGAACAACCCGGGAAAAGAATCGGACAGTGAGCCAAACTTAGCTGGGCTTGGTGCCATGAGAAGAAGTTATCGTATGGCCTGGATGTTGATCGGGTCAGCAGTAAGGTTGGCTCAAGATATGGGGTTCATGGAAATCAGCTCCAAAACGTTTTTGGCAAGTCACATTGCCGAAATCAACTCGGTCATGAATATCAGTAGAAGGTCGATGTTGGCACACTCGTTATCGGAGGTAGATTTGGACGAAGATGAAATATCGGAGGAGGACATGGAGAACGTGGAAGATGACGATGACAGAATCATGAAGATGACTGAAGATGACTTGAAAAGAATTGCCAGTGAACATATATTGAAGTTTACCCTTTCGCAAAAGGCTCAAATCGAATTGCTCCAAATCATGTCTTTGGGACATGAGTCGTTGTATGGTTACAGAGCCCAATTGGGAGGACTTACCCAGAGGCAAAACCTATCAGTTTTGAGTATTATTAGTCCATTGATCAACAACTGGGGTAGAAAGTATAAGCACTTCTTGAAGCCTGTGAACTATAACAAATTAAGAAACATATCCAACAACTACTGGTTGCAACCTAACTCCAAGACCGCCAAAGAAATTGCAGAATTGATTGAGCAAGAATCCTTTGTGTTTGAGTTCAATTACGTCAAGTTATACATTTATTCTTTGGCTTTGAGTCCTACGCCCAAGGTGGAGGGAGATAAAAAGAATAAAAGAAAATCTGGCAAAGCGACCTTGAAGTTGGATGAAATGTCGAAGTCCGCCAAATACATTGAACAGGCTTTCAATGCTGCCAATGAGATGTTATTGGTAGCTCATAGAATCCATAAGTTGAAGCTATTGAGATACATGCCTGTTAGATGGTTGACCAGAATGGTTCGTGCCGTTGCATTTATTGTTAAATGTTATCTTACAATCACAGCCCATAAGAAGTCTTCCAAATCAACCACAAATTTACTTAATAGCTCTATTGACGATTTTGATTCCACCATCTTGTCTTTGTCATTAATTACCATAGATGAGATTATTTCCAGTATTCAAAGAGCAGCTATTACTTTGAGGGATTGCTCGCCTGATGAATTGCATTTATGTACCAGATACTCGAATGTGTTGATGTTCCTTTGTTCTGAGATGAAGACTACTGCCAAGACCTTCCAAGACGAGGAAGACGATATGAACTACAAGAGAAGAAACTTCCCAGTCAATCTTTCAAACAACGTTTATGCATCCGAGCCACAATCGAACTATGAAAACACACCCCAGCCCAAAGAGCCAGTCTATGCTTCTAATTTGGAGTCTGTTCCATTCATGGACCATAGAGATAGTAGCACCAGTGAGAATATCACTCCGTCAGATCAAAGAAGTCCTTTGCTTGGTGACAATGAAGTCATGGACTGGTTTATGAATAACCGAAACGTCGGTTTAGACTTCGTTGGACCCTGGACCGAGATGATCGAACAACAATTGAACTTGAACGACCAGTTCAACTTCGAAGATGCACTATAGAGAAACGTGTGCCTACAACAACCGAGCGAGATTTATAGAGGTCTAGTGAGCACAATAGTGTACGTAATAATCAGCTAATAAACAGCAAGATAATAACTATTGATTGTAGATGCACTGTTCTTCCGAGAGATGATCAGGATGAAAATATCTGATAAGTATCAATTCTTCACTTTATTACTATCTCAATTGACCAGTGCAAGTTAAATTGATTTTTCAACAATTTATGAAATTTTCTACAAAAATTTATAAAATGGTAAACTAAAATACCAAACCCTCCAGAGTACACATACTACACCAGTAACCCAAGGTTGAAATACGACTGTACCGATTAGGTTAAAATCGGTATTCCGACTTCCCTCGAAACGTTCTTACATCTCAGGGTTGCCTGGTTGTGAACCAGGGAACGGTACTGCAAGTAATTACAGTTCGGCCTCAGCTAATGATATGCAGATATGTGAAACTAGATACCTACATGTAGGCTGTGCATACACTAGACTGGAATAGAAAGATTCAGGTTGAAACACAGAAATAATTGAACATGTTCGGTTCAGTTGGGAAAAATATAGCACTGAACCTACAACCGTTTCAGAGCCATACATACAAAATTCACAAAGAAGAACTTATTGCAGGTAGTTTCTTTTCTTGACATTACACTCTTTTGGTTGATTTGATTGCACATTCCACTCTGTCCAGGAAAACAGGAAACCAGTTATCAGATAGTCACATGACTACCGTAGGAGCTTGATTATGATGATTGATTCCACTCTGGAATGCCGGAAAGGGAATCATCAAATTTTGTCTTATAGACGGCATACCCAAAGTGGTATTGCCGTTAGATGATTTTAGATGGAGTTGCAAGGGGTCGGATTTTCCACCACCCCTTCAACTATCTATAAATAGCAACAAAATTAGCCGTGGGTTTTCAGGCGATAACGAGCGAAGATGTAGATAGCGACCAGCCCAAATCACGGTTTAAAGTAATGATAGTAGTAGGGTAACCACGGTAGACCTAGAATGGCATTATTAGGGGAGAATTGAAAACCAAATTTCTTGCGTTGCCTTGGGCACTTTGCAAGGTGAGAGTCTATTGTACGGTGCAAGGCTCACATCTACTGCAACCAGCCAGTTGCAAATGTGATTCTGCAGACATCACATCCAACGAGGGGGAAGTGGTCGCCGATTCACTGAATGGTTCACAACTCCACAGTTTGTTCACCAACACCATTCAATCACAGGACCCTCGCAGTCCCAAATAGGAAGCGGATCAAATCACAGTTCTCAAATAGGAAAAGTAATTGGATGGCACTGAAAAGAAAGGCCAGCACCTCCACAGGCCTGTGATGATTCCAGGCAAATCGGGCAAGTTGCCTCGACACTCTGGGAAGTTGCAGAAGCCCATGGCTAGGGGTAACCACCAAAAGGGAATTATAGCACGGGAGCCAGGGTGCGGAGATGGCCTGCTGGGACTGGGAAGTGGTATTTCTTTTTGGGACATCCTGGCAGTTCCGGGGGTGAAGTGGACTGCCAGCCACCACCATCTGGTGGAAAGCACATGCTGGGCGAGGTACAGCCATCAGGCTAGCTGGTGGGGCTAGCTTACCAGTCACGTGCCGGGCGGGTCAGATTGTCCCACCTGCGAGCAATAGACGAAGTCCGCGGCATCGGTGCTCGTACTGGAAACGAAGCTGGAACGAAGACGACAGACACTGGCGATGGCCTTATCGATAAGGGATATTTGGAGACATGCATTGACGTGGGAACCAAATATAAACACCCAGGCCCCTGCAAACTGCAAGCTGGAGGCCCGACGTGTCTCAGGAGGTCCGATTGTTAATCTCGTTTAGCGTAGACTCCCTCGGAACAATTCCGGTCGTGTAAATTTTTCGGATTGGGCTGAGCAAAAGAAGCTGGCTTGTTTGTTGATATTTGCCGTCGGAAATGTGGTGGTTGTTGGAGCCGGTTGCTATTGTGGTAATAATAGCAATATGACTGGAATGCAGGGCGGAGTTGTGAACCACCGCCATGTGTGGATAGGTGGAACAGGAGGGCCCGGGGTGGGACCCACCCCGAATTACACATTGCAGTGGTTCCGCTTGCCCCCGGACGTTTTGGGCCAAGTAGTAACTTACGTCAACCTGGATCGACCACCGGCCAATTTGACCAATTGCAGTAACGAAAAAAACCGGATTTTTCCCTGATGAGGAATATTAATAACAGTATACAGACACCCACCATCGGTGAAAAGGTTCCGGTTCCGTTTTTAGGGGAAATTTACGGCACTGGTCATATCCGAGGGTGGGCCCCACGCCAATCGTCGGCACCTCCAGCCACATCCGGGCCTCCTCGTTTCTCTGACGCCAGCGCTCTCCTTTTACGGAATTTTCCTGGCAGGCCGGGCAGTGCTAGCGAACCCTCGAAATATCCTGGCATACCTCCCGCTTTTGTCCTACCAGCTTTTATAAAACCATTTGAATTCCTCCCGAAAATTTTTCTCTACTTGTTACTAGTAAAGATGCAATTCTCCAAGTTATTAGCCATCGCCGCTGTCACTGGAGTCACCTTTGGTGCCAGTTCTAACAGTATGTATTAGTGAATTCTGCGTTCCAGTGGAGAATCGAGAATAGACCACCCAAGCAAGAAATGGATAGCCGAGCAAACAGATAGAATGGATCGAAATGGATAGCAAATGGTACCCCAAAGCCATCAAAGAACTACTACAGGCAATCACAGCACTGTTACAGGGCAATCACAGCACCCACCACAATCATCACCACAGGCCAATCACTCCACCATAATCACCCGACGTCCCAGCCGCCCATCGTCTCCCGCCAGTCTATCCACCTTTGACGCCATCCCTGGGCCTCGAGCCTTGGGCGTCGAACGCCGCTGGCTCGATTCCGTCTCTGGGCTCTTACCACCCCAGTCCCAAACCGGAACTTTAATTGCCACGCACTACCGTGCCCAAAACACTACTAACCATTAGACTCCACCTTGACTGCAGCCACCCCAACTGCTGCCTCCGGATGTTCGTTCTCCTCGTTTACTGCCACCAACAACGCCCAGGTGGCTTCCGTTGCCGCCTGTGCCACCGTTGTCGGTGATGTCACCATCCAAGGTGCCGGTTTGGACACCATCAACTTGAACGGTGTCAAGCAAATCTTCGGTGACTTGAACATCAAGAACGCTAACTTGACCACCGCTATCAACGCCCCAGACTTGCAATTGGTCTCTGGTGACCTTAACCTTGAAGAGCTCCAAATCTTGTCCTCTTTGAACTTGGCCCAATTGACCACTGTTGGTACTTTGCAATTCAACGCTTTGCCAGCTTTGGAAAGAGCCGGCTTGACCTCCGGTATCACCACTGCCGACTCCATCGTCATCTCCGACACTGGTTTGACCTCCTTGGAAGGTATTAACGTTTTCAAATTGAAGGTTTTCAACGTTAACAACAACAAGGACATCGAAACCATCGACTCCGGTTTGATTGCCGTCACTGACACCTTGTCCATCTCCTACAACTCGGACAACGTCGACGTCATCTTGAACCAATTGACCTCTGCCAACAACCTTGACTTGCAAAGAATCAACTCGTTCTCTGCCGGTAACTTGTCTGCTATCAACGACTCCCTTGTCATCACCTCCTCCAACGTTGACAAGATCGAATTCAAGAACTTGGAATCGGTTGGTAAGTCTTTGACCATCGACCAAAACGGTGAGGTTGAAGAATTGGACTTCCCTAAGTTGACCTCTGTCGGTGGTGCTCTCCAAATCGGAGACAACGACCAATTGAAGTCTTTCTCTGGTTTCCCTAAGTTGAAGACCATCGGTGGTTCCGTTAACATCTCCGGTTCTTTCGACAACGGTACCTTCCCAGCCTTGTCTTCTGTTGCTGGTGGTTTCACCTTGAGCTCCGAAGACGGTGATTTGTCCTGTAAGGAATTCGACAAGTTGAACTCCAGCGGTGACATCAAGGGTGACAAGTACGCTTGTTCTGGTGCTGGTGGTTCTTCCTCCTCATCTTCCTCCAAGAAGGGTAACTCCAACGGTTCTTCCTCCGACTCCTCCACTTCTTCTGGATCTCGTTCTTCTGCTTCTTCTTCTTCCAGATCCAACGATGCTCCATCTGTTCAATCTTCTTTGTCTTCCATCATGGTTCTTTTCGCTTCCTTTGGTATCGTCTTGTACTAATCGCGATTGGACATGTTCACACACACCTTAATGCTTATGCTATGATACTTAAGCCTAGATGAGCCACGAACAGGGGGGTTATTGCCAGAAAAATGGTCGGTTATATATATTTGTCCGAGTGAGCGGGCTGGTGTTGCCACCTATAACTCCATCCTTTCTCAATCTTGGGATATATTATACATCGGTGTGTACCTTTTACTTTCTTGTCGTTATCATTAGTCAAAACCTCTGTGGTCGTCAAGAGTGGTGATTGCAGTCACCCTTGATCTGTACCCATTTCTGTTTTATAATACTATTAATTTATTTGTATCAGATGTAGGAAATCAGCGCCGGCATAAGGAAGGTGAACAAATAGTGTAATGACTGTGAAGTATGATTTTGTACATATCCGTCTACATTATTAATTGGCAATTCATCTAATGAGATGCTTTCGCTGAGCACACAACCGATGAAATGTTATATGGATACATCCTCTTAGTTCATTTTTTGACTTCTAATCTCTATAAAGTTATTCTATGTTCAAGTCTTCTCCACTCATATGTTCCACGGTGGTAATATTCAACAACCGGGCAAATTCTTTGGCATACTGGTCCGCAGCTTCCTTGACACTGACGTCTTGGTTGGTCAATTCTTTAATGGAAGTAGCGCGAGCTTCAGGCAATCCACACATCTCAAACGCATTTAAGTACTTGAGGTCGGGGCCAACGTTCAACCCAATACCATAGCTGGTAATTGCTCGTTGTATGTTGCATCCAACCGAGGCAATTTTTTGGTTCTGGTTTGTCCAAACTCCTGGATTTTCGTTGATGAAATTGGGCACCGAGTAATTCTTTTCAAGAAGGTTCTGAACCGATTTCAAGAGCACGGCATCAACGTAGCATCTCACTGTCAAGTCCTGGAATTGCTTGAGATCAAGAATACCGTACGCCACAAGCTGGCCCTGTCCGTGCCAGGTCACCTGGCCACCACGCTCAAGCTGATGGTAGCGACATCCGGAATCCTCGTATTGCTTGATTTTGGCATCCAAATTGGGATCTTGCCTTACTTTCTTGCCTCCGGTGTAAACGTTCTCGAACTCGAAGGTCAACAACGTTGGAAACGGTTTCATGTCGAGGATCTTGTCGAGTAGCGATTCTTCGTACTCGTTTAGTTTCATGCCCTGAGCTGCGATATCTCTCTTCTGTTTTTTGATCTTGCCTTCGAGTTTCTTGAAGTCGAGGTTGGCATTCACCATGGCATTTTGGATCCTTTGCCCCCGTTCGAAAGAGGTGATTCCGGGAAAATGGATATGCCGGAGAGTGTTATAGTTGTCACATAGCGGCGTGAACCGGGTACACGAGCTGACCCCTCTGATAAATGTTTTGGAAGCCATGGGGTCCTATTTGGTACGCTCCAGCTGAAGTATATACGGTCACGCGCCACACAACACGTGATACAATAACAAGATTATCTCCCGTATACGGTTCATCGTAGCCCCGCTATCTTCCACAAGTCATGGTCGAAACCCTCCGTGCTGCTCCTGGAATGTCCAGGCGGCCTACCACCCCCAATATTTTAGCAGGAACGAAGCGCAAGCCAACAACCGCCACCACTACTGCCAATATCACCCGGAGCGGTCCTGAAGGTACACCATGGACTTCTTCCCGAGTCTCAGTGCTGGCACTGAGTTCGTCTACGCTAGAGCCAGTCACTCCCACTCCCAACTCAGTTCCTTCATTCACTCCTCTGTCTCGTTCAAAAGCCCTCAATCTCAAGAAAGCCCTTGAAATAAAGAACAAACCCAGGAAGGCCCTCCGAGACTTGCAAAATATCACCCTGGTCCAAGAAGAGCATGCAATTGAGACAACCGAAGCGTTCAAGTTGTTGTACAGACTATTCGTTCCAAACAAGTACTTGATAAAAAACAATCGAGTATCGACTAAACATCTTTTGAACCATCTCCCCTCCATAATTCCCACGTCTTCCACACAAGACGCTAATACCTACATCGATTTAAACTTTCAAATTCATCTTTTCCTCAGTACAATTATGGTGCAATTTGTCAATTCGTGGTACTTGACCAAACTCAACACAGACAACTTGGAGTTCGTTCTGTTAGTTTATCAATTGATTTGCGACATCATCAAAGATTTGAGTAACCGAATCAATGTGCTCTTGAAGAGTGATAAGAGTATTACTGATGCCATTGATCAAATAAGTGAGATTTTGAATGTGCATTTATCTGAACTAGTTTGTGAGAATCCTTATGACGAGTACGACATCAAGATTCTCAATGACCACTACGATACCATATATCTGAGAAATTCTTTGAAAAATCATACTCGAGATTTGCAGAAACCTCTCATGGCCTATTTGACGCAAAGACATCTTATTTTTGACTCGGAAATAGCTCCTGATGTCATCGAATCCCAATTTGTGGATCCAGAATCATCCAGCGATTCAATTTTTGCTAACGACACCCTTGACCAGATTGAAAGAGAGAAATTGGAACAAGAGGGTGAAAAGCCCATTCTGGACACCAACAGAGTAGTCTACTTCAGAATTATAGTTAGAAAAATATTGGGAAGCATATTCGATTCCGGATCTGAAGCATACAGTATCACCCCTTTAAACTCAAAGATATCTACCGATTTGATTGTCTTGCTTCTTGGAGATCTTGTGTTGAACAAAATATTTATGAAACTAGCTTCACCAGATTTCATCTTGAAGACGGTCATTAATTCCACCGTCGATGCAATTGATGAGGTGTTGGAAAGCAAGATCAATACCCCAAAGGAAGCGAAACCTCAACCCTTGAAGCATAGAATTCAGTCTGCAATTAGCAAGGCGTATTTGAGTATAAGCCATCTTGTGGTGAACATATCTAGTGCTAATTTCGTGCCTTACATGGTAGGGTCTTCGACAGAAGACACCACAGCCACAGAACCACGTTTAAGTTTCCTCGAGAATTCGGTATTCAAGCTTGTGGATACGTTGACAAACTTCTCTAAAAGAAAACCTTTGTGCACAAGTGTGCTTAAGTTTCTTAAGGATTACATCTTTGTTCATCCTGTACTCGCATCCAAAGTCGATAACGCTTTTCTGAAATTCGTTTCCAGTAGGGTATTGAAGTCTAAACCGTTGAGTGAAGAATTTCTTTGTGGAATCGTGGCCAAGCTCAGGATTGATTTGTTCGAAAATGACAAAATAGAGAACATCGAGCAGTCGGAGATCACTATAGATGTATTGGTGGAGAAAATATTTGCGATTATTGACAAGATGCCTAAAGTGTTACCATCTGTTTTTGTTCATACTAATTTATTCCGATATCACAACGAGGACGACAAAGATTTGAGGGCATCGATAAGGAAGATACTTGTGATATTTAACTACAGCGAACCTGGCTCCAACAAGTTGAATGATTCATGTGAATTGAACAAGCTCTTGGTGATTAATTTGTTAGATTGCATTATAGGAAACTTGTACCCTGAAATATAGCCTGAAAGGAGCCTTCAAGTTTGCGTATAAATTTTGCGTATATATCAACAGTCCGGTATAATGTATCAGTTCATTTATATTCAATAAAGCGCAATGGTGTATGAAGTGAATCTTAGCATGAAGGGTGACGGATCGAAGTTTGTGCCCAGATTTTCATAGTGTATGTCTACTCGATTCTATTTATACTAAGTAAGAAGAGTATTGCTAAGCCGAGTATTTACAACCGTTCATCATCGCACATCTTAGTCTGGATGTTCACCCAATGGGTGCAAACTATCACTGGTTGCTCATGTTGCAGATCACGTGCACCAGTGGTACGATAATTTTTCAGGAATTCACAACTCGAAACCATACAACCATGTACCGTTTAAGCAAACTCAGCCATGCGGTAAGCTCATCAGCACCCCACGCCTCACAGCAGCGGACGTTCTTCTTAGCTGCCACTGCTTCAATTTTGGGGTCAATGATATTCAGCGAGAACAACACCCTAGCAACCAAAATGGAGAAGGGCCAGCTCCATTACAAGGATCCCAACGCCATATTCAACAAGTTGACGAGTGAAGACAACTTATACTTCAAGAGAGGCAAGCCTCAATATCCTGGACACGTTCCTCTTTTCCTCCACGAGAAGATCTTGATGGTGTTGGGGTCATCGATCGGATCATACTTCCATCCCGAGAGAAACGAGTTCATTGTTGGACTCGGTGAATCCACAGCCATCAGCCCAGTGTTGAGGAGTTTACAGACACAAATGTTGAGTGATCCCGTGGGACGTCAATTGTTAAGAGAGAGACCAAGAATAACCTCCACCTCTCTTAATTTGGAGTATCTCAGACTGTTACCGGAAAACTCGATTGGTAACACCTACATCAAATGGTTGGATAGGGAAGGCGTTAGTCCCGACACGAGGGTACCTGTCAGGTTCATTGAAGACGAGGAGTTGGCATACATTTACCAGAGATACAGAGAGTGCCACGACTTTTACCACGCAGTCACAGGGTTACCCATCATCATCGAAGGCGAGATTGCAGTGAAGGTGTTTGAGTTCATGAACATCGGCATTCCCATGAGTGGGTTGGGGGCATTGTTTGCACCATTGCGGTTGAAGAGAAGCCAAAAGGAACGATTATACAACATATACTATCCATGGGCATTTAGGAGCGGGCTCAATTCCAAGCCGTTGATCAACGTGTACTGGGAGAACATTTTGACCAAGGATGTCAATGAGTTCCGGGCGGAAATGGGAATCGAGCAGCCTCCCGACTTGCGGAACTTGAGAAAGGAGTACTTTGAAAAGTTGAAGAAGGCCAAGAAGGTGTAGAGGGAATATGAGGACTCATGGATAATGAATAGATACGTCAATCTTGTGTAGTAGGAATGTGAGGACTCATGATGAGATACATCAATCTCGTGTAGTAAGGATATCCCCGAGGACCCATGGATAATGAATAGATGCCAATATGTTTAGTCTTGTGTAGTAAGGATATCTCCTGGCCAGGTAAGGGTAATGAATAGATGCCAGTATGTCAACCTTGTGGATATGCATGTGCGCGTTACCCCAGATTTCTCGGTGACCAACCAGGATGGTGTCACCAATGAGCCTCGTTGCTCACGGGAGCAAGAGGTGCCAGGTGTGGCTAGTCATTGCTGACTACCAGAAAGGCGCAAATGTACGGCATGGGACTGTTTTCGCGGTGTTGGTCCGCCTCGGCCAGTCGCAACTTCGCTTCGCCTCTTCATAGTTGCTCGCACCTTTGTGCTATGATCAGCCGCAGCATCATCAGTATGTCAAACAGGTGAATTCACGCCAAACACACACCACCATGTCCCAACTAGTCTACCAATACTTCCTCAAGAAAGTGAGTAGCCCACTAGGAGTCAGTTGCTTCGGCCAGTACTAACCTCAGACCAAACTCGACCATGTGGTGAACATGGGGCCCGACGAGGATCCTTACTTCGAGGAGATTCCAGCAGACGAGCTCCACTTCTACCAAAGACAGGGTGCCAAGAGAAAGAGAAGACTTCCCAACTTCATCTCCCATCACGATTTGAAGGTGTTAGATTCTGTCAAGCGTAAGGCGTACCGGCTTGACTTGCAGCTCAGTCTATGCGGACTCCGCCTAGGATGGGCGGGGGTCATTGGGTTGATACCCTGGATAGGCGACTGCATAGCCTTGATGCTTGCATTGCAGGTGTTGAAGAAGGCTAGGGAGGTCGAGGGCGGGCTTCCCGGCAGTTTGGAGCTGAGAATGATGGCAAACATCATGTTTGACTTTGGCATTGGCTTGATTCCGTTTGTGGGGGACTTCATCAATATCCTATACAAGTGCAACTCGCGGAACTTCATCTTGTTGGAGGCACATTTGATCAAGAAACACCAGAAGAACAATCCGCCTGGCAGTGCTGCGCTAGCGGGAGCTCCGAAGCCGGCAGCCAAGGTCGTTGTCCCGCAGAGCCAGCCAGGATCCAAGAACCACTTGGTGTGAGCTGGCTAGGCCTCCAACTGGAGGAAACCCTGTTCCAAATGGTCCAAACGCAGCTTGAAGTCGTCTATGAACAAGTTCAACTGGTCCAACTTCAAAAAGTCACTTTCTATAGCTTTACAGGACTCTATCAACATGTTTACCGTTTCAAACTCGTGATCCAAGCGGAGCTGGTCTTGTAGGTATTCTGCTTTAATGCGTCTCTCTTTCTCAGAGATGGCAGTGTAGGTGTCCTCAGCCAACGACGAGAGGTGGTCTCGGATCTTGTAGAGGAGGTAATCGTAGCTGAGGGCCAACTGGCGGATTTCAAGCGGGTCAGGGTCAGAGGTGGAGTCGGAAGGGCCATCGTTGGTCTCTGAGGGGGCGCTTCTCGGCTCCGAAGGAGGGTCATTGAGCTCCGTAGGAGTGTCAGTATTGAACTGGGAAGTGTTCCTCTCTGACATGCCATTGACGCCATTCACAGGTTCAGAGTCCTCGTTGAACCCACTGGTTTCACTGGAGCCATTGGACCCGTTGAACCCGCTGGCACCACCAGTACCTATTTCACTGCCAGTACTGCCATTGTTGCTGGGGCTGTAGCTGCCTGATTCTTCCATGGTGGTATGGTATTGCTGCCTGATCTCCGCACTCAAATCTACCTCAGCCTGGGTGTAGTGCAGGCACTATAATCTACAGACAGGACTCTAAGCCTACTGGAGAACGTACGGAACCACCCAGCGGGAATGTACCCACCAGCTCTCCCTAGCGCCTGTTCTGCCTACGAGTGGCCTCGCTAGGACCGCCAAGCCAGTGGTGCTGGCAGCCATTTCTGCTACTGGCGCTCACCCCAAAACCTCACCGAAAAAAGGGAGCACCAACCACTAAACGACGCCACTACTCCCAGCGTCGGTACCATCAATCAAGATGTCGTCCGGGTCCTATTCACTCTCGAAGATCAATCCGAAGTTGTTGAGACGGATCTGTAAGTATAAGCCCAGCCAATGGACGGAGGTGCCACAACAGGCAGGTGCCACGGGGTCGCTAGCACCATTTATCAGAAACCATTCAGCACCACTTCGTGGGACCATTTAAACCAGGCCTGTTGTCCAGCACTGCTGTCATTGTCGGCACCACCGTCACCGTCCAACCAACACTAACCTCCAGACCGTGCCTGTCGTCCTACGCTCAACGAACCCAACCTTGCGTTGAACCTAGAGATCTGCGACTACATCAACGCCAAGCAAGGCTCCACCCACAGAGATGCCGCCATCGCCGTGGCAAAGCTCATCAGTCAGAGAGACCCCCAGACCTCCGAGCTCGCCATCTCGTTGTTGGACAACCTTGTCAAGAACTGCGGGTACCCGTTCCACTTGCAGATATCCAGGAAAGAGTTCTTGAACGAGCTCGTCAAGAGGTTCCCTGAGAGACCCCCCATGAGGTACACCCGGGTCCAGAGATTGGTGTTGGCCCAGATCGAGGAGTGGTACCAGACCATTTGTCGTACCTCCAAGTATAAGGACGATTTTGGGTACATAAAAGATATGCATAGATTGTTGTCCAACAAGGGCTACGTGTTCCCCGAAGTCAAGTTGGAAGATGCCGCCGTGTTGAACCCCTCGGACAACTTGAAGACCTTGGAGGACATCCAGAAAGAAGAGTCGTTGGTCCGCAGTGCCAAGCTCCAGGAGTTGATTAGAAGAGGCAGACCTCAAGACTTACAAGAGGCCAACAAGTTGATGAAAATTATGGCTGGTTTCAAGGACGACCACATCGTCGAGAGCAAAAAGCAGGTCAGTGATGACATCGCCAGATTGAAGAGAAAAGTGGAGATCTTGGCCGAAATGTTGAACAACGTCGAAGGTGGGGGCACGAGCATCCAAGACAATGAGGCCATTGGCGAACTCTACGCTTCGGTGAAGAGCTCTCAGCCAATTATCACCAAGATCATCGAAGAAGGCCATGACAACGAGGACGAAGTCAATGACCTTTTGGCATTGAACGATAATGTCAATTCTGTCGTGAGTAAGTTCCAATTCTTGAAGAATGGCCAGGTCGAGGAAGCTTCCAAGATTAACGTTCAAGGTGCAAGTGGCTCTGCAAATAATGACTTGAATCTTATTGATTTTGACGATGATATGCCAATCAGCAATGACAAGAGAGACGACCAAGGCTACAATGATTTGTTGAGTGACTTAGCCAACATATCCTTTGGCGATAACAACGGTGCAGTTGCATCAGCAAATGGTAGCAAGGTCAACCCTCTTGACTTGTATGGAGCAGGGGGATCTATTGCCTTGGGTGGAAATTCGCTGGCTTCTTCAGGAACCCCTTTGCAACAGCCCAAACCATCCACTTCTAATGATCTTGATCTTTTGGCCGATTTCAATTCTCCTTCACCTCAATTACAGTCCAACACCAACCAAGCTAACAATTCATTAGATCCATTTGGTTTCAACTTTCCCTCCTCAACCCCATCTCAGGTGCAGTCTCCCTCAGGACAGTCTCCTTCCGGACAATACAAATCGACGACTTTAATCAACCAATCTGCCTCTCTTAAGGTTGAAATTGGTATCTTGCCATCATCCACCAATCAATTATTCCAAGGTAAGATTTTGCTTAGCAACGCCCAATCAACCATCCTCAACCAGTTGAAGTTTTTGCTCGCTGTTCCAAAATCCTGTAAGTTGAACTTGAAACCTCAGTCGGGCGATGTTCTCTATGGCTTCAGCAATCAAGGTATTAGTCAAGAATTTTCTATTGAAAACTCTTTGGACAAGCCTTTGAAGGTTAAGTGGAAGGTGGAGTATGTTTCCGGAGGCTCCCACAATGAAGAGACCGGAGTGAGTAACTTAAGTTAGATAATAAATGTTTGTTAATGGAGTAAATAGAACTAAATACGTAAAAAGCCAGCCAGCACAGCTAGCGAAGAGAAAGTAGCCCAAGCCGACAACTTAAGAGTTGAATGGGTAATATGAATGTTGGATTAAAAAAAAGCCAGAAGGAGGAAATACAAGCCTAAGGCTTGTCCAAAACATCGTTGATAACGAACAAGAAACCATTGTCGACTTGTTGGACACGTTCCACATTGATCCATTCACCGTTGGCCAAACTGATAGAGAACTTATCACTTATTTTGTCTTGCTTGATGGTAACCACGTCACCTGAATTTAATTTGGCGACCACGGAGTGGGCACTTTCGTCAATATCCAAGTTCTGTTCGAAGTTCAACACAACATGGTGATTAACAAACAGTTCTAGGTTCTGCTTAACGGCGACATCCTCGTTATCGGCGCTGTCCAAGGAGATTGGGAACTCCCATGGCTTCAAACCGTTCAACTTTGAGTCTATGGCCTCGTCACTTGGAGCGATCACAAGCATTGTTTCGTTGGTCAACTCAGTTTTATGTGAAATCTCTTCGTAATCTCTAACATATCCAGCAAAGATGGAAACCAGTTTGACTTGTGGCAAGATAGATTCGAGTAAGTTGGCGTGGCAGTCCTTTGAGTCAACAGTAAAGTAAATCTGGGCAAGATTATCCTTGTTGGAAGAGCCATGAGCTTGCTTGAACGCAGTTATGTCAAAAGACTTCTTTTCAGCTCTTTTAGAGATCCCAGTGACCTCAAAACTGCCGATGTTCTTCGCATCTCTGGTCTCCTTTTCAGAAGCAAGGTCTTGTTGGAACTTGCTCAAGTCTGCAATGTTCTTTGCGTCCCTTTTGGCCTTTTTGGATTCAAGATCGTGTTTCCACTGTTCCAAATCAATGACATATTTAGCATCTCTCTTACCCTTTTGAGATTCAAGATCGTGCTTCAACTGCTCCAAATCAACGATGTACTTTGCATCTCTCTTACCCTTTTGAGACTCAAGATCGTGCTTCAACTGTTCCAAATCGACGATATACTTCGCATCTCTCTTGTCCTTTTGAGCCTCAAGGTCCTGTCTCAACTGCTCCAAGTCAACGATGTACTTAGCATCTCTCTTGTCCTTCTGAGCTTCAAGGTCCTGTCTCAACTGTTCCAAATCAACGATATATTTAGCATCCCTTTTACCATTTTGGGATTCAAGGTCTTGCTTCAACTGTTCCAAATCAAAGATATACTTGGCTTCTCTAGTCTCCTTTTCAGAGGCAAGGTCTTCTTTGAACTGGCTCAAGTCTGCAATGTTCTTTGGTTCCCTCTTTTCGAAATCCATTCTTTTTTCGTTAGGAGAGTCCTCGTACTGGTCGAAGTTGACCACGTTCTTAGCAGCAACCACCGAGGCTACTGCAGTAAGGGATAATACAAGCTTCAAATTCATTGTGGTGGTCATCAATTTGCGTGTACCAAATTAAATGAGGGCTCACTACCAGAGAGGTCGTGCATCGGACTACAATACAATTCACTGATCCTGCGACAGGCCGGAATGTGTACTGTATGGATGTATAGGCTATACAGACTATATGGACGATGGTAGCTTGTACTGGATGCTGCGTTGGATAGCTGAGCAGTACACAGCTGCGGGAGCGGCGTTATTGCTGTGAGACGAAGGTGATGCTTCGTTCGTGTTCCTCTTCGCAGGGTTAACTCCGCCACTTTTGTGTCTGCCGATCAGGACAACTGGGCATGGAGCTGCTTGAATGGTTTCAGGACCCCAGGCTATTGTAAAACCTAGCTCTCAAGTGTGTGCAGTTTCGAGACATCTTGGAGGCATTCTCGGTCATTAACAGAACCTTAACTCAAGGAAACCCTTTTTAGTGACAATGGTAGTTGTGCAATGGGTCCCCACTGTAAACTTCCACGCTTTGATAATTAATACTCATGGAGGGGGCAATGAAGGGGTCACACTCAAGCGGTCTTGGAGCCGGAGGCGCGACAAACTGTACTTCAAACGTTCTTTCTTATTCTTCAAGAACTTGAGCCGTGTCAACTTGGCTTCATCCAACGGCCCCAGCTTGCGGAGCCGTGAAAAGGGCAAATCCACTGCCTCTCGCTTGCTGCCTTGCAATCTGACTGCTTGTAAATCGTGGCGGTTTTGTAGGTTGATCTTGCGACGACTCATTTTTTGCAACTCTCGGTCTATTCTCTCAAGCATGGTAGAAATCTGCGGCTCTACACTTTCCTTGAACGTCTGCTTGGCGTTCTCCAAGTCGGTTTCGGGAACCAACCCAAACACCCTGCGTGTCATCAACACCTTCTGGACTCGAGGAATATCGTGGGTGGTGGCGTCTAGCGCCTTTATGGAGTCCTCCACGAGCGCTACCGACTCGCGGAGCGACATGATACAATTCTGGAGACTTGCCATCGCTTGCTGAATGTGCAGCAGTGCCGGTGATCGTGATATGGAGGGGGGCTAGGGTGGGAAGACGTCTGGCAAATGTGTTGTTTAGTTGTTTGGCGGGTGTTTTGGTGTTTGGGTGTTTGGTGATGTGCGAACACATCACGTGCCTCACTGATCAAATGTTGTCGTGATACGCAATTACGGAGACTCTTTCACCCTACAACTTTCTAGATAGAGCGTGGATTCCCCTAGTCAGCTGTGTTCATCCAATCATCGACGTCCACAGCGTCCAAACCATCATCCCGCATTCCGTCCTCTTCTCCAATGATAGAGATCGGGAGAGACCAGCTGGTCCAGCCGTTTCCCTCGGCGCCAGACGGGTCCAAAACAGAGCCCACAAGGCTCCAGGCGCCTGAAAAGTTGGGTGAAGCAAGCTTTGGAGCACAACCGGACTCGGAACTCCAAAATTCCAGCACAAACGGTCAAAGCACCCAAGTTCCAGTGCCAGCACCTGTTTCCAATGGACCAGCGGCTGTCTACGGTCGAAAAAGATCGAACTCCCAGTCCCAAGTGATCCTACAGCCCAAAGCCCAACCCATGGCTTCCACTGCCACATCTTCTGCATCAACCTCATCATCATTGGCCCGCCAAAGGGCTAGCGAGAACCCTCGCAAAAGGGCCCAGGTCCAGTACTATGTGACCTTGACTCCTCTCAACGATACCTTCATCAAGAAACACTTGCCAGTGGCCACCTTTCCCGATACCACCAAGCTTGGAAGACCCACAGGCACGAAGCACAAGCCGGATGTCACCAACGGCTACTTTGACTCTAGGGTTTTGAGTCGTAATCATGCCCAGATTTACATCGATTCAAAGACCGGCAAGTTGATGCTCCAGGATTTGGGATCTTCCAACGGTACATACTTGAACGATGTCAGGCTATCGAATGATCCGGTGGAGGTAAAGGTCAGTGACACCGTTTGTTTAGGTTTCAACGTCCAAGCAGAATCCACTCACAAGCAAATCAGCTTCAAGATCGAGAACATCAACGTCATTGGAAACGGGGTATCTAAAAGTGATTCCGGAATAGTTTTCAATAAACACCAGGGATTGGATTCATCCGAATTCAAGCACTTGAGCTTCATCGAAGATATCTACACTCAGTTGACAGAAAAGAAGACCAAGCCAGTGGTCGAATCAGAGCTTTTCTCGAAGCTAGTTGATGAAACAGAAACTCAGAAGATTAAGCAATATCCAATGTCATTTGAAAATGCGTTATTCGGAGATATCAATCCCCAAGTAGAAGATAACTTGTTGGGGTTCTATTCATCTATAAACTCTGGAATTTATAATAATTCGCAACTTACTAATACGGGTACTCTAGAAAGAACAATTAATGTCTTAATTATGAATCTTACCAAAGCAAAGCAGCAAAACCAATCATTGACCACATTGAGTAACTTCTTCACAAATTATCAAAGTAAGTTGAAACAGCTCAATACGAAGCACCTAGATGTCGAATTCAAGAAGCATTTGTTTGATATCCAAACAGACATAAAGAGACAGAAGCTCTCCAATCAAAAGTTAAAGGAAAGAATCAAATCAACCGAAGAAATAAACCTTTCCACCGTGGAAAGGTTGACCTCTCGAATTAAAACACTCGAATCAGAGAAAGAGAAGGTCAAAGTTTTGATGGCCCGAATGGTTGAAAATGAAAGGAAACGGAGTGTCGAGGATGCTGCTCGGGTTGAGAAGGAGAAGGAAAAGGAATTAGCAAAGGGCGAACAAGAATCTTCACCAGAGGCAATTGATGTAATCCATACAGATATTCCGATATCATTAGCCTCCGCAACAGAATCGGCCTCTTCATCGTCTCCATCAGAGAACGTTACGCATGGCTTCGATTTGTCCAGTATAGCTGGAGAGAACAAGGATGTTGGCGGATTACGTGAGGAGCACAAGATGATGGATAAGAACGAAGTGAAGAAAAGTGTTACTACTACGCAAGACACGGTTGTGGATGTGCTTGGACTATTCAGCGAGCTGAGCACCGGTGTGGTCAAGAAGAAGTTTCTACTTGACAATAAGGAGCTTTTGAAAGACATACCGCCTACTCTGGGATCAAATGGAGTATCTTCTTCAGTACAAAGCAGCCACTACATTAATGGAAACAATGTTGAATTCACACCTCCTGTTTCTGACGAGGAACCAGCAGACCACAATGAACCACAGCCAGAACCAATCGATCCAGAGCTGTCAGAAAAACAGCCAGAGGTAGAAGACTCTCGCGAAGTTTCCCATTCGGTTGTTGATGATAAATTGAACCAATATTCAGGTCTTGACTCAGTACAGCAGACTTTGTCAGTATCGGAGGAGTTAAATGGTGCCAAGTCGGTAGCATTGATGGTAATGGTGTTCTTTTTGGGATATTACATACAGAAATTGACCTAGCCAACAATGCTAGTAGCCCTTGGTCTTCCAGAATTGACCCATCTTCAAACTTGACCTAGCACTTCTAGCGTCTCATATACACAGGGAAAGAACACTGAGGGGGGGCTAGAAGCATGATAGTTGATCCTATGCATCTCCTGCCCAAGTTGGTCTCTATGTATTAATATGTACTTCTTGAGTCGATAAGGTCGCACTATGACTCTCGCTAATATAACGACCAACATGCCCGTAGCGCCAGACGCAGCGGTATTTTCAGAGACTAGCGGGACGGAAATTTGTTCCTCGTTGTAGCGGCGCGGTTTTAGGGAGATTTGGTACGAGACACCCCGTACCAAGGCGCACTCCACCACCGCTAGAATAGTGGACCAACTTTCACGTCTTAAAAGAACGGATTACAACACCATTCTTCATTCACCATAATCGTAGTCCACCATAATACACCAAGACAACAGTCCTAGCAGCTTCTAGTTTCAAATTGCACCAGCTGCCCCACGTTCAGTACAAGAAACCATACAGCGCCTTCCATATAGCATCCTTACTACTCCATCACAAACATCATTCATAATCCTCATACATCAATGCAGGCCCTACTCAAGCCAACATACAACTTCTTGGACCTTCTTCCCAACGATGACCCGATAGTGGAGCTCTTTTGTTTCGGAACGTACTCCGACTACCTCAAGCATAAAAAGCACTATGAGCCCATTGGCCAGTCAAGGGAACTCCTCACAAAACTCATCAAGCTCACAATTCTCACCATGGTACAAGATAACGAGGGCCAGACGGTACCTGCTGCTGGTATCTTGCGGCAGTACAATCTCGATGTTGCAACCGACAAATTGGCGTCATTGACGGGCCAAAACAAGAGTTTCGTGATAGAGGAGATCCTAATGGCCATGATTGACGAAGAGAGCGTGGATGTGCACATTGATGATGAATATGAGTCGTGGCATCTCAACATGGCCCATACTCTCCGTGATTCGTACGATCCAAGCGTGCATAAGTTGGTGGTATTGCAAGAAAAAGACATCTTGACGCGATCGTTGGACCAGGCAACCCACAACATCAGGACTTGGCACCAGGAGAGGTTAAACCCCACCAGTGCCTCGCTACAACGGGGTCTCGCCAGTCCTAACTCAAGGAAACGAAAGACTCCCGACAACTGTGTGTAATAATGAACATGAATAAATACTATATGAATGCGGTGATGGCAGGAAAGCCATAGGGCTCTGCCAGACATTGGAATCCTTGGTTCCAGGTCTATGCCTTCCAGACCTTGGAAACAACCTTGCCAAGACCACCTTCTCTAGTTTCAATGTCGTAGATACCGTAACCAGCGACACCAGTTCCGAAAAGCAACAAGTAGTTGGCATAGTTGTGGTACTTGCCGTAGGTTCTGCTTGGAATGTAATCGGTGATACAAGATTGGAAACCAGCGTAACAGTGGTATAACAAAAGGGCAGACAAGGTGGAGTCAACGATGGTGGAAGCGCCAGTGAGGAAAGGAGCCAAGGTCAAAGGAACCAAACCAACAGAGACGATTCTTTCCGAAGTCCAATGTATGGATCCTTCCAACTTGTGTGGAGGTGGAGGAACGTAGGCATCGTTGACGGTACCAATGATGTTTCCTGGTGGTTGAGGAACTTGTGGGAGGCCAGGGATGGTTATGGCACGGGCGAGGGATGGCCTCAACAAGGCCTTACTGTGTAATCCGACACGGGTTAATGAGAACATGATGGTGGTGGTACTGATTGTTAGTGATTGAATTCAGCTCGGTTTTTTCTCCCCGGATATTACTTCAGTGCGCTATGATTGGTTGAAATCCGTGGGGTCCCAGGTTGGACCCAGAAGCCGAGAGGAAGGCCAAAAGCGTGGAGGTGCGACGGTACTGGGTTCCAGGACTCTGAATAGGGCAAGAGTCTGTTCTTGAGGTGGTTTCCAGCTTTGCTGGTTATGGTTATTGGCCTCCCTTTTGGTCCGCTTCATTACCGCGACATGCGACACCCCGGGCTGGAACCATGTCGCACTAGCAGGATAAGAGACGGCCTAGCAAGCAGAACAACCCTCGAGAGGTATATAAACAGCAGGGAAATGGCTCGATGGAAGATCATCCACAAACATGCAATTCTCAAGAGCTTTCTTCCTCGGGTGTATTTCGTCACTTTCTTTGGCCGCTTATGTATCCCCCTTAGCTGACTCCACTGGTACCACTGGTACCAATGGGTTGCCAGAGACTCCCAACGGTCCTAACTATCTACTGGATTCGTTCTATATAATAGAAGTACCTGCCGAATTTACCACGAATTCGCTGGCATTGCCAATTATGTCCTCCACCAATTTCGATGCAAGCCTGGGTTTGGGTGCAAAATCGAAGCCACAGACCCATCCCTTGTCCACAAGATCTACTCTCCCTGGCCAGCTCTTCACTCTCCAATCCGAAGAAGATCTCAAGGACCCCAAAATGGCACAATTATTGCAAAATAACAAAAATACCTTCTTCTTTTTGACTACAAACACCACACTCTACTTTGACGAAGACGACCACGAATGGTATACCAGAAAATTCGATGAAGGGAATTCCACCATTGAGCTCCAACGGGTCAAGGAACTTATTCCCGTATCCAGCTGTATGTATACCTCAAATTATGGTTCAGCAACTATTCAAAAGGAGTACAGTGCACAGATCTCTTTGGCTGATTCAGGGACTGCTTCTATCGGATTCCTCAACCTCACTTTCTACCACGATTTTGGGCTAGCAGCCACCATTGAGACCCTGTCGTCTTTTACCTTTACCGATACATTATCCTGTACTGTTGGCCAGGGAACCTATGCTCAGATGTTCATTGAGCCCCTGTATGTGGAGGTTCCCGACTACACTAGAATGAGGGTCAAGTTCAGGAGGGGTAAGGGCATAGTGGTTTCCGGCTCACCAGAGAGAAGGCCAGGATTCAGCACCTTAGTAGCCGTACAACCTAATCACGTTTGCAAGTATTCTCGGAGTCCATTTGATCTAAAATGTGCTGGTGTAAAGTCCAGTTACGTACTTGATTTTTAATGCTTACAGATCTATTCTTTAGATTTAGTCGTTGTTTAATATATACAGAATGTTCAGAATCTATGTATAGAAGTAATCTTTTGAACTGTGTAAAATCATGATGGTAATTCAACAAGATGAGGAACTTTCCTCAGGTTCCTCTAAATGTTGGACATGACGAGGATTCCATTATGGGTTCGAATCTTCAATACACTCACTTTCAGTTTAGGATACCTTCATGCTTACTCTTCGTCCTCATCTTCAATCTCCTCAATTTCAGGAACTCTTGTGGGTCTGCCGTATCTCTCAGTCAAGGGTTTTTCAATGATTCCCAATGGCCCTTTGTGATACATAATCTTACTGAACCTGCTGATAATACTATCGTACCACCCGACTTCTTCACCTTCAAAAACCTCAAGCTCCAGTTTGAGCTTGTCGCATCTGTTCTTGGACTTCAAATCTCCCAAGTTGTCGTACATTACCAGCAAGTTGCCGAGAACGTTGAACAAGATGGGTGAAGCTCGTTTGGTGTTGCTGTGGTTGAAGTAAATCTCCTCGACCACCTCTTCACCCCATGCAATTGCGTTCTTCTTGTAGCCCTTGGCCCACATGATTTCACTGATGTGCGCTTTCAACTCACAGCCGAGCATGATAAGATTGATTTCATCACAGTTGAACAAAGGATACTGTGTTTGCGAAAGAAGGTTATTGTCCAATCTTTGTCTAAGATCCGTTAAGACCTTCAAGTTGGATAAGTATATGTTAAGAGAGGAGCTGAGAAGTGCAGGATTGTCGTTGCTGGCTTTGGCATAGTTAGCAGCGAGGTCGTTCAAGCAAATCATCAATTCATCCGTTATTCTGGACGAGCCTTGCAAGAGGTAGTTTTCGTCCAATTGTATCGAGGAATATGTGTGGGTGAGCATGTCAATAGACCGCTTCAAGTATGAGATTTTATCCGATTTATCAGGACAGACCTTGCTCAAAAGTCTGCAGCACTGCGAGACTCTTTCAGCATCCCCCAACTTATAGAAGATATCGTCGTCATTGATCACCTTCTGCAACATAGAGATGGAAGTTTGAAGCTCTCCCTTAGCCAACAATGCCTTGGAGTATCTCAAGACAATGTCGATGTAGAAGTTGGCAAATGCATTCGACTTCTCGTACACCAAGACTTTCGAATCCAACAAAGGCACGTCGTACTTGTTTGGCCCATTTTCATCGAAATCAAAGTCTGGATTGCCTTCTTTTGCCAATTCGATCAATATGCGTCTGTAGTGCTTCACTGCGTATCTGGGACTCTTTAGCACATCATCCTTGTTGATAGCTTTAACGGCAGCTATGTTGTTGTAGAAGCCGATTTCGAGTGGAATGTGCTGTCTCTCATTTACATCGTTGTAAAGCATGTAGAACAGCCCAAAACAGACCAATAGGCCTCCGATATAAGCACCAGCTAAGATATTCACCACGAAACCATATCGTTTCAATGCCCCCAACTGACCGGGAGAAAACGTCAACGAACGTGACTGGGATACGAAAGGTGACCTCAAAGGAAGACGTTGGAATCGACCGAGCCTGGAAAGGGCTAGGTGCCGTACTCTGGGCGTGAACATTGGTTAGTGTCTTTGGATCACTTGAGACTTTTATGTGATGCTCGGTGCGGGCACGATTTTGCATCCGCCCAAAGGGTTGACGGTAAATGTTGCAAAGGAGATAATTAGAGGTGAATGCTTTTCCCTCAACAAACGGCTGGAATGAGGATGCTAAAACAGAATGCGTTATGGTGGTTTCGTCAATACTAGTCCTTAACGTTGGTCGTCTTGATACACAACTACGGGATCCTAAGCTTCAGCTGACTACGACAACCATCACAAGATACACGATCAAAGAAGTCGGAGCGAATAGAACACGGGAAAGACTCCCGAGAGTCAAAAGACTGGCTTATGCCTACAGACTGTATCAACAGTTGGCAGAGTATGTTGGCTAATCTATGTTGGTTAAGCTAACTTCTCCACGGCTAGGGAGATCTAGCAGACACGAACACTAGCCGGAAGGCATCTTCCCTGGACGTATATCCTTTACCCAACGTATGTTGCACTCAGTTCAATTGGTGATCGCCGTTCTGGCATCCATGCTTTGGTTTCATCCACACAATGGAACCGTTGGTGAGCCGCACTTAGGTTTACTTTTTTCTACAATTGATAACGATTTCCTCATCACTAATCACCCAGATTTGGATCTGGACCACAGAACACAGCACTTGCCATGCAACCTCAAACGAGTGTACTCTCGAACGGTGAGACGCAGGTGACTCAGGGGTCATCCAGTACCTCTTTTGAAACCAAACCCATGCCATTCATCCACCGATTCATCACCAACTGGTTGATCACGGACCCTAGCTTGAGCGAGAAGTATCACCACGATGTCCCTTCACAAGCCAAAAAGAATTACCAGATTCAGCCACACGAAGAAATGAAATTCATCTATTTCTTTGGGGGACGATGGAGAAGTCTTAAACAGAAACCTATCAACTTGGTAACTGGAGTTCTAGCCATTATACCAGCCGTCATTTTTTGGATATTCGAGAGCTCATGGGTGTGGCACCAAATAAGCCCATCACTAGTCATTATCTTCACCTATTTTTGGGTGCTCTCGTTTACCCTATTTGTTCGGTCGTCTGTGTCGGACCCGGGAGTATTACCTAGAAACATTCACATCCCAGTTTCATTCAAACAGTCTAAGGTGGATCATGCCCCAGACGAGTACTTCAACACCATTGCTCTTCCTTATTATAAAAGTGAATATGATGGGGTTACAGTAAAGTACTGTACAACATGCCACATTTGGAGACCTCCTCGTACAAGTCATTGTGGAGTCTGCAACTCATGTTGTTCCAACCATGATCATCACTGCATATTTTTGAACAACTGTGTAGGCTATCGGAACTACAAATACTTCCTTTGGTTCCTATTAACTGCGGTATTATCTTCATTTTTCATCATAATCTTGCCATTTATTCATTTGTTCCACTACAAGCTAGTTGCATCGTCGGAAATTCATTCTATTCATCAGTCAATTCGAGAAAACCCTATGAGTTTGTTCTTGATCATCTACGGATTTTTGTGTGGAGCATACCCTTTCTTGTTGTTGTGTTTCCATCTATTCTTAACAGCGTGCAATATCACCACCAGGGAGTATCTTAATTACGTTCACGGATCCAATGGCCAAGCAACTTCTAAGCATAAACAAGGATCGGACGGGTTTATCAACGTTTTTGACACCAGATCCGCCTGGAAAAATTTGTACATCAACTGGTTGGGAAGGCCTACCAGGCTAGCTGCTGTGAAGCTTTCCGAAGATTTCCAACAGGGAGATTTACGATTCAAAAAGGTCTATCCATTAGAAACATTTGAAGTTTAATTATGAACCACATAATATGCGCAGGCGCATATTCCAATTCTTAGATCACTAGCATCAGACAGAACGGTATGTTACGTAGTCGTAAAACAATATATACAAATATATACAAGCATGTCAAATTCTTCTACTTTGGGATCCAGTATAACCGGGTATGGTAATTGCGACATTGGTGCGCGACATTATGTCAAATAGTGATTCCACACATCGCAACAATTCCCCCACTATACATCTTATGCTTAGTATAACTGCCACTATATGACAAACACATTCGCCGTGGATCCTCCACAACCCCAAAGGGTGACATACGAGCCCCCACGAGATCCGATGTCGCTCTCACAGGCCTCACGGCCGTCTCCACAAGCGGATTCATTCTCAGACCATTTGAGACTAAGAAGTATTCCAGTACGACAAGAGGGACCATCGTTGTCCAGAGCTGGTTCCCGCTATCAAACAAGTACATTTCATGGAACCAAGACGAGCACCACTGTGATGGGAATTTGGACCGGTTCCGATAGTAAGAGAATCTTCAACATCCCTAAACGAGTCTTCCAATGGATCTATTCCATATCTTTGGCGCTTTTGGTGATCATCATGTTATCATTTGTGGCAGTCACTCCCATAGATGTGATTGTGCAGACCACTGCAAGCTCTTCTCCAGCGGTAAAGGTGTTTATTGTGATCATCGTGTGTGTTGTGTTCTTGGTAGCATCCATGTTTTGGTACTTTGTGCGGATTTTCCATGTCAGGATGGCGTTGAACGATATTCCCAGCAAGTCTGTATACGTGCCATTCCAAGGAGATTTGCCGAAAGATGCTGTGAAAATGATTGACGATAATCTTCGTCGTTGCATAGGTGAGATAAAATTACGGGCTGGCCCGTTGTATAATGAAGATGTGATTCTTAATCATCCAGGAATGGCTCCCCCGGAGTACATTCAAAGAAGAAACAGGAAAAGGTTGGAGAGGAAGACTCTATTCACCACCGAGAAGCAAACTAATAACCACGGAACCTCTCTTCCTCCAAAGTCCAATTATCAAGACATCATACGAAGCATCGGTGACAAGTTCATGCATGGAGGTGGACGGGTTTTGACCGAGGTAGAAATCCCCCATAATTTTTCAATGAGAGAAATCGTCATTTATTTAGCACGCATTTACATGGATCCCGAAAACATGGAAAACCAAGACTCCGATTTTGTCAGGCCGAACTTGAAGAGAACCATCGAATTATATGAAAAGTTTCGGTTTGGTCCCGATTTAATCAAAGAACCCGAGTTATGGGAGTTCATGATCAATTTTGATAGATTGGCCCGGGTATGCCTGAGTGATTATCACGAGAGAATCAAGAAAACCCGCCCAGGACGTTCGAAGGTAGACCAGACTCAAGAAGTGATAGAGCAGTCAATGAAGGGTCAAGCATACGTTGGTAGGAGTGATGCTTCTGCGGCGCACCCATTCTTTTATGACGAGGATGACAGTGGATACAACACTGATGCTGGGGAGAATTATCAGGGCAATAGAGATGATTCCAGCACGTTGGAATCCGTAATTAATCCAAACGAAAGGGCAAAGAACTACTCTGCCAACAACCTTACAGTTGACGGCTGGAATCAGAGAGATAATACCAGTTTCATTAGTGGCACCAGTCGCACTAGCGGTCGGGTGCTGATCAAGGACAAGTTGGCAATAAGAAGAGACTCCTCTTCCAAAAGACTTACCAGGCTGGGATTGCTGCACGTGCAGCTTTCATTTGATGGAGACTTGGAATCGGTAAAGAGGAGAAACAGTGGCTATATCACCGACAACGAAGAGGGAGAAGAGGGCGAGGAGAAGAACGAGCGAGTGTTTGGAAGTCCAGAGATAGAAGATGACGATGAAGACGACGACGAATTGGATATCTACAACTTTCGGTTCCGAGGCCGTGGCGGATGACACTTCTAATTGCACACCCATGATTTAATTATACACACCTTGCATGTTGGGTCTAATTTCGGGCCCCAAAAACCTAACTAATAATACATACCCCATAATTAATCAAATTTTATTGGATCGTGGAAGTTCCTCTTCGTGGGATACTGTTTTAGCGATCTCAGGGAGACCACCATGCCAGAAGCATTCCAAAATGGGGGGAAAATTTTTTGGAATCTTAAACACGATAACTCTTTTCGGTGCAACCGAATTTAGTCGAAAATCAATACGTTTTGCTTCAATAAATATTTTCTGTTGCATGTATCCCAATATAGATCAAGTTTTTGCTTGAATAGATATCATTCCCAGATTAAACTCAGTAGCCTTGTACTTCAGGTGATGGATCACTTGTTCAAACAACCGGTGAACGAATTCTATTTATGACGACTAAGAGCCAGTATTCGTAATTTTTTCAAGCGAATAGGAGGTATCAGGTCTCCATTATTTTGCACGCAGAGTCAAACTGCTTGTGCTCTTGATTAAAATTGACCATTTTTCTGACGAAACCTAGAAGCATTGACACAGCATTACCATCACTGGTTCACTAGTTCTGTCTTGGCTTAACCACTCCGTCGTGGATAAAGTAGTAAACGATGGTGCCGTCATCGTTGACAATGGCAATAGTGATTCTGGTAGGCCTTTTGGAGGAACTGAGCTGGGTGATTTGCTGGAACCAGCCATTGATTTCGTGGGCAGAGATGTTGGGGTCCTGCTTGATGGACCTGGGAATCACCCACTCAAGGCCAAGGGAGTCCGGAGTCTGGGTGGCCGGAGGAACACCGCACAAGATGGTGAGCTCCAGCAGGAGCGTGTGCGACTCCACTGATGTCCAGTTGTTGTAGTGCACGAGGTTCACCAGCACCTGGTGGGCAAGAGAAGACATGGTCGAAGTTGATGGGATGCATCATGTGACACTGATCAGGTGGTTTTTGATGTTTGAAGAGGATGTGAAATGCGACATTAGCGACATTGTTCCAGACAAGGCCACAAAGGTAGGGTCATGTAGTAGATTTCTGGGGAAGACTCACGTCACACAACTGGTTGAAAAGTCGAACGACACAGGTAACACAGCCGGACAACTGCCGGTACACTCCCGGAGTACGACCACCGCGTAGAGCGGAAGCGCAATATTGAATGAATTATAAAGGGAATGGTTAGTTTCTGTAAGCCAAGGGAAATTAGAGTTAACACTTTAGCCAGATGCTACGCGCAAGCTCTTATGGGTGTAACATGAATTTCCCAAAGAGCATATACAATTGTTGTTTTAAAAGAACTGAATATAAATTGCGCTACAGAAATAGCCGTACTTACGCCTCTGGAGGACCGGAACATTGCTGTTTCTGGAGCTGAACTTGGGTGGGTCGTAACAAGTGAAGACCCACATCCACTGCAACGCCACGTGACCGCTAGATCTCGTATTCACATACAGTTGCATCCCTTCGCTGGCTGCATTTAATGTATGCATCACGTGGGACAACCCGTATTATTTAGCGGCTGTTACTCAGGCGTGCGCCTGCTGGTACGCCAACGACGTTTGGGCCGATCCTGGCTCGATCGACACCTGGAACTTGCTCCACACCATCCTGGACGAAACATCCGTACCTCACTACCCTGGAAACACCTGCCTACTCCTACCCCCCCTATTGTGGGCCTACCCGCACATGTCAGTTTTTTCGCTGGCGCTAGCCGAGCCCTTGCCACGGCACTAACCGTCCAGGCGAAATTAGCCAACCACAAATACTTCACCCGAAAATAGCGTGCGCGCTATGTCGGCCCAGGCCTTCAATCTGGCATACCTGCCAGGCAGCGCCCCGGCCTGAAAACGATCTGGCTAATGCAGATGATGTGGCACGGTCACTTGGCGTATACCCGTCGTATTGCGTGGGTGCATGCTTGCAGCATGGGGTGGGCGTCGGGACAAACATACTTCCTTATCACTAGTCGGTTGTTCTCTGGGTGGGGCCTGTTGTTCGGCGGACTAGTGCTTCGTATACCAGCATTACATCATCAGGCCCGCTGGGAACAATTCCTACCCTGATACATTCTAGACTGCGGCGCTGTGGTTACTGGAGCGTTACAGGAGGCAACAACGGCAATAGTGCGGTGCATGGCGCGGGCGAGGGAATTCGGTGGTTGCGAGTCCAGGAACGTTCTTTGTGCGTCAAATGCTGATGCACCATTTCTGGATAAATCCACTGCCTGGAGATAGACGAGCAAGGCTACAACCATCACATCCCTTGACGTCCGTTCCGATCGGGAACGCCACCCGCACGCTGGGGCCATCATGCCTGAGGCCTCCTCATTTTCGCATTTATGCATGCTGAAGCAGTGAAGTCACAGCTGGCAATGTAGGACTCTAAACTCAAATCTAGACGTTGGTGTGGTTACCCGAGGCTAGACAGATAAGGGGTAGGAACGTTGAGGAAACATCCACCACACCGTAGGGACGGTTCCAGGCCCAGGTAGTCCCGTTGGTGATCCCACACTCCAGTCAGTCCCCCCTGGATTCCTCTCGATTTCACTGGACGTGCCCTGGACCTGCCCCCGCAGCCTTCCCTCCCTGTTACGTCCCAGCGCAAAATCATCAAGATCGGACATGGTAAAAATAAGAGAGTGCATATTTTAAAACCGCTTTGTTCGCCTTTGTGCGTTTACCAATCGGGTTATATTGTTACATTCCCAATCCATTGGTCCTGGCATCAGATCCTATCTTGGGCCACTTCTGGGCTGATTTATAACCAGCAGGTTGCCCGATTTTTCACGGTCCACATTTTGCTCTACCCACCACTATCAGCCCACCCACTGTACATATCTGCCCATTATGCAATCGCTAGCCCAAATGAGAAGTCAGACATTCACCACAAATGACGCCAGCTCGATTATATCGAACAACAACGCCAGAAAGTCGTCTCGGTTGTCCAACTTTAACCCAATCGGCCGATCCAGAACGTTGCCCAGATATGAGGACTCTGTGATTAGTCAACCTGCCTCGTCTAATGCTTCCACACTCTCGACAGCCCCAACGGTTCCAGACCCCGTCACCCCCACCCTTCACTCAAACTTGTCATCGTCCAGCATCAATTCAGGAGAAAACAACTACCAGCTAGTCAGAATGGACACCAATACCTCCATCACCTCCGATTTCTCCATCCAGAGCCAGTTCAAGGTGAGCTTGAAAATGTCCAAGAAGGAGATCGAGCTCATCCGCTACACCTGGAACAAGATGTTGTTGGACGAGCCCATCGAGCAGAAGCAGAACCCGTTCGGCATGCCTGGAGGCTTCTCCACCAACATCACCAACTCTACTGCTGGCAGTAAGGAAAAAACCATGAACTACATCAACCGTACCTCGGCCTCCACCGTGGCCTCGTCGTTGTTCTGTCGTCAATTCTACTCCAACTTGCTTTCCATGGACTCGAACTTGGAGAAGTTGTTCCCTTCCATCAAGCACCAGGCAGTGTCGTTTGCCGGGGTGATGTCGTTTGCCATCAGCCAGTTGGAGAATTTGAGTGTGTTGGACGACTACCTCATCAACTTGGGCAAGAGACACTCGCGGATTCTTGGAATCGAGCCTGCCAACTTCGAGTTGATGGGTGAGGCCTTGATCCAGACCTTCCTCGAGAGATTCGGCACTCGTTTCACCCAGGAGCTCGAGGTGTTGTGGATCAAGCTCTACATGTACTTGGCCAACTCTTTATTACAGTTTGGAATCGACCCCATCATCAAGTTGAACGAAGACGAGGACGAAATTTACGAAACAGCCTCCATTTCCGGCATGAACCAGTCGTTCTTCTGGGGCGGCAAGTCCAGATCCTATAGCAACACCGATACTTCTGCCATGTCCATGTTGATGGACGACAAGAGGTCCTCCATCAGTACTGCTGCCACTGGCACCACGGGAATGACTGGTGCCACCACCATCATGTCGTCCATAGCCAGCACCAGCACCGCTGGCACTGTGGTGGAGACCAAGAAGCTGCTTCCTGCGGTTCCGCTTGGACCAGCCTTGGCTGCACCAGCCAAGAAGGCCAACATCAAGAAGAGGAAGAGAGACTGTGTGATTATGTAATTAATAGACTAAACTTTAGCCAGCTGTAGAGGAAGCATCCTACGTAATCTTAATTTGAAGCACCAGCCTTGTCAATAGTCAGAGACGCATAGAAGGGCGATGTGATATAGTCAGAGGTCTTACGGAAGACAGTAGGTTATAGTCAGATTCTCAAAGACGGCCAGTCTGTCTTGTACAGTAATAGAAATACACAGAATTGAACAGTAAAAGACATTTCACCGTGGTGCATCCTACCACTTAAGCGACCCAACTAAGCGACCCCCCACACCGCCAGGGTGTCGGCTAGGCCCGCACCACAGCATCACAATAGGAACAATGGTGGGACTCTGCCCCGGAATACCAGGCAATGTCGCACAATGTCGCAAAATGTCGCAGGCCATCACCATTTCTTTCTGCACCATACACCAACACTAGGCAACTCTACGCTAGAATCCTAGGTTGTACTCCGCAAAGCCACCTGGAGAGCGGGAGACGTATTTGTGCCCACTCTTTGGAGCACTCGTCTGGCGCATCCGCATCCACGCTTCACCACTCTGCCCCATTGCTCTTCGCCTCATCTCTCTCACCCGGTTCTGCCCATAATTCCATACACCGTCTACCACTACGATTACCCGACTGGCGTTGCTTCCACCGCGATACAATTATAATCCCAGCCGTTTGCCTAAACGAGACAAGCACGGGACCCCGCCAGCTGGAATTCACGCCTGCAACGGCACTCCTTCCCCCAACCCCATTATCTTAGCCCTATCAGCCATATGTGCCCGATGGGGCTAATGCGCGTGTCTTCCACTTCCTAAACGGGACACGACGCGTCCGCGACGCGTCCTTCGCCCACAGCCTAATTCCCCATTTCCGCACAATTATCCCCGTGCCCCTGTAAACTACGAGCCAGCACCAGCGCCAGCCCCAACGCGCACACTGCCGCACGCCTCCTGCGGAAACCACCAGCCACGTGACCCACCACTGACTGGCTGAAGAAATTGATCACTAGCGTGTCAGTCACCAGCAACTCTTTCGCCATCCCATCGTACCGGTGTGCCTAATCACATCTATTGCTCCCTCTGCCTCCGGCACCACCACCACCACCACCCACCTGCTCGCGACGCCGGCTCATCGTCATGTCCAACGCTCCTTTTGATCCCGAGTCCAACCTGGAGGAGACGCTCTTGAATACCACGTTCTACTCGGCCCCAACACCTGCCAGCCATGTCAACACCCTCCGCAACTCGATCCAGTTCAAGCACTCGCCGTCCATGACGTCCATCCACGCCAAAACCGCCCCAGGCAACGGCAACCACGAGAGGACTTCGTTCATGAAAGTATCTCCGTCGATGAAGGCTTTGGAATCCATCCTCAACGAGAAGACTCAGCTGACCACGTCGTTCGCCAGCCAGATATTGGAGGAGGACGAGGAGGACGAGGCGCTCAAACCGCCCCTGCGCCTGGCGCTAGCGTCCTCCCACAACCCGTACACGGAATCCGCCCAACGAGACTCCACCTACTCGGTACAATCGTTCGAGACAGCACGCTCCCAGACCCCATCGTTGGAAGCAGTGTCTGAGCACACTAACAAGCGGTCGATCACCACCATCGACGAGATGGGCTACGCCACCAACGACGACACTCCCGAACTAGCGCAACAAGCCACCTTCCACGACTACAAACACGTGTCGGTGGTGGGTGCTGACCTCCAGCCAAAGATTGTCGACAATACGGCCTCCAGAAACGTCAGTGGCACCTCTGCCTACACCAGTGGAAGTAGTGTGTACACCCTCAAAGCGCCTACAGAGCGGAGATTGTCGGACCAGGAAGACACCTTGATAGACGAAAAGAGCGACGCCACCCACAGCACCTCGGAAGAAACCATGCGCAACACCTCCGACAACTCCGGCGCCTCCCACAAGAAGCAGGTCCAACCTCGTTACATTTCCCATCCTGCCGCATCGGGAGCCTCTACCAGGGCTCCGCCTCACATCACCGAGCCCCAGGCAGCCGTTCCATCCACACCTCCTCGATTCCCTTCACTTCCCGTGTCGGCATCCTCCCCTGCACTTTCAATGGCTTCCAACGACGGAAAGTATCCACTTTCCAAACCTGCCATTCACCACCCAGCTGCGCCCTCTCCCAAACCAAAATCGTTACTCGATGCAGCAGGAGAAGTGCCTACGCAAAGGTCACCATATCTGAGATCCAAATCAACGTACTCCTTAGCAGAGAGTGGCAAGAATGTCCCCGACTCCGTTCCAACTGGGACCAGACACAAGAGAAGTAGTACCTTGGGCAATCTTTCCAGAATCACCCGCAACGTGCCCAGTGAACCAGCAGCACCCGCTGCAGAAAAGAAGAGGTTTAGTTTCAAAGCATTATTCAAATCCAAATCAAAGAACCACTCGTTGAGTGACGAGTCCAAACCTAATAAATTGAGCTCAAAGTCTTATTCAACATCTAACTTATCTTCATTCGGTAAAACAGACAATTCTGATGCTGCATCTAGCAACGCATTAGACAAGAAAAAGAGTAGAAATGAATCATCCAACTCCTTACTCAATGTGTTCAAAAAGAACAAATCCTCAGAAACCTTGCATAAATTCACGGTAAATGATACCAATACTGAAGGGCAAAAAAGCAGTGTCAATTCTCAGCAACAATCGGGCTCGGTTGAAACCAACAAGGTTAAGCCTACAACTCTTGATCACCCACTTCCTGTTGCTGCTCCAATCATTACTCCACCTCCATCATCTCAATATCAAACGGAAGAACCAGAGACTCCCAAGTCGTTGCCATCGCCAACCATTGGCAACGGTGGTTCCGTCATGGAAATGAACACATCGGACCTTAATTACAAGCGCTCTTTCAAATCTAATACCAAAATCAACTTTATTAGAGAAGTTACCGATGATGACTATGATCCTTACAAGCAACCAAATAGTGACGAATTTCAAACAGAGTCTGAGCAAGATGACGAATACTTCGATCAATATGATTCAAACAATCTCCTTAATAACCCTCCCACGAAGATTGCTAATACAAGATATGACGAAGAAATGCTGTTGATTTCTAGCCCTGTTCAAGATGGCCCTATTAATGTCGCTTTTGGGTCACCATTCGATGTGAACTATGACTCTGACAAGACTCCTAAACAGGTCTTACAACCGACGTCAATGCAACCCAAGACCTTGGAACCTCCTAAATCATCAAGTGAATTGTTAAAAATTACTGGAGATTCTCAAAAGGATGATTCTCAACTCTTGGGTGAGGTTTTATTCCCTAAAAGTTTAAATGCACAAGAAGTTGAAAGTATTGTTTCATTGGAGAGATCAAGGTCAATGAGATCAATAAGGTCAATCAAACGCAATTCGTTTGTTAACTACAACGGAAGTGATGAAAATATTATTCAATACACTGGGCCACCCCCATCATCTCCTCCTACGAAATCAGGAATGACTCGTTCTAATTCTATTTTGAAGAATTCGGCATCAAGAAGAAATTTGAACCTGGAACTTTATACATCAATTGATTCAAAGGTCAACACTGTCGATAACACACTTAATAACAACCATGATACTACAGACGACCAATATCAAGATTTAATAGAGTTCACTGATTTCATTGACATTGATAATTTGAGTTTCTCCAACTCACCCAAGGAAGTTTTGGAGTTATCACCTAGAGTTTTGGTTGAGCCCCAGCAACGTTCTGAAGTTAATTCCTTTAATGTTCCACCATTGTCGTTATCCTCTCCATCTGAGTCTCCCAAAGAACTGATGGAATCTAATCTTCCAGTTCCAATGCCTTTGGCGGGTCCTCCTATAAGTGCCAAGGAAAGTCTTCCAACAATTACTTTGTCACCTTCCCCTGAGATAGTTGAGACCAATGTTGTCCCTAGTGATTCATCCTCGATTAAGGAAACACTGCCTGAATCCCCTATATTAGTTGAAGATGATGACCAAGCTTCAGCTGACCACTATCATAAAAAGGCTGATCTTGAAGACAACACTAATCTCATTGAAACATCTCCAATTTTGGAAACAGCCCTCAGAACTCTGAGCTCTCCATTATTGAACGAAGATGGAAAGAGTCAATTCAATAACAGGCCCATTTCAATGTCATTCAGAGGTTTGAAGGGTCCTTCTTTTGGAGGCAAGATTGCTCAACACAACATCAGAAGTAGTGATTCCCATCAGTCTTTCAATATTTCTTTTGGTGAAGATAGCGATGTTGGAGGAGGATTCGGTTCCAGTGACGAAGAAGATGGATTTGGAAGTGACATAGCTTCTGACGCATCTTACTTCAGCAACAAGGAGAATGAGGTTCGGGTAGAAGTGCAAGCTCCAAAGACCATTCCAAAGCCTAGAAACAAGAGTAAGTTTGGCAACATGTCCAAGAAGGATAATGCCTTGCCTCCGTTGCCACCACCTCCACCAAAACATCAAAGGGTGCCATCATTCACTGATACCGCATCCACCAGTTCGAGCCCTAAGTCATTCGGGTCCATCATCTCCAGGAAGTGGAAGAAATCGCCTAACTTGGCGCCATCTAACCCCCCACAGGTGTTGGTGTCACAGAAATCTGCTGGAGGAGTCAGGTTTTCGTCTAGGATCATTCTCTATGACACCTATAATGGCGAGGAATACGACAGGCACCCAGACACCGCTACCTGTAACCAATTGACCCCTTTGTTGGCGCAACAGATCAAGGATGAATTGAACTCGTTTAAGAGCGAGATGGAGATCCACTCCGAGTCCCGCTGCTACACCCATTTTTTCTAGATCCAGTTGTGTCAGAAAGGGGTAGTACCACGGAGGTTCAAGAAGGGGGTTGGACTCCATGTCCAGTAAGCATATTAATCACTTCCTACACTGTACTAAATGACATTTATATTGCACATCTACGCTAGCGTTGTGCCTATTCACTTCTAATGTACACTATTTCATTAATTAGCATGTGTAGGCTTCACCAAAGTGCATTACGTAGTAACCAACCTATTGATGCTGACAACTCGTTTGCTCTGATTCCTTCACTTGGTCTACTTCTTCGATTGCTGAGCGTGGGTGGCATGGGCACTCCTGAAGATCCGTTGCAACACCTCGTGGTCCTTGGCATCAATCCTGGCCACCACCTTATCGGGGGTCTCCATCACAACCACTACGTAGTCGTTGTTTCTAAAGTCGATACAGGTGGTGCCGGCCCAAGGAGCAACGTCGTACTTTTCGAGGGTGATGACTGGAGGCTTAGAGTCCACAAACGCTGGGTAGTCTGACATGGTGATGATGAATTTTTTACCATTGGTGAGACTTTTGATATTCGCACAAAACGTCGTAGATATCTCAACTCATCGCCCATCGCATCTTCATTAGTCACTGCAACAACCATACTGCACTAGTCAGTCAGGAGCACTCATCTCGAAGCATCACATCTCCCATCAGCACCAGCACATCTCATCCTCCATGTCCATAGTCATTCCCGGCCAGTACATCACGCCAGCGTACAAGCTTGCCGACTCCAAGATCCAGAAATACTACCCTCGCAAGGGAGCCATCTTGTCCCACATAGGAGAAGGAGCCAACCGTATCCCCGTAATAGTGGCCACCGTGGTGGGCAAGGTCGTTTACCACGAAGTGGACGAGGGTTCCGAGGTCCAGCTGTTCTTGGTTTCAGTGATGCCCAAGTCCAACACCTACCACGCCTACGAGCAGGAATCTAAGGACTTCAGGGAGTCCAATTCGATCTCGATCAATTTGCCCAAGGAGAACGACGTTGTTTTAGTCAAAATCACCAAAATCAATACCAGACAAGCTTACTGTGAAATTTTGACTGTGGAAGGGTTCGGAAACGTTTTGCAAGATTCAGGTGTTGGGGCCAACGGTGAGTTGGCTCATACCTCTGTACCATACGGAGGCGGCTCCCAGGCATTTTCCAGCCACCAAACTGTGGCCTCCAGCCAGTCCACTCTCACCAGCGCAGTCACGAATGACTTAGGCGAAAACTTCAAGGGGATCATAAGGTCCCAGGATGTTAGATCCACAGATAGAGACAAGGTTAAAATCATCGAGAGCTTCAAGCCAGGTGACATTGTCAGAGCCATTATTATTTCCTTGGGTGATGGTTCCAACTACTACTTGAGCACAGCCAAGAATGACTTGGGGGTATTATTCGCCAAGAGTGAGAATGGAAGTGGTGACTTAATGTTCCCAGTGGACTGGCAAACTATGGTCGACAAGACCAGTGGTGTAGTGGAAAAGAGAAAGTGTGCAAAGCCATTTACTGAGTAGGTGATTACGGAGCAATTAAGTTAGGATCGTTTGTTGTGATTTAGATAATCGAATAGATCAAGGGCTTTTGCGAAGTGGAGATATAATAGAGGATGCATATGTTGAAGAATTAGAAGTGGGAAGGGTTTAAACTTACTCCTCATGGAGATAAATATATTGGTTATATGTATATTTTTCAAGCGCAATCCACATACTGCAAACCGACCGTAACATTCTTCAACCAAATGATTATTTCCAATTCAAATCAATCAACTGAGCTAATTCTTCATCTGAGTAGATTACTGACACAGAATAAGTATCTAAACGATCATGGCTCTAAGTCTACCAGTTTCTTGAGTCGTACTAGAAACAGCCTTGCCTGAGTCGTAGGCCTTCATGCATGGTAAATCATAAATCCCACATATATCTATTAATTTCTTTCATATATTAACCTTCGACTAGAGGCTGGCGAAAAGTAAACATGAATTAGAACACCATGTAAATAAATAGCACACACGTTGCTTATAAAGTTTATCTTGTACTCTAGACTTCTATTTCTAAGAATTTGAACTATATTGAGTAAGTAAATTAAACTAAAGTTCTAGCCAGAAAATAGAAGTTTTAAGAACCAAAAGCAGTAAATCATCACTGGACCACAAAAAGTCTCTTGTAACGAAGCCTTCCAATGAGAAGCGTAAGCCATTCAAAACCACTTACTAGCTGTTTTTAAACCAAAACTTTGCTATAAAATCGTTATTGTCACTCTTTCAATTAAATATCTATTACTAAGGTTCTATACATATGTAGTTAATTATAATGGGTAGCGAAGCTCCTCGCCCTCTCCTCTCAAGTCCACTTCAGACAAGCCTACCTTAGACCCGAACTTGACAAATCTCTCCATATACTTCTCCTTCTTTCCTTGACTCATTGCAATCAATTCTGGCAAGTACTTGGAGTGGTTGTACTCGAAGTTGACAGTGCCTCCGAAGTCCTTGTCTAATTGCTGTTTTGGAACATGATTGGTGAATGGAACATCATAAATAATTTTTTCTCTAGTTAATGGATCAATGAATGGGTGGATCATCTTCAAGAAAGTCCATCCCAACCACGGAATATTGGTCAACAAGGCTCTACCCAATCTTTCGGGGTAGTGGGTCTGCAAGATGTGCAACACTTGTCTGGCAATGGAGAGCGAAGGGATCTTGCCCTTTTCTGTTCCTTCTTTACGTGGCTGGAAGTCGATCAATAACGCAAGCGAATCCTGTCCGGAAGGCATAAAATTGATCACGGACTCCAACATGTAAACCAAGTGGTTCACCTGGTTTTGGGAAGCCTTGGTGTTCTGGGCACCAGGCTTGAGGTACAAGCATGGTCTGGAGTCGTTGTCATAACCCAAAACAACCTCCTTACCAGTTTCACCTTCGACTGAAGTCGATTCACCGTTGACCTTGTTGTCCTTTTCGAACAGGTGGCTGATACCAAATTCTCTTCTCCATGCCAAGGTGAGCGTCACTCTGTCGATAGCATCCTTGGTGACCCACTTGGTGGCTCTAAGGTATCTCAAGAAACACTCTCTGGTCAACCAGGACTTTTCGTCTTCGGTTAATGGCTGGTATTTCGAGGTATCTTTGTCCTTCTGGTTGGCCTCACTCACGGGAACCTTCAATTCGGGGTCCGAGAAGAACTTGAGCACTTCGCTGTATTTCTCTTGCTGGGATTTGTCTAACGATGCTTCTTTTGGCACCTTGGACTCGCTGCTGGGGGCCTCAAATGGGGTGTGAACAGGCTCACCAAAATCACTGACGGAGGTGGCGGATGAGCTGTTGCCCGAGTCTGTGTCTTTCTTGCTCCACAACATGTTCTAGTACAGTTTATCCTGGAATAATGGATATGAAGGCAATATATGGACCCGTCTCGGGATTGACACCAGGGCTCACGTGCGGCGAACGCGCACCATCGGGATTAGTGAGATTGTCGCAAAATTGGTGGCAACGGCCAGCGGACAAATCAGGGAGAGAAGTGGCACTACAGAGGCTTTCCGGGTATTGTTCCGGTGTGTTCCGGAGCATTCTTCCTGCTGGGCAACCTTGGCTTCCAGGCATCTTCCTGCTCATCGATAGATTCGCGTTGCGATCTTCTGGCACCAGAATTGATCGGCAGCTCCTCACGTGCAGATGACAGTTGCGTCGTGCAGCATTGCCAATTGCTCCGCTTACCTCAGCCCTTACCAAGCACTACTCATCTTCCTATAACCATCATCCTAATTGCAGCCATCTATCCCTCCAACGCCATTCCCATCCACATAGTCCTACTCGCTCGTGACATGTCCGCAGAAGTCAACCCCCCTAGGCGGTTCTTGTCGCTAGCAGAGCTTGCCACGAACAAAATCATCCAGAATATCGGCAAGATCAATGATATAGGTGCTACGCCGTTCCATCTTTTGGCCCCTGTCCTTGAGCGAATGAATGCAAAACAACTCAACCAAATAGAGTCAACTAGTCCCCAGATTGTTCCTGAGTCCGACAAGCTATGGCGTATCCTTATCGAGAAGGACTTTCCTAACAGACCCCTTCCCACCAAGAAGGCGGTGGAAACAGAAGTGATGCCCAACAGAGCAGCATACCACAAGTATCTCGAGGACCGAGAATCCTTCCGGAATGATCTGGCAAGGAGACTAAGACGGATAACTGAAAAGTTGAAGCTGGAGAAGTCAGCCAATAAGATCGTCAAAGTCCAAGAATTACTAAAAGATCCCACCGTGAAAAGGAAGAATTGGTCCGGAAGCCCTGGTGGCTTTCCAAGATTCAACACCCCGGCTATCCGAGGTAATTCTATCTTAAGCAAAGCTAGAAGAGACTTACAGAATAGGTCAATGATGTTTCCCCAGAAAATAAGTCGTTATGATCCGTACGATGCATTCAAATCCGCTAAAAATGAAACTATCAATGCTAGAAGACCCAGGCCGACAAGAATCACCAGTTTCAATAGCTCCCCATCTATTTCTGCACTAAACAGAAGCAGTCCGGGAATTTACCGGGCTGCCTCAACACACCACTCGAGTCCTCCAAAAGTAGCGACCCCAGCACCTCAAAGATCATCTGGAATGGTGAGGTCAGTGGCCTCGTTAAGAGAAGGGTCGCCTAGGCCCAGCACGCTATCTTCACCACGTACTTCTTTTGGATCGCCAGTGCGCCAATCTAGCTCAGTTGCTCAAACTCCACCTGCCCCTATATCCCTGACACGTCCCGCCACCCCAACCGAACCTACTGATAGGACCACCAACGAGCCTGCTGAAATATCACCTGCACCTGAAAGAAAGAGGCGGCCTCCACCTTCGGTCTTCTTGACCAATAAGAGGGCAAAGCCTGAAAAAAGACCCAGGCCAAAGACTACAACTACAGAAACCTCGCCGCCATCTAAAATCAAAGCCATACGCTCATCAATATTTAATTAGTTATATCTTTGCCGTAGGCATGATCATAATATAACGACTAACGACGTATATCACCAGTCAGCATCTATTCTCCTTTTCTTGCCTTCTTTAACAATCTTCCGCTTGAGGAGTCTGCTAATCTCTTTTTGGATGGGACGTCTTCGCTTCCTACCAAGTCTCCATCATTACCTTCCAAAATGGTTTGTTTGTACGACCGGACCCGTAATCTTCCGTTCACCAACACTCTCTCTGGACTGAGGGTGACACAGGCTTTTGCCCTGCTGTTGTCCAAACCAACAGTCTTCAATATAGTCAAGACGTCACCCGAGTTCCTGACTTGTGAAGCCAGGGTAGCCCCACTGGATACTATGATACCTCTGGATCTGCAACCTCTTATTAATTGCAACACGTTGCTGAAAAAATTCTTACGAATCATTTGACTATTTATCCCCAGATCTGCCCCATAGCCTGCCACCACTGTTGCATAGCATATCTCGAATTTAATTCCTTTGTCCACGGCACTGCCTACTGTCTTGTGCTTGATGAAAAATGGAAGCTTGGTAGCAAAGTTGAACGAAATCAAGTCAATATCTAGGTTTATGGTGCAAAGCTGTAATGCCTTTTCGGATGTAGGCTGTACAGCCAAAATGTCAAAGTGACCCTGGAGCTTGGCTAATCCTTGACACTTAGAAGGATCATTCACAATCAAGGTTACTCTGCTGTATAGCTTCAAACCTGGGAATTTTTCACAGAGGTCATCTCTTAATGTGTTCATGGGTATAGGATTTAACCTTTCTGGTTGATTTATAGGGAGTTTGACATTTTCTTGTAATTGGAAATTGATGGCTATTTGTCGGTATCCCAAAGTGTAGAGGGTCACGATGGTATTCTTGAAGCCTATTGTCTGGGAGGGGGTTGCTGGAACCGAGTACCCGTTGGAGGGCCACGGCACATTGAGGTCATAAAGCATGGTGGTGAGCCTGGCATCGGACCAATTTTGGCGATGCTTGTATACGCAGGTCATGTGACTGATCATGTGCCTTCGTATCTGGGCGCGGAACATGATTTTGAGGCCAGTGACCTATGCTGACATTCAGTTTGCCACCGCCACAGACCACCACATAAATAACCACATCTGCTGGCAGATCTGTCTGGACTGTTTTCTTACTTCTACATTTTCAATTACAATCTCATACAACTGCATTTACACTTTAGATGTCAAAAGCCGAAATCAACACCACTGGTCTCTTCATTGACCGCACAAAAGCTCCTAACAAAGATGATCAAGGTATAATAGACATAGGCAAGAATTGTTCAAAATGTAACCAGCTCGACTTTTTGCCATTCCAGTGTGAATTTTGCAACCAAGTCTTTTGCTCCAACCACAGAACCCTTGATCAGCACGATTGCAAGGGAAAGGCTAAGTTCGAAAAAGGAAAGGTGATCTCCCGGCACAGCGACCACCTTGGTTCAGTTCAATCATTATTCCCAGACAGAGATGCTAATAAGCGTACCGTCGAACAAAAGTTGGCTGCTGCAAAGCCCAAGCCAACCACAATCTTGGAAACCCAGTTTAGAGTGGGTGATGTGGCGAAGAATGCTTCCAATGCTTTCAGCAAGTTCAATAAATTTCTAAAGCTCCAGAAAAAGAAAAATCTGAGCAGTGGAAGCACTCTTGGAAAATTGTTCACTTCCAGTACCAAAACTCCCAAGCCAAAGCCTACCAATAGCGTGGTTGATTTGGCGTTGTTGAGAAAACTGGCAAAGGGCGATATCAAGGTAGCTGTGGGTGATAGAATTTATATCTGGTGCTTGTACATTAACCCAAAAAATACAGATTCAGAAACTGTGGAGTCGGAAGAATTGTCTAAAATCAACATCGACAAAGACAAAAAGCCAATTTACATATCAAAGAATTGGCCAGTCGGCAGGGCATTAGATTCGATAGCAGATCAGTTGAGTATTAGAAACTTCAACAACTCCACTAATGAACTGTCCGAACGATTGAATATTTTCAAGCTCAAGGATGAAGTGCCAACTTTGATGAAGGCAAGTGACCGATGCAATACATCGTTCAAAAATTGCGATACCATCTACTTGGTAAAGGGATCCATATAGTGATCTCAAACTCCAACCATAGTCATACATCAATTAGATTAATGAAAAGATTTATAAACTAATAGTTAAATTCCTGTAATCCATGCATAGCACGACTACATTCAATAAATTCCTATGGTATCCTCCATGGAATAATCTATCCAGTTGGCCATGCAATTTTGGTCTAGCAAATGTTCCCATTGCCCCAGCAGACCCGTCTTGCACCCACTTGTGTCGTCGCTATGAGGACAGTTCAAGTATGGATCATGAGAATAGCCAATATCCCTAAACCAATGAATATCTTTCTTGTCAGCGAATAATGCCAATCCTATGGAATGAACTGGGGCATCACCCCATCTTTCATAGTAAAATTTCCCTGTAGAATCCAAATGTTTAAACCATTCCATGTACGCTTCACTTCTGAAAAAGTTCATGTCTCCTATTTCGAAGTTGGACCAGAAATGGCAGGTGGAGTACCCATTGGCAGTTTTCGCATTCCGAGGATTTTGTAAGTCGTCTAAGAGCCATTGGAAAGCCCCGTTCTTGTTGACATACTTGTAGTTATCTCCTTTATTCAAGAATTTCAAAGTCTCAGGCCAGAGAGTTTCCACCGATCTATCGATATCATATAAGTTTATGGTAAACCCATAAATTCTTTTTTTGGCTTCCATGTATTTAAACACATCGTACTTGATATCGGTGTAAAAATCAACATTTGGCTCTATTCTCCAATAATAACGGTACTTTTGCAATTCGGGGAGCAAGTAAAAGTTTCCCAGGTAGAAACGACACATATTGTGATATGAGAGCATCTTGGCGTATCCGACATCGTGATCCTCCATGATTTGCATCAATTCATCCTGTTTCTTTGCATCAATGGATTCTGGCCTATCCCACAATTCACGAGGGATAGTGATGAACTCCATGGGGGCGTCCGAGTAGGACTGCATCTTTTTTTTGAACTTGTCGCTAAATGGCTCGTCGTTGATAAATGTGTAAGGGTATTTGAATTTCCCGTTGAAACTCCTTTCGAACTTTCTGATAGTTCTGCCGATGCCAATAGCCTCACTATTTCTGACCAATGCCACTATCGTGGCATTGGCATGCTCGTAGGTGCCAGGATCACTGGGGGCCCTGATCAGGTCGAGATCGAAGTCTTTGGGGCCTGCAATTTTTTGGTTCATTACCTCGGTGTATTTGCGGGTGTTCTGCTCAAGAATCTCCTTGGGATCACCCTGCTTGGCTTTGGGGTTGACGAACTTGAACTTGACGTTTCCCGGTTCGAGGGTATACCCTGTATCCTGAGCACTCCCCTTGGAGTCCTTGTTGATCCCCTTGAGGTAAGTAAAGTCGAACTTATTGGTCAATGACTGTATGGATTCTCTGATTGTCAGCCTGACTTCCTGATCGAGGGGAGTCGCATCAAGATATACCATTATAGCAAGAATGATAATTACATTGCATGCTGCAAGAAGGTACACCCACCGCAACGAGTGTTTGAGCGATAGCATGGCGCTTATTCAGGCTAGTACTACTAGTTGTGAGCTGACTGTGGACTGACTGTGGAGGACGCGTCGAAGTATGGCAGTGACTGTTTAACCCTGTGGTGGAATGGTTGAGTTTCACTTCAGTATTCACTCGTGTTGCAACGAAAATTACAGCTTCCTGCAGGAGAACTCGGCGATTGCGAGCAATTGAGGGTCCCTGAAATGAATCGAGGTGCTATCTGACTGTTAGTTGCCGGAGTTGTAGCCGGAATAGATTTATCTCCGTGGGGCAGCACTTATCGTGGCCTTGGAATCGCCGCAAATTGGGGATACCATTTCCGAAAGGCATCAGCCTGAACTTCGCTTAGGACGAATCGGGCTATGCATTAAAGTACCACACGTGACCCACTGTCACGCGGGGCTCTATCGCTGGTGAAAATGATGCCACTATCTGTGGCCATCCAATGTTGTCCAGATGGAAATATGGCCCTGGTGCCGTGCGTTACCCAACGCGGCTATACAAGGTATCAAGACGCTTCGTCTCCAAGCTTCCTCCAAAATCCTCCACAGTGGCCAAGTTCCACTTCCCCGTCGCTACCCACTCCATCCACCAGATCAACCAAAATTTGGACAAATTCCTTACCAGTGAAAACTTGAGAATTACCCTCAATGGACACCTCCACAAGAAGCCTAGAATAATGACAACTCGCAGCTTTGCGGAAATCAGGGACGAGACAGGAGTCACCCAGTTATTATTGACCCCAGAGTCCACTAACCCAAGCTTGTTTGATTTACTCAAATCCAGTGGAGTGGAAGACTCTATCAGTGTCACTGGCTACATTCAGAAAAAACAAGTGGGTGGCTCTAGTACATGGGAGCTTGTGGTTGAAGACTATCAAATATTGAATTCTTCGAATTTGGATGCTGCCAGATTGGACAAGTTGAAGCATTTGAATCCACAAGATATTCCCGGTCAATTCAGATACCTCCAACTCCGTACTCCTAAATACCAGCAAGCATTGAGAAAGAGAAGCAAGGCTGCTATGACCACACGTCAAGTACTTGTGAATAATCATGGATTCACGGAAATCGAAACTCCCCTCTTATTCAAATCCACCCCCGAAGGTGCCCGTGAATTTTTGGTTCCTACCAGGCAAAAGGGCCAGTTTTATGCATTACCACAATCTCCCCAGCAATATAAGCAAATTCTTATGTCTTCGGGTTTTACCAGGTACTTCCAGTTGGCCAAATGTTTTAGAGATGAAGACTTACGTTCCGATAGACAACCTGAGTTTACTCAGATTGATATGGAGATGAGCTTCATTGATAACAGCGATCAAGTTGGTGTGGTGGTCGAAGATGTCATCACCAGCGTGTGGAAGGGTGAAGGAAAAAGTATCTATCGATTGAACGGTGAAGTGCTTGAGAACGTCCCAGAAATTTCACCAGCGAATCTGCTACAATTTTCTAAGCTTGACTATTTTGATGCTCTCACCCGTTATGGTATCGATAAGCCAGATTTGAGATCAGATTTGAGATTTCAGCCGTTGTCCGACTTTTTCATTTCTGCCAACCCCGATTTTCCAGTGATAGAAGTCTGTGTTCTTAGAGAAGCTTTTGATCCATCGAAACCCTTTAAGTTGCCTAGTGCTTTTGTTGACAAGAGCAGTTATTCTAGAAGAAAGCCAATAGTGTTAGCGTTGAAGACTGCCGAATCGGCCGAAAACTGGTACCAAAAGTTTGTGGAGAAGGAAGTTTTTCGTAAAACTGAAAACTTCGATGATTCTAAGCTTCAGAGCTTGCTCAATTTGAAAGAAGGTGATGTGATTGCCTTCTCCACCAGATCAGAATTTCCTTATGAGAATCCAACACCCTTAGGTAGATTCCGTCAGCTTGCAATCACCGAGTTTCCAAACAAGTGGAATCGCCCAATATTGCAGGCGGATGGCACTGTCCTGGACAAATACAATAGAGAAGACATCTTTGTTGGTTCGTGGGTTGTAAATTTCCCATTATTCAATCCTGTTGATAATTCCAGCTCCACTGATGAATATCCTCTATATGACTTCAAATCTTATGAGTCTACACATCATCCATTTACCATGGCTAAACTTGAGGATTATGACCTTTTAGAAAGTGGTCCATTAAAGGTCAGAGGCGAGCACTATGATCTAGTTATCAATGGGGTTGAAGTCGGTGGAGGTTCTAGAAGAATTCATGATGCTGCATTGCAGCAGTACATTTTTGAAGAAATTCTTAGTATTCTGAACTATCAGGCTTTGTTTGGCCATTTGTTGAAAGCCTTGAGTATGGGATGTCCCCCTCATGCTGGTTTGGCTATAGGATTTGATAGAATTTGCGCAATGCTTATTGGAAGCTCGAGTATTAGAGACGTGATAGCATTTCCCAAAAACCAATCTGGCATTGACCCCGTTGTTGAAAGTCCCACTGAAGTTGGTGAAAATAGATTGAAGGATTATTTTATTGAGGTCAGCGACTGATTAAATCCACTTGTATATTTGGGATATCACCAGCTCCTATCAGACCTCATTTGCATATCTTGTAAATAGTTAAAACTCTAAAGAAGGAACAATCATTGGATTCTTTTTCACAAATGACTAAAGGTGTAGATTTTTGTTGTACATGTATTATCCTTCAATAAGAAAAGATTATCCAGCTAATTCAAGGTCTTGACATCAATAATCAAAACTGCACGCAAGTTATTGAAGCAATTAATGTAGTAACCAAACTCTTAGCACCTTTTTCTTTTGATAAATGCAGAGACCACTTTACGAACATGTCACTCGCTTAATCTTTTTCTATCGGTAAAAACTATAAACTGTTACTATACATGAAATGTGGCTGAACTAAGATTCTACTAGATAAACTTAGTCAGAGATGTTCGTAAAATTCAATAAATTGATGTGCTCATATGATTTCAATTCACTTCTCTTCTTCTTCCTCTTAATTTGGTCTTCTTTTCATGTGATTCTCCTAAATCTTCTTCTAACTTTCTCTTCAAGTAACCTTGTTCTGCCTTTTGGGCTCTTTCTTCCTTCAACTTCTTTTCTTCGAGCAATCTTTCCATCTTCAATTCGATTGGTTTCTTGGTTCTGGTGGTGGTCTCTGCTTCATCATTTTCACCAAAAAACTCCTTTTCTTGCTGCTTAACTAATGCCTTCCAATCAAACTTCTTACGAGAAAAGAGTTCCATTGACCAGTTCTTCCAAACCAATCTACCATATGTACTTTCCTTAACCTTGTGGGATTCCTTGAATAACTCGCTACCAATTCTATCCTTGTACATTGGCAAGAAAACAGTAAAGTTCCAAAGCTTGTCAACAATGTGAGATCCATACGAGTTACAAGCCAAACCAACAATTTCGTTTTGAAACTGATTAAGCAATCTCTTCCTTAAAATTAGATTCGCTTTGGATTCCTGCCCGTCTTCTTGGAGTACTAATTCCAATGAATGTTCAACAACATGACTGAAAACTCCATGCAAGCACATTTGTACTAATCTCTCCACAGGAAGGGCCATGAAATTCAACCAGACACAGATTNTGAATTTTCCATCATACTCCATCAACTTCTCCAAGAATAAGGATCTTCTCCTTTCTTCTGCAGTAGGCCAGTCGTCTCTCTTGTTACCCAAAGTAGATCCAGTTAATTGCAATACATTTTCCAAGAACTCGGTGGAAGTATCATTAGATGGTCTGATGGGATTATAGTTAGGAGCAAACTTTTTGAACAACTGCTCAATCAATTCATCTCTTCTGTAGTTTCCTCTCGAAATGGAACCGTCAATTATTCTTTGACCAAGGTCCAAGTTTTGGTTTTCGGAAATGTTAATCAAGTTGGATAATTCAGGGATGACTTCATCTAAAATGTGCTCGACTTCTCTAGGCTTTAATTTGAAAAGCAATGCTTGAATGATATAAACTCCGGTAGTAGATCTCTTGCACAATTTCAATACTCTATCCTTCATGTATAAGGTGTAGAGCCTTTCGATATATTGTCCTCTGACACCTTGGTTCTTGATAATTGCTTCCAAGAAATGCGAACCCACAGGATCGGATAAGAGATGCTCGATAAAAGCACCTTCTTTATCATCCTTGTCTTCGGAATTCTTTAAGAAGATCAAATGCCAGATATTTCTCTCCTTATCTATAAGGCCTTCTACTTGTAATAATAATTGCACAACTGGAGAAGCAATCTTGTCAATAGATAATTGTCTCATGGATCTTATATCTTGTCCTCTCGCGATTATTTGACAGATGTCTCTCAACTCATCCTTGAACGAGCTTGGGATTTGATATGATTTATTGAAATCATCGTTGTCTTTAATCTCAATCATCTTTCTAGCAATTTTGGACTTCTTTGATCTCAAGGTAGAATTAGATATAGTGGTAGATGGTAATTCTCTACCTGCGATAATCAAAAGGATGATTCTCAAGACGTGAGAAGCATATTGGTGGTTAATCATTGTCTTGAGAGATGGCTTGATTTCGTTGAGCATTTTGATGAAAAGGGCTTCCATGGTTATTTGGATGTCTTCAGATTCATCGTCTTCTTCTGCTTCAATTTGTTCCCCAACTAATTCTTTCTCGATTAATCTGGCAGAACGCACTAATAATGTTTCTAAAACGTGGGATGCATATTTATGGTATGATAATGAATTGAAGTGATTCAAGAACAGGTGGAAGATATTCTTGAGCTGTCTGTCACTTGAAAATAAAACCAATCTCTCCATCAATTTGGAACAGATTTGGTTGGTGACCAACTTTAACTCCTTACCCTTCGCTTCCTCCAAAACGGACCTGATGAAGCCTTCTCTTTCTTCTGGGGTTTCAAATGCATTAATATTAAGAGTGGACTCGGTTTGCTTGAAGTAGTCGAGCTCATTGGCATCAACTAAACCAAAGAATGGAGTTTTTGGCTCTTGAGTCTGTTCTGTTTCGTTTGTTTCGGCAGATTCAGAAATTGATTCTTGGTAAGAAGAGACTTCACTCTCTTCCTTTGTTGCCTTTTTCTCGGCACGTCTTCCTCTAGAGGTGGATTTGGCCATTTTGGTAGTAGAGTAGTAATGCCCTTTGATTAGCTTCAGATATCTATCTAAATTTTTCAATCACGTGCTTATGCCTGTGGGCATCGTGCGGCGCAAATCTTGACATGGGGTATAAAGAATGCGATGTCTGAGGAGGGCAGCGCGACTTACACTACTTCTGATACAAGTTTGACGTTGTTAAATAGAATAAAAATTTCCGTTACATTATAACTGCACAACTGTGTGCTTTTCAAGTAAATTATTAGGTTGGGCTACACGTAATTTTTCAATACCTTTATAACACTCATAGCTTTCTAGATGCAATGCTGCACCTTTTGGACCGCTCGAAACTTGCAGTGGGTTAGAATGTTAATACCCTGATTAATTCCAGCCAAGGAAAACTTTATAGATGAGTGNTCCGTTGCGATGTTTCAAATTACGATGTTGCCGAAGCACAGTTCATAATGATTTGTAGAACATGAGTGCTTGTAATTATTGATAATGCTATATATGTTTGAGCTAGTTAGGATTGTCGTGTTAAAATTTTCGTTTTCATTCCAAGCCCAAAAGAGTTAGAGGAAAGGTAGGACAATCAACCTTGAAGAGCAGTACAGAAAGTCACAATTTTGGTACAGCCAAATTGAGAACTATCTGCAGAGGCACAGGCAAGAGAACAGTAGAGATGGTTAACAATATTGTAGACAGTAGAGTTGGAAGCTAGACTGGTATAATTGCTGCTTTGCCTGCTAGTTGATCTAAGTACTTCCCCTTCCTCAAGGGATCAAGTTCAATCAATTTTTTTAGGCATTCTTTGATATCATCAGTCAACAAGTTGTCGTTCTCTTCTTTTTCTTTTTGTATCAAACCCTTGATTAAAATAATAGTCTTGAGACACCAGCAGTTTTCTGTTTGATTGTCACTTTCAAAAGTCTCCACCATATTCAATTCTTCCACCATTAATAACTGTTCATCGAGAACATCCAAATATGACATTTCATTTTCTCCACTCCTGAGGTCCTCAACAAACAATTTCTCAGTTAAAAGCCAATAAAAATAGAGCCACACCGAGGAGTCGTTGGTGTCCACATATGTTCCGGTTTTCACGAGCTTCAACTCATGCATTAGAAGAGTGTAGGGTCTTTGAAACAATTCAAGGGTTTGAGGGTACTTCGAGCCATCGCCTGTTCTGAGAAGTTTGAAGATCTTAGGAATGAGGTTACTTCTATTATGCCAGGCGGAGAAGTTGGATATGTTCTTGTTGATCTGGGCAGTGGTGTACTCAAACTCCTTGATATTTATCTCCAACAATGCGGTGTCTACCTCAGATTTGGGGGCTCCTGAGGATTCTAATTTGGAGGATTGCTCGTTCTCGATATTGCCTACCACATATCTGCGGTATTGCCATCCATGATAATTTCTTGTATCCATCTCCAACAATTTTGACACCACAGCAAACTCATACGCCCAGCTTACCTTCTCCAATTTTACTAACTCGAGGAGACACCATTTTCTGTGGTGCCATATCCAGTAACATTTGGGATATCTCTTCAATAGTCCCATCAATAGCTTCAAGTCATCCTCCAATAGCTGCTGATAACGGTCGCCTTGATTGTGGAGAAGAACCTCACGACGGTAATTCCATATGGTGTAAAACTCGGGATTCTTCATCAACAATTGGGTGGTCATGTCCAACGCTTCCAAGGAGTAATCCTTGCTATCTCTTAAATCATACACGTTATCAGTGAGAGATTTATACTGGGCAATCTTAGCCTGATCTTTGGCGAGTCTGGCTCGTTTGGCCTCCTCTGAAAGGGTGACTCTTTTGACACCGTGCTTTGAATGTTAGTTTGGCTCGTGCAAACTTTGACAGGAGTACTTACCATGCTAATTGGTTAGGTTGAATCTTGATACCCAAATCTTCTAAGATCTTGTAGGACCTGAGTCGTGCGCGAGCGAGAACGAGCCTGGGTGTCAGATAGGTAGGACCACACCAGCATGAAAATCAATGCAACAAGGATATGCTCGGCGGGGGAGGTGGTAGAGATCTTGAGATGACCAAGCTTAGGCTGGAACTATCTAGTGTATTCCTGGCACTCTGCTGGCTACTAAATGGGGAAGTATTTTCCGTTTAAACAACGTTCTCCCGGGATTTGGACATATTTTACGTTAAGAATATAAACCAAAGCTAGGTAGGGTGATTGACCCAAGGACGATTCGGGCATTTTACATACGGGTGTCTGGATTGTTTCGAATTAATTTTCCACTTTCTTGTCGTAATTATTGGGCCCCGGGTACAACCTTGCTCCCATTTAGTGCAGCACTACGTATCTCGACATCGCAGTGTATTCTCATCTGGAAGTTGCCCGCCCCAGCTATTCCTGGCTCTAGCAATCATGTTGGTAGAATTCAGTAAGCATATTCGTAGCAAGTCGTGTGTGTGCCAATATCGTAACTGCAAACCAAATCGTTTCGCATATGTTCCAAGTGTGCTATTGCAGCTAATTCTACACCACCAACGCTTTCGGTACTATGGCTGACCCGTCTAAGCTAGCACTCAAGGGCTCGTGTAAGATTGTCACCGACTATTTTGAATTCGCCATCAACAGTATTCTTTTTCAAAGGGGCATCTATCCAGCAGAAGACTTCCAAACCGTGAGGAAGTACGACTTACCATTATTGGTGAATGTGGACGATGATGTAAAGGATTATATACTGAAGATCATGTTGCAGATCAAAAAGTGGATCTATGGTAAGAAAATCGTCAAGTTAGTGTTGGTTATCGTGTCAAAAACAACTGTCGAAACTGTGGAGCGGTGGGAATTCAATATCAATATAAACGAAGAGAACCAAAGTGGGGATGTTCCAGAAAAGAGCAGACAGGAGACAAAGAAGGAGATCCAAGCTATAATTCGTCAAATCACCTCGCTGGTGTCGTACTTGCCAATGTTGAAAGACGATGACTACACCTTCAACGTGATGGTATACACCGATCCAAATAACCCTGCGCATGTGCCCATTGAGTGGTTGGACACTAACGGGGACCAAAAGATGTTGGAGGGCGATGTGGAGCAAGTCAATTTTACCTCATTCAGCACAGATATCCACAAAGTAGGAACAGTAGTTAGCTACAAGGTGGACTAATATGACTTGGTATCATTATCCCTAGTGGATGGGCACCATAGTTGAGGAACTACAAAAAGAACTGGGATGAAGATATTGGGGACATTTTATATTGAAATTGCATATAGCTTAGGCCTTAGATTGTACAATAATTGCTAATTTACAGTGGTGTATCAGAATTCTTATATGGTACAATAATAACTAATTTACAGTGAGTACACAGGTTTGAGTTAGACGGCCTCTAAGTCGATTTCTTCGCTGAACCTTCTTCTCTTGTTGCTCAACATGAACCTGGCCGAACCTTTCATAGCCACAGAATAATCCCATACCTTCAAGTACTCGTCGGACTCCAAGAGCTGTCTCTTCAAGCATGACTTCTGGTTCATTTTGGTCAAGTCATTGAATCTTGATTTCAACTCCATGAACTTGAACACTTGCTCCTTGCCGGTCTCCTCGTCGATAGCCGGAATGTACTCGTTCAAAATAGAGTAATTCATTTGATGAATGTAGTAGTCAAGAATGTAGATAATGGCTTCGTTGACCAATGGTTCGGGACACCTAAACTGCTCGTAGCAATCGATGCCTTCCAATATTTCCTCTAAATTGACTTCACTGAGATCCTCAACAGGAGTGAATTTGGTGGTAATTTGAGATGGCTTGAGGTTGAGGGTCACGATGATGATGGCTAGAGAAATACAATGCGATGGAATCATCAAGCATAAGGGAGTGGACATAATATCAAATGCAATCAACCAGCTGAACATCGAGATCTTGTAATTTATGCCTAGTTTCTTGCAGAACTGGATGGTAAGGGAGTCGATCGAGTCCAAGGTCAATACTGTTCCATTAATGAAATCGAATTTGATCAACTGCAAGAGCTTGAATTCCAAAGACATAATAGCCTTCCTTTGAGCCTCTGCCAAGGAATCTGAATTTCTGGATCCTCCCGAAGCTCCGTTACTTCCAGAACCGTTGTGTCCCTTGGATGTTTCATCGATATCTCTTATTTTGTTGGCAACCACCTGAATATCTCTTAATTTCTTGATACAATCTTCATTTTTGGTGGCCAAGAATACACATGTCAAAGCCACGACGTATGGATCTTTTTCTAGCTCGTTATCGTCGCTGGTGGACTCGTCCTTTTCTTCATCCTCAAACTTGTTGAAAAGATAAAACCTTTGATAATAGTTCATGGATGTGCTCAATACTCTCAAAGGAAACTTGAGTGCCTTTACTATTTGAAAGACAAACTGGAAGATCTGATGTTTCCTTTGTGTAAACACTAGCTTCTTGGAATCGGCTATAGTTTGCGAGTGAAGGTATGATAATTCTGATGATGTGAAGAATGGTCGGGAAATTTGAGTCACGCTAGGACGGGGTTTACCAGACAGATTAGATCCGTTGGGGGTTAGGTTCGACTTTGAAGAGTCTACCACGCCGGGAGAGATCCCGGGATGGGTGTTTGGGGTTTTCACTGACATGAATAAGGTGGTTAAGTATATGGAAGGTTGAAAATGGTTTTTGAGTGAGTGGGAGTGCACACAGGGCATCCCCAAGTCTTCTGAGGATAATGAACCATTGATGAGTTTTTAGTATTTGACAGATATCCATACCATACTACAATTGGGAAGATAAGTTACTAATATCCACATATAATATTAAACCTAACGATTCTACGGAATTGGGATCAAGTCAAACTACTTGATATGAAAGCAAACGATCCATTAGACGCAAGAGCTTTCAGCTCGTTTAAGCAGTGAAGGACAAGGAGAAACCCAACTTGTGGACTGGTTCAGCCAACTTGAGGGCATCGAAAGAAGCACCCAAGCCCAATCTGACACCTGGTCTCAATTCTTGGGAGTAAGCCAAGGCAGTCAAACCGGAGTCAGCAATCTTGGCCTTGACGAAGGCAGTTCTGTCCAAGGCGTACTTGGTGGCGAATTCAACGTTGACGTTGGAAGACTTGACGGAGTCCCAGGTGGTCTTGGCACCAACTTCAACCAATGGAGAGACCTTGTGGAAGTAAGCGGCGGTGAAGACGGACAAGTTGGAGGTGGCGGTAGCAGCCAAAGCGTAGTTCAAGTTGGCGTAACCAACACCGACGGAGTACTTGTTGACCTTGGCGGAGGCAATGTCGTAACCCAATTCAGCACCGGCGGTGAAACCGTCTTGAGCAACAGCCAAGTCAGCGGTGGCAATTGGGCCCTTCAACAAGTCGAAGAACAAACGGGCGTTAACCACGGATTGTTGGTAGAAGAAGTTCAACTTGGCGTTTCTTGGGCCGTTTGGAACCACCGAGGTGTCCAATTCACCCTTCAAGCCTGGGGTCAACAATTCGGACAATTCGATCTTGGTGTTCAAGGAGTTGGCGTTGTTCCAACCTTGGGTCAAGGTCAAGCCAGTGGCCTTGTCGACGTACTTAGCATCGACGGAGGCGGCAATTGAGTTGTCCTTGGCGGTCTTACCCTTGACAGTGAAGGTGACGCCGTTTGGAGCAACCGACTTGACGTCGACGGCAGCAGTGGCCAAGTGGAAGAAGTCCTTGTTGAGCAAGTCGTTGGCGGACTTTTGGATGTCGGAGTAAGCAGCTGGGGCCATTTTTAATTGATGAATGTTGATTGTTTACGAAGAGAAAACAGACAGTTGTGCTGTAAAAATGGTGGGTGGGTTTATATTGGGAGTCCTGGGGCTCTGTGCAGGACGGCCAACGGTGGCGCGTCATTGGTGGAAATCGGTTGGGGTCATTGGCAATTTGGGGAATGGGGAACGAAAACCGTCATTTTCTGGTTCCAGTGGAGGGGTTGGCCTACTGGTGACGGGCCTGGGGGATGTGGACCATAACCTGGGGACCACTCCAGGTTGAGGGCCTGGATGGGAAGACACGTGCTGGTCCCTGGATTGTGGCGTTGGGTCGTTGGCGTCGCAGGCTCGCGTCACGTGGGATGCACCATCTGCTGCTCCTGACAATGCTGGGGCAAAAGGGGCCACGAGTCTGGACCGTCGCCCGGGCGGCTGGCAGGGTCAATGGTGCCATTGATCCTTGCGGCTTGAGGCGGGTCCACTTCTAGCCGGCGATTGCCGTGAGAATGGAGAAGTGGGCGTTCCTCCTAACCCCACGGTGACCAGTGCTTATCCCCGCGATGGCTGATGGGGAAATCGCGATCTGAATGTCGTTGGGGAATGGTCCACGTTGGGCAGGCGCGACACGTCAGGTGGTGGGGCGTTGGGTCAAATGTCGCGGAATCGCGGGGCCCAACTGGGCTGGTGAAATGCTTCATGTCGGGGGTGAAATCACCCATGTCGCGGGTCCTCTGTGGCCTCTATGGGCATGTCGTAACGAATTCGCCTGGTGGCATGATCCTGTGTTGGGGTCCGCCATGGGTGCCTTCCACCAATCTCGCGTGCCGCACCCAGCCCTTCTTCTGCTGGTTGCGGTCTTGGCCTTGCAGATTGGCCCACTTCTGGCCGAGAGCCATCCTAAACGACTCATCTGCTAACACCGCTTCTGCCTTCTTCCCCGTTGAATTCTCTAACTCCTCCTCCACAAGCCTCTCTGCCTTCTCCTTCTCGCCTCTTCCGATATTTTCCACGTGACCGGTATCTCCTGTCAATCCCGCATTAGTGAGCTTATCAATCACTCCACTCCTCACCATGACGTCTTCTCAGCTGGCGCCTTCCCACAACAAGCCCTTGGCTGGAACAGCCAATGGTGCTGTGGCCGCTCCAACCCCCTACAAGCCCAAGAAGTCGCTTCCAGCCTTGAAGGTCAAGCCTGACCCTTCCCTCAAATCGTGTTTATCGCCCTCCATTGACCCACAACGAAAACTCCCGGAAGATTCCACCACCTTTGTTCACGAACAGTCCAAGCTGCCTGACGCACACCCATCGTTCGTGGATCCAAACGACAACGTCAGTCCCATCAATCACGGGTTGAATGGCAGAGCCTCTGACGAGATCAACACCTCCAGACTCACCTCAGAATCGGTCCCCAAGATCGGAATCCTGGACAATCGAGAATCGGGAAGAAAGAACCTGGCCACCATTCCAACAGCCCCTCAGAAGGACGAATTGCACTCACAAACGCCCCAAAGTAAGACCACCCAGGCGTTGGAAGTGCCTGGGTCCCTCCAGCATCCAAACGCTTCCCAGGAAGCCACCCGAAAATTGCATCTTCTTATTGGTATCACGGGCTGCATATCAATTCTGAAAAACGTATTTCTTATCATAGAAAAACTCTTTGAGTTGTATACTCCTGAAAAGCTCGAGATTCAGGTGGTTTTGACCAAATCAGCAGAATGGTTCTTAACGGATAAACTCTACAAATTTGAAAACTTAGGTGTCAAAGTATGGTTCAGTGACGACGGTGAGGCCTATTATATGGAGTCCAAGGTGGAGCAACAAATGTCGGGAGAAGCGAAGCCAGCATTTCAAATGTATTTGGCGCCTGAACTACAGAAATGGACTGACGTGCTCTTGTTGGCCCCGTTATCTGCAAACACTCTTGCAAAGCTCATTAATGGGCTTGCTGATAACTTGTTGACGGATATTCTACACACTTGGCCAACACCCCAGCCTCAAACACACTCGGTGGCCCACAACATCGACAACACGGTTTTAACCAACAACATCATCTCGCCAAAGCCAATAGTGGCGGCATTAGCATTGACAAATTCCATGTATTCACACCCCATCACCAAACGCCAATTGGCATTGTTACAAGATACCTACCCTAATGTGTCGATTTTAAAACCAGTGGAGAAGTGCGTGGATGTGGACGGAAACATCGCCATGGGAGGGATGCGCTCGTGGAGGGAAGTGGTGGACTTTGTGCTGAAGAAGTTAGGAGAGCCCGAGGACGATGAGGATGACGAGGATGATGACGACACACAAAACGATGAAGACGATATCACCGACTCGTCCCTTCCTGAGATCCACCTCACCAAGGAAAGCCAGATTTCTCCGCCGATCATCGAAGTCGAAAGAAATTCGGCCACCCCAAGATCTCGTCTGAACACCTTGACCCGCAAAGAGCTCCAGGAGCACGAAGAGCTTGCCTCGAAGAATGCCATTCTCAACACGGGAGCTAGATAGTCCTGGATATACCTATTTATTATGCACTGTCATTTCAATTCGCATACTCACTCATTAATGAAGTCCTAATTAGTTCGTCTTTCTTAATAATAATCAATGAATCTTAATTAAATACGTAACAGCTATGTCGGCATAGTCTATGCCAAGCAAGAGCACGTCGCCAATAGTATCCAAGTCTGTGTTTTGGCCGTCTTCATTAGTCCATCTTGTCTCGCCAGCCTCGTGCAACCCAGAGACATTATAGCGACACGCAGCCACTTATCAGTCTCCGCATTTTCGACTTTTACTCCACTCTTCTTCTAACCACACCATGCCAATCTTACCCCACGACTCCGAAGCATTCTCCAAGAAGACTGTGTTCATTGGAGGCATCAATGTCCACATCTACAACGCTGACTCACTTCAATCGCATGTTGAGAACACCACCGGTGACATCCCAGTGGACGTGTTGTACTTGGTCCACGAACGTCTAGGCAACTACAAATACACCGAGGCGTTTGCGTTCAAGATACTTGAGCAATTCTACAAGAAAGGAGGCAAGCAGCTCGTTTGTGTGACGTTTGATGTCAGAAACCACGGAGAAAGAACTGTCGATGAGTCCAAGAACCAGGACTGGAGGGGAGGCAACGCTTCGCACGCTTCCGATTTGATCACAGTGATAGACGGCATTGTGGCCGACCTCAAGCTCTTGACCACTTCCGTGCCATTCTACCTCGACTTGGACCGCTATATTTCGCGTGCCAACAAGGAGCTTGGCACCACCATCAAGTATCGCCACTCTTTCAGCGGAAATTCACTTGGGGGACATGCTGTGATCCGGTTCGCCAACGAATACCCCAACCTCGTCAACGTGCTCAATCCCGTCATTGGATGTCCTGATTTGACCACGTTGTTGGTCAACAGACTCACCAAGGCTCCATTGGACAGCGTTGCGTACGACAAAAAGTACTTCTACTTCGAGTACGACGAGTTGCCATTGAATGCAGAGCAAAGGCTCGTTTACCCCGAGTCATTGCATAGGCACATTGCAGCCCAGGATATCTCCATTTATGAAAACTTCAACATGAACATCAAGTTGTTTTCTTCGCACGGGAAGGACGACAAGTTGGTTCCAACCAAATTGGCCAGCTCGTGGTTGGACATCTACAAGAACACCAACGGAGTCACCGAGGCTTTTATTCAAGAAGGCGTAGGGCACGCCACCACCGAGGAAATGATCGACAACTTCACTACCTGGTTGGTGAAGCACATATAGCTGGCAAGACCGAAATTGAAGAGGTGATAATTCCAAGTGGATTGCAATTTCAGCGATTGCAAAGCACGCCCGTGAGAATCGTAAAACCTGTTGTTCATACCAATGATATGAGGCCTCTAAAATGAATATAGTAATAGAAATACTACCACCTCGCCTGTAAGCATCCACCACCTGCGAAGTGACTTGAAATGACCTTCCATTGTGGATTTAACAGTTCACCATCAGAGCTTGAATTTCTACAGCTACTTTAGTATTCACACTAGGTGCTACACCCAGAACCCTTTCAAATATTTAATAGGTAATTTTATTAAAATTCTCTTTGTAAAAATAGTAATACCATTTACATATGCAGATACGTTACCAATTACCCTACGATCTGGTGTCGTCAATCGAGATTTAGAATTAGTTACCCCCCTCAACAGTACTGTGCACGGTACCCATGGCTCGTTCCCATCCCCCTTTTCTCGCTGGTGCCGGCCACGTGACAGATCCACTACAACCGGTCACCTCCCGATTGTCTACCTGTCACTACTCTGAAACAGACCGTACTGTCAATTGCCAATTGTCTGCTGGCTCTTCCTGTCCTTGGCTGTTCTCACCGTACCATAGCCTCCCTTCAACTCGCAACCGCTGCCCAACACGCCTCACATTTCCCCAAAACAGATCGTCGCATCTCCACAATTGTTGATAGATCTCAACGGACATTTGTCACCTACCCCAGTTCTTTTGAGTCTGCATCTGTGTTGTACGACACGCAACTTCTCATCTCGTGAGCAATCTGAACCAGCCATTGCCCCATCTTCCACTCCCCCATGCTAAAGACACAAGTCAGTGCCTCGCTTCAGGCAGGGCTAACCCAACAGCTCAACCGAAGTCTAACCAACGAAGACTCATCATCGCTCGTCAGCAGCATCCGCAATGGAGAGGGCAACGTCAACTACATCACCTTCAATCAGGATGCTTCCTGTGTGGCCATTGGCTTGAATAGTGGCTACAAAATATTCAATTGCAAGCCGCTGTTCGGCAAGTGCTTCCAGTTCAAAAAAGAGGAACTGATCGGCATAGTGGAGATGCTCTATTGCACCTCACTCATTGCAGTAGTGGCGTTGGGCGACGAGCCTGGCTCGTCGCCTCGCAAGCTCAAACTTGTCAACACCAAGCGACTTTCCACCATCTGCGACTTGATCTTTCCCTCCACCATTCTTCAAGTAAAGCTCACCAATTCCCGCCTTGTGGTGTTGTTGGAAGAACAGATCTACATCTATGACATAACTACCATGAAACTCTTGCATACCATCGAGACTTCTCCCAATTTGCACGGTCTATGCACTATTTCCCCATCCTCGGATCAGGATGGAAATAGCTACCTTGCCTATCCATCCCCTCCCAAAACCATCACCCATGATTCATTGTTAGTCACGGGTATAAATACCAACGGTGGGTCGAACTCGGTCCAGAATAACATCCAGTCGGTCAGTAACAGTCCGAACCGCGTGGGAGATGTCATAATCTTTAACCTCACCACTCTTCAGCCGTTATCGGTTATTGAAGCACATAAGTCTACCTTGGCTGCAATGACGCTCTCGAACGATGGTAGCTTGTTGGCTACTGCTTCTGACAAGGGTACCATAGTAAGAGTCTTCTCAGTTGAAACAGGGGTCAAACTCTATCAGTTTAGAAGAGGTACGTACCCTACTAAAATCTATTCCCTCAGTTTCAGTTCCGATGATAAGTATGTGGTAGCAACAAGCTCAAGTGAGACCGTTCATATTTTTAGATTGAGTCAAGAAGAGGCATTAGAAAACAAACACAAATTGAAAAAGCTCAATAATACCTCCAAGAAGAAGGTAAAGCTCAATCCAGAATATGAAACCATTGCAGAGGAAAATGAAACGTTAGGAGAGCAGCAGAAGCCACCCAGCCAAGTACACGATGATGATTTTGATGACATACAGGACGATGGTGATGATAGTGATGCAGTCAATGAAGAAGACGACATTGAGGAAGAAGATGAAGATGCTTCAAGTACCAAACAAAGAAAACTCTCGCAGAGTTCTACCAACTCGTTTCAAAGTGTAAACTCTGGTAAGTCGATTATCAGCAATGAGGATGTTCCTACCAACACTTTTCCCAAGGACAACTCTTCACTTGCACATAAGTCTGAACCGATAATCGACCAAAATAGACTTTCGGTAGCCAGATTGATTAGGCGATCTTCTCAAACTTTGGGTCGTAAAGCTGCTCAAAAGATGGGTGATTTCTTGCCTTCCAGATTTTCATCAATTCTAGAGCCTACCAGACATTTTGCATCTTTGAAAATCAATGCCATTGGTAAGGATGTCAAATCAATAGCTGTGATGAATAATGAATTGCTGCATGATTTTGTTCCTCAAGCATACCTAGCAAAAGATAGGGATGGATCCTCACCTTCAACTCCAACCAAAGATAATAGCTTTCTCCAAAGAGAGGCTGTTGCGTTGAATTTGTTACACATCAATGTGGTCACCTCCGAAGGGTTCTTCTACACCTACGGATTGGATCCAGAAAGAGGCGGTGATTGCATTTTGTTACACCAATACTCACTATTAGATGATGGTGCGTAGTTTTAGCTATACCTCTATATGAAGAAAATTCATGGCCAATGCAAAGTGATAATACTCTACTTGGTGTAATTCTGTAAATGGCAATCCTTTGTGGGTGAATCTGAGACAGCGCAACTGTTTGCTCGTCAAATAGAGAAGTCCTTATGAATAGATTGATAAATTTTTTTTTTTGCTAATGGGAAGTATATTATAATCTACTGACTATATACCTATTGCAATGGATAACACACCATTATGGTCAAACCGTTATAATTTAATTTTTGCACTCATATCATTTAAGAATTGCGGTTCGAATATATCTGCTTTTTTTCAGAAAATCAAAAAATGTGTAAAAACAACTTCAGCTAGATTATATATGCAACACTAAATAAAATGGAATGAATATGATTATATATTACAGGAAAGAATTAGAACCAGCTGAATTTAGTAACTCAAGTCACAAAGTGCAATAGTCACAATGATATTCTTACTCACTGCACGAATGTTACGCAAAGATAGAATGTTCTAAGAACGATTTTTAATAAAACCACCTAACACGCTATCCTGTCAAGGCTATATTCTAAGGCTGGAGATTACTCCACTCAAACGATAGGCGTTTTTCAGTCAATACAAATGATCGTTCTATTGTTGAGAATAGCATTCAGTTCAAATATTACTCAAACCGTTTTTTAAAACGGAAATACACGGGCTAGAAGCACTTAAAAAGTTCAATAATAATCTTGGAAAGCTTATATAAGCCCAAAGTGGTTGGAGACCGAAACAATAGCCAATTTTTTATACGGTTTCAACACTGTTTAGTAATTAAAGACAAAATATTTTCGTGTAACAGATCCACTGGGCAGTAGCTTTCAAGGGTAGCCTTTAATAAACCTTTATTAGGTAATCTCTTATAAAACAATTAACAGTAGTCGTGAACCTGCTAATTCGGGGATGCTTCTTATTCTTTCTTATTCCCCTTGGTTCTTTCAACTCCTTNNCTATATACTCTTATATACTTCTTTCTAACCCCGCTTGCTTATCTTTCCCCGCAGGGCTAATAAACTACTAATCACATTTGGTACTCGTCTGATATTTCCTTGATACTTCTCTGATACTCGTACCTTACCACATAACACATTTTCAATGCGCTTACTAATTGTTATTACGTAACGGTATACGTAATCGGGGTTCTCTCTTTCAATCCGTTACATTTCGTAATAACTCTTGGTGGCCAAGCTGGCTAAGGCGCGAGACTGTAATGTTAACTCAAAGTAATCTTGAGATCGGGTGTTCGACTCACCCCCAGGAGATATTTTTTTGATTCGCTTCTTGATGGTACTCAACTCCAAGCAGACAACCTAAACAGCCCTTTCCAGTTCTGTTCTCTTTTTCTCCCATTAGATTGGCAAGATGTATCACTTATTAGCTTAGGCGCACTGTTAGTGTAGTTCGTGACGGATAAATTCATAGCATAATTATTGCCAGGAGTCAAAAGAGGAACTAATGACACCAAATAAAAGACAGAAAACCAGCTCATCAACTATCCCTTCTTCGACTTCAATAAGTCGTATAGTTCTGTTGAGTGAATTCACCTCCACTTGTCTCCACGTTTGCCCAATCAGTTTGATACGCGCACGCCCTCAGCCTTACAAAGTCAAACATTTTGCCACTACCTTACGAATCAGTTAATACCATGTCCTCCTTCAAACGTATGTATACCTTTAAGTGATGTCTCAAAAGTGCTTTAGAGTGCCTATAAGATGAGGGATAAACAGCCGAATTTAAATGTATTCAATGAATGGTGAATGGTTGGCTTCTACAGGGAACACTCTCGGGATGTCCTCGAAGTAGACTGATTCGTGCTGATTAGAACTCGTCTAATTAAAGGAGGAGAGTTATTCCTAGTTAGATCATCTTGAATGAGACGTGTGGTAATGGAATTACTAACAATTAGTATCAATAAAGAACGCTGGAAAGGTGTTCGAAATCGAACTTACCCCATCATCCACTGGGGCGTTCCTTAAAGAAAAGATCCAAGAATTGACCCTTATTCCTCCTGAAAGACAAAAGATCCTCATCAAGGGTGGAAAGATCAACGATGCTGATGTTGTGTCTTCTTTGAACTTGAATTTGTCACAACCAATCATGGTCCTTGGTACCCCCGACAAGAACCTTCCTTCTAAGCCAGTGGTCAAGCAGGTGTTCTTGGAAGATTTGAATGCAAACCAATTATACAAGGTTTCGACCGACCCATCAGGATTGGTTAATCTCGGCAACACTTGTTACTTAAACTCATCATTACAAGCATTGTACAGTATTAAGATCCTTAGAGACCGTCTTAAGGATCCCGGGCTTGCGTCATCGGCTGGAAATCAAGCATCGATCAAATTTAATTTAGCTTTGAAGTCTCTTTTCGAGCAAATGGACAAAAAGCAAGAAAGCATCAAGCCACTTCTTCCATTGACTTTGATCAAACAAATTAACCCGGAGTTTGGCACAACTGATAACGCAGGCCGTCCTCAACAACATGACGCAGAAGAGGCTTACTCCGAAATGATTAGATTGATCAATGATGGTTTGAAACTTGACGATTTTTTTAAATTAGGGTTTAAAGCAGAGCAAAAGTGCATCAGCTTACCTTCAGATGAAACAGTAGTGACGTACGACGATGCTCTCAAATTAAACTGTCATATTGATATTAAGACCAACTTCTTGAGAGACGGTATTATTAATGGTTTGAAGGAAACTCTTGAGAAATTCAACCCAACTTTGCAATCAAATGCAGAGTATGAAATCAACAAAACCATCACAAGATTGCCCAGATATTTAACTGTTCATTTCCTTAGATTTTTCTGGAGAAGGGATATTGGTAAGAAATCGAAGATCTTGAGAAAAGTCCAATTCCCATTCGAATTGGATTTAGCTGAAATGTTAGATGAGTCTATCAAGGCCGATAAAGTTAAGGTCAGAGACCAAATAAGAAAAATCGAGAAGGACAATCTCGACTTGATTCGTGATTTCAAAAAGCAAAAGAAGGATAACTCATTGACTCCTTTGGAGCAACAAGAAGAGGACGAATTAAAAGTTGCATCCATAAAAAGTAAGTTCGAAGATGAGTTAGTCAAGGTTTTGCCTCTGGGATACGATTTACAAACCGGTAGTGAGAACCCATCTTCAGTTTACGAGCTTACTGCCGTTATTACACATGCTGGTGCTTCTTCAGAGTCCGGTCATTACCAAGCTTATGTTAAGGATGACAAGGACTTGGATGGAGACAGATGGTGGAAATTCAATGATGACAAGGTCAGTCCAGTCAGCAAGGAAAAGATTGAACAATTTGCCGGAGGTGGTGAAAGCGATAGTGCCTTGATTTTAATCTACAAGGGCGTGGGCTTATAATAAGCCCAGTTGATAATTCGTAATACAGGCAGAATAGATCATATTTTTTAATGTAAGATAACTAAGTATAAGCAATCGCTTACAACTCCCTAACCGACTTTCTAAACTTCTCTACTTCGTCCCAACAGTTCAAAGTCTTGCCTTGGTTTTCCTTCAAGCATTTGAGCACTTCTTCTCTGGCACTCTTGATGTCATCACTCACTTCGACCTTGGCCAACTTGATGTTCTCCTGTAAGAGGGCAGTCAACTTTGTGATCTTGTCGTTGGTGGAAGGAATGGGTACGTCGTCGGCCTTATCTTTCAACAACGAGTCGCTGGTGGTGGTCTGGAATCTTTTGATGGTTTCTTGCTCTAACTTGGATAATTCAGCAGCCACTCTTTCTTGAATGTACTTTTCAGTATGTTGTGCTCTGGAGTAATCAGACTGGAGGTGTTAGTATGTTGTGGTGGTTGGAGCTGCTGGCGGTGGATGCATCCTCGGTGTCCAATACTTACTTCAGCGGAACCCTCCAATTGGCTCAAAAAAGAGGCACTGAAATCAACAGGCGTCGATGGGGTGAATACTTTGGTCTCTGGTTTGGAAGTTGCGGAACCCATCTTTAGTGACTATGGAGGTAATTGAATAAATCTCCAAACTAATCATAGGCTCTGAGATTGGGTCGTGCGCCGCGACCCCAACATGGAATCAAAATTTTACCACCGAAAATGAAGTTGATCATTGGCCCCCACATTACCGAACATGCCTCCAGTCCAACAGGTTCAATACGCTCACCACCAACCGTCCAACTTTGACAAATTCAAGATGGGTCTCATGATGGGTTCCACCGTCGGAGTCTGTGTTGGTGTGTTATTCGGTGGTTTCTCGATTTTGCAAAACGGTGCTGGTCCTAACGGTGTCATGAGAACCTTGGGTCAGTACATCATGGGTTCTGTTGGAACTTTCGGTTTGTTCATGTCTATTGGTTCTGTCATTAGATCTGACCCATCTTTCCAAGCATACCAAAGATCCATGTTGGAATCACAAAGAGCAACCATCCGGGCCGTCTACAGAAACAACTAAGTTTCAGGCTTCAGTTGTTTGAAATCCAACCCCCCGAGGTCTGGGGAAAGAGACCTTGAAAATGGACGATGTAAATAGGTCTAATACATGCTATTAGTTGATGCTTCTCAGTAGTGAATTTAGCAAGAATCAAAGCTTTCGTGCTATATTGCCAGACTTGAACAAACTTGCACTACATCTTCGAATAAGTCGTAGTGTTTGCTAAACCGTCCGTAGTATTCCTTTATTCTATGTAATCTATATCCTCTGAAGTAAATTATCGTGCAAGTCAAGATTATTGCATTGATATAATTTTGCCAAGTGCGTTGCCAAAGCCAAAACCGAACAACGCTAATTCTCGTTGGTATGCACATGTAACTCTTCTTCAGTTCCCTCCTTAAGGTTGAACAAATATGTCAAGCCAAATTCGGGAACTTTGTGTCGATTTTTGTCCTCGGCATACTTGTCTAACAAGTACTTAGGCTCCAATATAGGCTCACTGCTTAGCTTAAAGGTGCCCCAGTGGATACCTTTCATGAACTTTATGGATGCATCGGCACATATTTGTAGCGACTCTTGTGGAGATATATGACGTGGCTTTTGATGCCATGAAGGGCAATACTGTCCGATGGGCAACAAGCCAAGTTGGATTGGACCATATTTGTGTCCCAAAACTTTGAACAAATCCTTCAGGTAACCGGTATCTCCAGCATGGTACACCAACGATTCGCCGTTTCTTCTTATAATGAACGAGCACCACAATGACTTATTGGAGTCAAAGACATACCTTCCAGACCAGTGCATAGCAGGTACACATACTACCTCATACTTGTCTGGAGAAGCAACATCAAGTGGGATAGTATCCCACCAGTCCATTTCGATTACCTTGTAGATACCTTTTCTTGCCAATTTCAGCTTTAGTCCCAAAGGAACAATCCAGGTAGTGGTGTTTCCTATCTGCTTAGCGAAGTCCAATTCCAAATGGTCTGGATGGTCGTGAGACACAAGCACGTAGTCTATTTTATCGTTGGTAGCATACTTGATGTCATCATAGCTCAACGGGGACTTAAGGAACCTTTTTGGGCCAATTGATTGACTAATAAGGTGGTCACTCATGATGGGATCGGTCAAGAAGTTTATCCCTGCAACCTGAACCAAGGAGCACGATTGGCCCAACCATGTGAACAAAAGTTGATTCTGTATAGCTTTGGAACCACCCTCCATGAGCTGCTTGAACTCACCTGACTTGGCACATGCCTGTAATATCTGAGAATTCTTTCTGAGGTACTCCAAGTTTGGAGTGAATGCTTTAAGAACGCCCTCCACGTCTCCGTGCTCTTCGTCTCCAGGAACCTTATCGTGTAATTCCACCTCATTCCCGTAAATGCTCTCGAAAAATTCCATGAAACGAACCAAAATGAACTCGAAGGCAGTCTGGGGTCTGTATTCGTCAAAGGGATTAATGAACATGCCTGCTACCGTAGCTGAGCGGAACTTCGATATGTCTGTTGACTCCGATAATTTTTGGACCTCCTGGCGTCTCAGGCTTATTATGTGCTTTGTCCGAACTTGCATAAACACCTCGAATGACGTGTATGAAAGAAGGAGCCCGAGCCCCAACTTCGATTTCAATGAAAGTGCCAACCCCATGATGGTGTGCTATCCTAAATGTAGGGACTAAAAAATAAGTTGCGGTCAAAGGGACATTGGTAATATATTACGTAATAACATCTGACCCTAGATTCGTTAGCGGTGTCGATCACCACAGGGTTAAGAGGTCTTTACCGGTTCGTGGGTTTCCCATTTAGTACAGTATCTTATTTAACCTAACCTAATTATATGATGCGAAGAACTAGCTGATCAATGCTTTCTGACAACACCAGCAGCATCGGCAATAGACAAGATGTGCTTCTTGTAGTCGTGGATATTACCAGGGAATCTCTTGACACTACCTTCTTCACTGACCCAAATTTCGTTACAAACCTTGTCGATAATGGTCACATCGTGCGAAACCATCAAGATACCACCCTTGAAGTCACACAATGCGTTGGCAAGAGCATCTAAACCTTGGGTATCCAAGTGATTGGAAGGTTCATCCATAATCAAAATATGTGGTTGCGCTAAACATAAGGCGGCAAATGCAACTCTGGACTTTTGACCACCAGAAAGTAACTCCATTTTTTGCAAACCAAGAGTACCAGTAATACCAAAGGAACCCAAATGGCGTCTGTATTCCTCATCAGACTTACCTGGGAATGCAGTGGACATCCAGGAAACAGCAGAAGTCGTCAAGTCCATGGAGTCAACGTGATGTTGGGCAAAGTAACCGATTCTTAATCTACCGTTTCTGGTGATCAAACCGTCCAATGGTTGGAATTGATCCAAAATAAGCTTCAATAAGGTGGTCTTACCGGTACCGTTACCACCACAGAATGCAATTCTAGAATCCATTTGCACATCCATATCAACATTCCGAAGCAAAATCTTGTCGGGAGTATAACCAAAAGTGACACCTTGTAATCGTAAGATAGGAGGACTGAGCTTTTCTGGATCAGGGAATTTGAAGGTGACCACCTTGTCGTCTTCGGGTGCTTCGAGAAGAGGCAACTTCTCCAACTTCTTAATTCTGGATTGAGCTTCAGAAGACTTGGCTGCATTATATCTGAACTTATCAATAAATTCTTGCAAATGCTTTCTGTAGGCCATTTGATTTTCATATTCACGACGTTGGTTCTTGATTCTTTCTTCTCTTGTAGAGTAGAAAGAGTCGAAATCAGCACCCCTGTAGTAGTCCAATCTCTCCGAGTGTTGGTGGATGATGTCCGTTGCAATATCGTTCAAGAACGCTCTGTCGTGCGAGACTACTAACACAGTAGATTCGTAGGTTTGCAAGTACTTTGCTAAGTAGGTAATGGATGGAACATCCAACATATTAGATGGTTCATCAAGCAATAACAAGTCAGGCTCACAGAATAACGCTCTAGCCAAAGATAATCTCATTCTCCAACCACCAGAGAAGGACTTGGTTGGTAAGTTCTGGGTTTCCTTGGTGAAACCTAAACCAAACAAGATGGCAGCAGCCTTACTTTCAGCCTTATCAGATTCCATTTCGTTTAATTTCTCATTGACTTCTTGGAGATGGGTATCCAAGTCCTCTCTTTCAAGATCCAATTTTTTCACCTCACTAGAACCTTCTTCAAACTCTGCTCTCAATTTCTCTATTTCTGTAATTCTTTCGTTGATCTTTTGCTCTTCTTTGATCAATGTCTTTCTCCACACATCGGCATCCAACACACTTTGTAATGCAGGTGTGTCATCACCTCTGATTTCTTGTTCCACATGTAAAATAGTAATATGCTTAGGAACATTAAGCTCTCTTCTTGATAATGCTCTCAAAAGGGTGGATTTACCAATACCGTTTTGACCAACCAAACCATATCTTCTACCATATGCTAAAGTCAAAGAGGCTTCACTCAAAATTCTTTGACCATCACCGACATATAAGTCAAAGTTTTCAAGTTTGATATCTTTCGACTTACCGGCACTAGAACCAAAGTCAAGAGGGTTAATCTCAAGGAAATAGGAATCATAATCTTCAGTCTTGCTTTCATTGAGTAATTTGGAGGCTTCGTATTGGACAAACTTATTGTTTCTCTTTGCGACCTTCTTAGCAATCTTACGTTCTTGTTTCTCCAACTTCTTCTTATCAACTCTACTTTCCATCTTTCTACCAGTATGTTCGATATCATTACTGGCACTTAATAAAGCCAATGACGAGTTGATATCTCTCTTGGCATTGTTTTGTTGCAACACGTTGATGTCCAAGAGTCTCTTGGAAGTATCACCCGTAAGCTCCAATTTGGCCATGTTTTCCTGGAGCTTTGTAGTTAAAGTAGTTGACAATGAGCTAATGAGTTTGTCTATCTTATCCAGTTGACCTCCTGCATTCATAAGAAGATCTTTCACAAAGTCCATTTCTTCGGGTATATTGACCTGCTGGGAGGCCACACTATCTTCAGTGGAGGCAGACACATGCTGGATATAGCCAACAGTGTAATCAGCAACAATTGGGTCGATCGAAGGCACGGCCTGACGAACTTGAAGGGAGATGTTTGACATTAGGTTTAGTTTTTGAGCCAAATTAACTGCTTGAATGTGCCTTGAAAATACAAATAATAAAAGTACACCAGGGATGCGTTAGCCAATGCAAGGCAGGTTAGTAGCTTATCAAATATAACGGTCTGGCCTACTTCGAATCAGTTTGGTTAAGAATTTTCATGCGAAGGGTACTGCAGGTATGAATCACGTGAGCTGCTTACAGCAAGACAAGTTGCAAAATAATAGCTTAGCTAAGACATACTTGACTACCTCTTGTATGAAGTATCTTGATATACCAAGAGGGAAACAATCCGTGGCTGTATATTTTAGTAATTCAATGTATTGGTTCTTTGCTGAGTAAATATCACTATCATTTCCAAGAATGTTATTGCACGTTTGGGTTAAGTTTTATCATGTGAACATCATACACGCTCTTTAGTGGTATTGGCCTATCAAATAAATAAAGTGCTATTAAGCAATGAGCTTCCAAAGTTAGTTAATGAGTTTGCTACAATTCATTAATGAAAAAGAATAGAAAATATATTGATATCAAAGCAAAATCGGTGCACCGAAAGTATAGAAAAATAATCCATAAAAGGGACTAGGAGGATTCGACAGCAGGTTCATAGAATCTGTTTTTGATCCAAGCAAACTTGTAGGATTCGTCAACTTCCTCAAATTCTCTCTTTTCGATTGGCTCGAAGAAACCGTATCTGGTCCATCCCCACTTCTTTCCCTTAGCATCAGCATCAGCGTTAGCATCTCTCTTTTCAATTGGCTCAAAGAAACCATATCTGGTCCATCCCCATTTCTTTCCCTTAGCNTTAGCATCTCTCTTTTCAATTGGCTCAAAGAAACCATATCTGGTCCATCCCCATTTCTTTCCCTTAGCATCAGCATCAGCGTTAGCATCTCTCTTCTCAATTGGTTCGAAGAAACCATATCTTGTCCAACCCCACTTCTTTCCCTTAGCATCAGCATCAGCATTGGCATCTCTTTTAGAAACAGTTGAGTTACCAGCAAGAGCATTCAAGTCATCAATAGAAATGCCTGATTTCTCAAGGGCTTCTTCAGTAAGGGTGGTATTAATTAACAAGATTACTTTTTGTCCATTAATCTCGACAACAATTGGCTCCTCATCATCAGAGATGGAAGTTTGGGCATTGATGGCTTGTTGGGGGAAAATGATGTCCTGTTCAAGAAATCTACCGGAAGGTTCAGTTGGAGCAGGTGTTTCATCAGAGGTTGGTGCCTCGATAGGTGCTGCAGAGGAAAAGGTAGCAGTAATGATAGCGGCTAAAGTAATGTCAGAGAGTCTCATTCTTGTTTGTGTCTGGATGTTCAGGGAAGTGTAGTAGTGATTCGAATACTTTCGAGGTAATTTGATGTATTTATACTAAAGTTATACATACTTTTTATTTGCAACTTCATACCCAATATCCCACCTCATAGTGTACACTATAACACGAGCATGTTACAAATGTTAATTACTTGCAGAAGGAACACCAAATTGTGTCAAGAAGAGTCTCAAAATTTCCTTTTGCACCCAAATTTAGTAGTTTTTTCAGATGCGATACTACATTTAGGTACATATGTGGGGCACGAAGAATACATCAACCACCTCCGGAAGCCCCTTTGATGTTAAATCAACGATAGGAATACGGAGAAGGAAATAATGATGTTTCAGTTGATTGTCTTCGCTTCTCTTTTTTGATTGAAGATACCCCATTGCAAACCAGATATGGCTGACTGAGCCACAAGGAATTTCTATTTGGGATTGGTTGGTAAAGAATAATGAGGACACAAGACGACTGGGGCGTATTTTGTTGGTTATTTTGTTACAGCGGGTTGCAGAGAGAGTGAATATGAGACGTCCCAATAAATGGGCTCACTTCAGGTTAGATATTTAGGTTATTGAGTGGGATATTTTCCCCAAATCAATATTGAGTAAACTTTACACCTCCGATGTGAAATTCAACGTTCATCGAAGTATGCACAGTCGAAATAAGGCTTGTTCATTGCCTAAATTTGGACAGACATGAACACATTGAAGCATCTACAACACTTCTACGTTTCCGGTTCTAATTACAAAATTACGATGTGCCAGTACTATTCGTTTATTGTCATTAAAATTACAAAACAGCCTTGATCTTGTCTTCCAACTTGTCAGCAGACTTCAAAGCTTGAACATCGGAGTTACCACCGATGTGTTGACCACCAATGAAGACGTTTGGAACAGTTCTTTGTCCGGTCAATTCTTCCAAAGCATCTTGCAAGTCGGAACCGTCTTCCAAAGTATCCAATTCGATGATGTAGGCGTCCTTAGTGATGGAGTTGATGGTGTTCTTAGTGGCAGTACAGAAAGGACAGTAAGTCTATGGTTAGTAATGGTCGAATCATCATGGATTGCATCCACATCACTGGAATACCGGATTAAGCCAGTGCAGGGACTTGCAAAGCCAAGCAAGAGATTGTCAAAAGTGTCAATGCCTCTCGATACAAATTATAGTCTCCTTCATGGCCTATCGAAGCATTGAACAATTGCCGACCCTGCAAATCTTGCCGATCTCACGTCAAATACATACCTTAGAAGCAATGAAAACTGGCTTGGACTTGATCAACTCTTGGATCTTTTGGGTGCTTTGTTGGGAAACCATTCTTGATACTGAAAATGTTCTTCTGAATAATAAGTTCATTAAACGTTGTTGAGGGTTTTTGGCTTTTTTATATTTGGCAATTGGGGATTATGAAAGGAGCTCACGTGCAGCGCCACTGTCGAGGAATGTTAGTCCTGTTAGGAGAGGTCGAATGACGGGGGTCTGCCTAGCTACTCAAATCGACCATAATGGTCGCAACTGGAGAGTGCATCAGTCAGCATGTGTGTAAGCAATTACTCAGCATAAAGATAAAAGGGCCCCACCAAGGGATGGGGCTTAGGTGGCATTTTGGAATGATAAAGCCGTCGTCGGATGAATGTGGGTTTGGGTAGAGGGGGGACCCCATGGGGATAGAGGCGTGGTTGGTATAGGAGGTTGCGGATATCATAGTGGACCACACCTCCGCTATCAGGACGCAATTACAATCATTACAAATGTACGCAGCACTATTGCTTACTAAATTGCGACAACTTGCTCTCCTATGAGTGTATGTCAAACTTATGGCGAGTTGGCTGTACAACTTGGGGTAAATTGTGCAGGTTAACTATGATTGCACGGCTTTCGTGATTCAATAGTCTGACCTCTCTTCATCACTGACAACTTCGTGCTCTTTATTATCGTTATATAAGTCTAGCTAGACCTTCCGTGCACCTACAAGGAAGCAACTTCGGTTCCTGGTAAGATGCCGTGGTGGAAAATCTCGATTTCATACCCATCTGGGTCTCTGAAGAATCCGAGCTCGCCTGCTTCGCCGTACTTTTGGATCCATTCGGAGCCAAAGCTGTCGATCTTCGACACGATTTCCAGGGGGTCCTTCACAGAAACACAGATGTGGCCGTAGCCGCGTTTGGCACCGTCCTCGGTGGTGTTACCGTTGTGATAACCCTTGAACTCGGGGTCGGATTCTGTGCCCCAGTTGTGGGTCAACTCCAAGATACCGGTACGTTGACTGTTGTCGGTGGAGACATTTTCGACGAACGATTCGGAGTCGTCGAAAGCAAGGAAGTAGAGCGAGAACTTGGCTTCTTCGAAGTTCAATGTAGTCAACAACTTGAAGCCCAACACGTTTCTGTAGAAGTCCAAGGACTTCTTAGGGTCGGTCACTCTGACCATGGTGTGGTTGAGTTTGTAGGTGGCCAGGTCGGTCTTGCCTTCTTGCTTGTTGATTCCGTTTTCGATCAACTCGATCCAGTATCCATCAGGGTCCAACACGAAGGCGATGTTCTTTTGTCTACCGTCAGACAACTTCTTCTTGAATTGCACGCCGTCAGCCAACAACTTCTTCTCAGATTCCACGATGTTGTCAACAGACACACAGATGTGGCCAAAGCCTCTGTGGGGGGCGTCGTTGCCGTTGTTGACCGAGAAGTTGGGGTCGTTCTCGGAACCGAAATCATGCTTCAATTCCAAGAGACCTGATTGGGCACCCCAGTTGGCGCCTGGCTCGATGCTGTTAGGGATACCAAGAATGTACAAGGAAAAGGAGTCGCCATTGATGACCTTCTGTTTGACAAAGCCAAAGTGCTTTTCGTAGAAAGGGATGGAGACTTTGGGGTCTTTGACACGGAGACAAGTGTGGTTGAGGACTGGGCCTTGCAACATGGTGTATGGGCGTAGTTGAGGGAGATGGCTTTTCAATTGAGGAAAGAGTCCACGCAATCTGGAGAGGGACATTCTGGGAGTGAAAAGTGACACTTTATATAATTGCGCGAAAGTTCCGGTTGGAATCCAACAGAAAGATTGGGGTTTGGGGGAAGCACACGCTTAATAATGGTGCGTTGGCGAGTGGTACCAGCAAGCGCACGGTCCGCGGAGAATTGATGGCAATCAGGGGACTGGCGAGGAGTATTGCGCTGGCATTTGTCACCCTGGCGCGCCCTGCCAACTGAGTTGGGCGGTGGACACCAATGAGCCACTTTGAGATAGGGACGGTCGGGAGGGCCGACATCCGTGCCGGAGACGGTAGCCCTGAATTCCGAGGGGTGGAACCAGAGTGTCGTGGAAGCGGTGTCGTGGAAGCAGTGTCGTGGTAGCCGCGTCGTGGTAGCATAATAGGACCAGTAGTACCAGTAGTACGAATAGTAGTAGTTTAGTAACATTATGGGACCTAATCTCCTGCGTCTGGCCCTACCTTGCCCATGGCACCACTTATCACCTTTCAGGGACTCAATCTCCATCGCAGTTGCAATATGCATAGCCTAAATCACTCCTATAACACTGCTGAGCAAGTCTTCCGCTGTCAAGTGTCCGATCTCTGGTGACGGGTTGGTCATTGGGTGCAAATTGCCGTCGCATCCGAGATGACACAGCAGGAGCCAGAGCCGGTACGAGTAGCGACTCATTGCCTGGACTTGCCCGTAGTGAGTCATACCTGATATACCTGATGTAGTAGCGTCTTATTTTCTGGCAGAGTATCTTATTGTCTTTTGCCCCGCCAAATCATGCTCGGACCTTTTTTGCAAGATTGAACCGAAGCACCGAGGCCCATTCTCAACGGTTTCGACCCTACACCAGTGGAACCCATAAATAACACAGAATACCCACTCCCAGTTCTTCCGCTTCGAATCCCTGTTTTGTTCCGTCTACAATAGTCCAGCTACCGTCCCGAACCGTTTGCTACATCGCTTCGTTCGCTACCCTCTCGCCAGTGCATCCATCGTATACTGTACGACAAAATATCTGGGGAACAAATTTTTCAAGTGGAACCCACGAAACCAACACCTCTGTCCAGCGTCGTCCGTGTTGTTGCTGTATCGAACTGGTTCTAGTCACAACCCTCGAACACCACCCAAAACACACTCTCCGGGTCATTTTCACCCATTTGCCATCGCTGTGGATCACATCAGCCATCGCCATGTCATTTGTCAGATTCATCAGGTCGTTCTCGTCGGCACCCAGCTTGAGGTCCGCCCACGCGTCCAACCCTCGTAAGACCCTCCTCGACATCGCCAGCAGGTACAACCAGAACCAGGCCATTTCCATGGTCACTGCCCACGACTTCATCACCGGCAGAATGCTCGAGAAAGCCAACATCGACATCGCGCTCGTGGGCGACTCGTTGGCCATGACCACCTTGGGCTACAAGGACACCAACGAGCTTCCGTTCGAGGAGTTTCTTTACCACGTCCGCTCGGTGGCACGCGGTAACGCCACCTCGTTTTTGGTGGCTGATTTGCCGTTTGGGACCTTCGAGCGCCTGACCGATCAGGCAGTCGATACTTGTGTCCGTTTGGTCAAGGAAGGAGGCGTCCAGGGCATCAAGGTGGAGGGTGGAAACCCCGAGATCCTTCCCACCATCAGGAAGTTGAACAGCATGGGCATTCCCATCATGGGTCACGTTGGCTTGACCCCCCAGAGACACAACTCCTTGGGTGGCTTTAAGCTCCAGGGCAACAGTGTTGAGACAGCTGCCCAAATCTACCGTGAGGTTCGCGCCTTGCAAGAGGCTGGCGTGTTTGCGATTGTGTTGGAGTGCATTCCCAACCGTTTGGCTGAGTTCATCACCGCCAACATCCAGGTGCCTACCATCGGAATAGGTGCTGGTCCTGGGGTCTCGGGACAGGTGTTGGTGATCGCAGACATGTTGGGGATGTGCGACCCTGACGACTCGCACATGGCCAAGTTTGTCAAGGGATACGACGGCTTCTTCAAGCGAGGAGTGGAGGGGTTGAAAACCTACAAAAGCGACTTGGAAGAGAAGAAATTTCCCACCGAGGAGCACGGCTACAAAATCAAAAAGGGAATCATGGACGAGTTGAGAAAGCTCAACTTGTAATCCCAAAATAAAGAGGGCACCAGTAATTTTAAATTGAGTTCAATAACCAGACAAAGGTTATTTATCTCTCTCTCGGATGTCGCATATCGACAGATACTGACTGGCACGTGGATACGGATATTATAGACAAATATACTACTATGACTTTTCAGGTGTAGGTGGCTGGGCCACGTGGATTAGTCAACACTTTGGGCTCCCAAATATAAAGTCCCAAATTGGGCAAGATCTTCCAAAACTGCAAACTATATGTTACTTCCAATACCGACAATTCCATTCTATTGACTTCAAACCGTGGCCATTAATACGTAGCGAAGAATAGGTTACTCATTCTTGAAAGTAAATTCAAGAACTGAGATTTTATAGCTTTATTCCCCTTCTATTGCCCGTATTCTTATGGACCTGTCTTCGTATTGCCAAGTATACTTTCATGTTTCTCCTCGCTCGATCACGGTACTCTTTCATCTTCTACAAAGCTTTTCTTCCATAATCCTTAATTCCCCTTCATACTCATGCTCGGATATTTTCCCCCCACGCAGGACCAATCCTCCATATAATTAATTCTTTATCTCGTGCTAAAGGCTAAGTTCAGATCAAGTAACCGAACACTTAGATCTGCAAGAGAACTACTATGACTATTCCAGTAGCCTCCAACACCGACCCCAAAGTGCTACGGGTCTTTGTGGTCAGACATGGCCAGACAGACCACAACGTCCAGAAGATTCTCCAAGGACACAAAGACATTGACATCAACGAACGAGGCGCTTCACAGGCTGTCTTGGTGGGCAAGGTGTTTGCTTCCATTCCTCTTGACGACATCGTCTCGTCCGACTTGGTCAGATGCAAGAATACAGTCTCGGAAATTGCCAAGTTCCATCCAGAGGTAGAAACCGCCTACACTTACAACTTCAGAGAACGCAACATGGGGCCAGTTGAAGGCATGTACCTCACAGAAGCAAAGGAGAAGTACGGGGATAACTACAGAAACATGGGCGAACAGCCCAAGGAGTTCAGGGAAAGAGTGGAGTCAGAGTGGCTCAAGGTGGTGGCAAAGAACAACGACAGCACCAATATAGTCTTGTGTACACATGGTGGTGTTATAAGCATGTGGGCAAACTACTTATATAGAGAGAAAGGATTCAAATCCAGGGTGAATGAAGAGAAGTTGAAGTTCCCGTTCAACACCTCAATCACAGTGATCGATGTGCATAAAGGGACAGGCGAAGGTTGGATCCAGGACTTCGGAAGCACGGAGCACTTAGGCGGGCACTTCGAAGTGAAGGACCAAGAGATTAGATAATATAGAGATTAGAACCATAGAATGAGATATAATGCCTAGTAAGAATATTATTTATAAGCTATTACATAAGCACAGACTATACTTTTCAGGTTCATATTGCTCCTGTTCAGCAACCCCAACATGTCACGGGTAGCTTTCCTCCGTCCCTTCAGGGCCCCGCTTGTGCGCAAGCACCCTGTAGCTAGCTTCGGCCCATTCAGAAACTTTTCATCCGACCCTTCCTACTTGGGAGATGCTCTTTCTACAGATGGTTCCATAGAAACAGTTCCTTTGGCATACGATACACATCTTGCTGATTCGGAGGCTGGGTCTAAAAAGTCCCCAATCTTAATCTTGCACGGACTTTTCGGTTCCAAGACTAATTCCAGAACAGTGGCAAAAGAATTGGCATCCAAGCTCGACAGAAATGTGTTCTGCCTTGATTTGAGGAATTTCGGACAATCACCCCACAACCAGAGACTTGACTACCCAGCATTATCAGCAGATGTCGAACGATTCATCATAGAGTCCGACTTCGCTCAAAAACCAATTTTGATAGGGCATTCCATGGGTGCCAAAACTATCATGGCACTTGCTTTGCGCCAACCAGACTTGCCAAAAATGTTGATTCCAGTGGATAATGCACCCGTGGACTTGAGCTCCAGCTCAGGCTCCAATTCTGGGTTTATTAAGTACGTCAATCAGTTGAGGTTGTCGCTCGAAAAGTACAAATATACCAACATAAAAGACGTGGATGCCCAATTAGCCAAAGTGGAGCCTTCCTTACCTGTCAGACAGTTCCTATTGACTAATCTCAATAGAGGCAAGAAGAACGATGTCATTACTTCCAAAATTCCCTTGGATATTGTGGGAGAAGCTATAGTCAAGGGCAAAATTTCCAGTTGGCCTTTCGATTCAAATGTCAGTAGATGGTCACAGGGTCCTGTCATGTTCATCAGGGGTACAGAGTCCAATTATGTGCCTGATGAAATCATCCCGGAAATCGGTAAATACTTTCCAGACTTTGAAATTAGAGATGTGAAATCGGGGCATTGGGTGATCAGTGAAAAACCCAAGGAGTTTGTTGACTTGGTGGTTGAGTTTGTGGAGAGAAAGGAAGATGAACTATAGATAGACCGTGTATATAACGATTATAGTACAAGCTAATACCGACTAGAGTTTATTAAAATATTTGTCAAAGCTGAATCTTTGGTGATCCTGGCCAGCCTTATCGTGTTGGTTGATTTCTGAAGTTTGCAAACTTTCAAATATACAAACGAATATACATAGTGCAGAAACAGCTTACAAGTCGGAAACCTTGGCCCTACCTTCACCCACAAAATCGCCATAAACATCGAATCTTCTCTGGTAATGAACCGGAATCCCCTCTCTGGCCTTTGGCAACAAGTCCTTGTCTAACTCTGCGTATAAGATTTCTTCACCTTCGCCTGCCTCAGCGATAATGTTTCCAAGTGGATCAGCGACCAAAGAGTGCCCGTATGCTTGATACCCGCCACCTTCGACGTCTCTGGCAGGGCTGCACAACACTGTGAAAAGCTCATTGTCGACGGCTCTCGATCTGGCCAAGAGGTGCCAGTGCAAAGGACCGGTGGTGGTGTTGAATGCTCCTGGGTAGAACATGGCAAAAGAATTGTAAGGACTTCTGGAAGCGATAGAGGCCAATTCTGGAAATCTGATGTCGTAACAGATTCCCAATCCGACATTGCCGAACTCACCCAACTTAAAGACGGTGGCCTTGTCACCACCAGTCAAAGTCACCAGCTCTTTGAAGGTGATTCCGTTGGGAATATCGATGTCAAACAAGTGAGTCTTTCTGTGCTTGGCGATAATTTCACCCTCTGGCGAAAACGTCAACGAGGTGTTGAAGATCTTGTTATCGAGGCTAGGGTCCAATTCAGGAATGGAGCCTCCCACGATGAAAATCTTGTGCTTGCGAGCCAACGAAGCCAATGCGTTGGTAGTCTCACCTTGGGGAATGAGCTCGGCATAGTTGCGGAACTGGTCAACAGCATATGGCGAGTTGAAGCACTCTGGCAACATCACCAAATCCAACTTGGTCTTTGATCCAGCCACAGCGTCATCGATATACTTGGATACTTTGGCAAGATTGGCTGCTTTGTCGGCTCCAGCCTTCAATTGGATGAGGGCAATCCTCAAGCTCTTGGATAATGGACTTTTCAACACGGGAGAACTCATAATTGGTGGTAAATGGCTTTTGGGGGCCACTATCATAGCCGCCCAAATTAGGTGAGCCGGTCGTGCGCGGGTCTCTGGCGCATAACTGTGGAGATATGTTGGGGTACCAGACCCGGAGATATTTGGAGCGATGGCTTTGGAATTGTCGTGATGTTGAACGTAGTAAGTAGAATGGAAGTTGCCGTGGGTTGGATTGAATTTTAGCCTCAGTGTTAATATTCATATTATTTGGTTTTATCTTTGATGAATATGTGGTAGTATAGTGTGCCTGGGTTGCACTTGATAGAATACAAGTGTATCGGATTAAAAGCTGTGAATTAAGAATAAGCCAAATTGTGACACCGTAAGAAAGATTGGGTACTATCTGTTCTCTTACATTTTTGTGCAAATTATTTAGCAAATGATTTTCCACTAGACATTTGCAAAATATAATGAGAATATTCGTTCTCCAGGAAGTTGTCCCCATTCAGAACGCAACACGCTTTGAATAAACATTGAACACTGTCTTCAAGATGTCCCTGAATTGAACAAAATTGACGTTGCCTACGAACATAAATCACGCTTTTATGTAAGCAATGAACTATCACACGAAATGTGTTGAAAAATAAACGCACAATTAAGATCAAAACTTATAAAATAACAGCTGAATACCAGGACTGTAGTTTAGCTGCTGCATATTCTATGGCGCTCTAGTGTTACCCCCAAGCAGGAAATTTGGGGAAAATATAGCCACCTGAAAAACATACACTTATGACTAATAAATGTAGATTCCGACACGTATTATTTCCTAGGATTCTATAAACTCATGTTCTCCTTGTACTTTGTCGTTTCCTTCAACCACTTCAAGTGGGGTATGAAAAGATCAGTACACCACTGAGTATACTTCTTGTCATCCTGTTCAATATATTTCAAGTACTTGAACATGTATTCAGACTTGGTGGCGTCAGAGCCATCGATAGCATTGCCATCGCTATCGTAGTAGTTAGGACACAATGCTTGGGTGAAAAGCTGCATCACCCTAAGATCAAAGTCGTATCCCACATTTTCGTACATTGACTCGTACATTCTGATGTGGTTACCGCTTTTCTCGTAGACAAGCTCATGGTTGTTCCATAACCAGTCGGGGTAATACTTGGGGTACGACAAATGCATGAAAATTAAATCAATCTCTTCCTCTTGTTCAGTATTAAATTTGGATTGATCTGGGTCAAAATGACCTAATGACTTTGAGGTAAATCCTCCTTCATTTTCCTTGAAGTAACCCACCCACGAGAATTGTTTAAGCGTTTGGAACCAAGGTTCACCCATCACATGTGCAGCTCCAATAAAAGTTTCCTTGTCACCTTCACCAGCTGACCCCTGAGTGAATAATGGATAATAGTAGTCTGGACCAAACACGTTATAGTATAAGCATAAAAGCAAGGTCTTCAAGTGTGATGTTTTGTTGATCATAAGCATGCCTGTTTCCGAAGCAGGATCTGGCAAAGTGCCTTCGAATGTATGGAAAGCGGACTCCTTGAATGTATATTGACTAAGCGGCCTAGGACCCATAGCTCCAGCTTTTTCGGCCTGCTTGCGATCGTAATTGTTGTATCTGATCTTCTTTTCTTTCACATCGATTCCGGCAATTTCATAGAACTTTGGATTGGTTGTTCTTGCCCATGCGTCCGGCCAGATCACCAAGTTGGTCTCGGTGTACGTTTTAGAATCGAACAAGTAATCGATATCGGTGGTTGGAAAGTTATCAGAGTCAATATACAACACGTTTTCAAACTTTGAGCTCAAAAGTGCAAGCATCTTGTATTGGTAGCCACCGATTCCAAACTTCTCGTTTAACTCTTTTGCCAACTTGCCATCGAAAACATTACATCTTGCGTTCAACTTTGGCAACAAAGTTTCACAGAAATCTTTCTCGTACTCGTCTTGCGACGCGATAAATAACTCAATTGGAAGCTTGGCGCCAGTCTTTCTGATCTGCTTAATAACCAAGTAGGACAACCAACTGTATTTGCCACCACCGATCATAACGTAACCAGAGCTTCCCTGGTAGTTGCTCCATTCGGGGTCCGATTTCAACACGTTTCCGAAAGTATCGACCCCGTAATTTTCGATAAGCTTGTTAATGTGGCTATCAACATACTTGGTATGAGAGTCTTTGAGTTCCTCGAAAAGTGCATCACTGATGTCCAACCTACCAGCCAAATATTCCTTGGAGAACAAAAAGCTTTCGTCGCCTGAAAACACTTCCTTGGCTTGACCATCTTTCTCCTGGATGTATTTGCCCTTAATAGAACCAGATTTGATCGCATAGTCTTCCATTCCATTGAAAAACACGGTGTAGTCACGGATGGACTTGAGAACTTCACCGCTAGCACCTGCTTCCTTCAGGGACCCTGAGCTTGAGCCGGTATTACTTTTCAGTGAACCTTCTCCGCCAGGAGTTGAGATGCTCCCATCTCTGTAGTTGGCAAAGAGGAAATGAACGGTTACAAGAGCTGCGAACACTCCGATTAGGAACTTGAGCTTGTCCCGCTTAATAGCCCTTATGATACTCATGGATGTGGTTGGTGTAAATGCAGTGGTGGATTTACATACGCGATCGCGTTGATCAATATACACGTGACCGGATCAAAATCAAGCGGACTATATTGGTATTCTGGACCTGCAATATCACTGCTAAAGCATCTAAAACCTCATGGTGAAGTCTATGTATGTAGAGACAAAGTAAAATATTTTCACACTATTTGGCGTTTCTGATATAAATCGGGTTATATTACAAATCGAAGTTATTAAAGTAAGCATTGCGCTTTTCATACCTGCTCTACCTCCACAACAATGCGGTAACTTTAAGTAGAAAACTCCTCAAAATTCTCAGCCCGTAAATACCTACTTTCACCCATAACTGAAATGCGTTTAATGTTGTTGTTTGCTATTGCACAGTATGCTTGAGAAAGGCCAACATCATTAACAAACTACAATATTAAATTTGAATATTGGGTGCAAAGGAGGCTGAATTGTCCGGATTTCTGCTCGGAATGGCTACAGGACAGCGACAGTAGGCACTACTTGGTGTCTCATTAATCACCACCATCCATAATTCGTTCAACTGAAAACAATTCGTTAATATTATCTAATTCCACTACAAGATTCTCCGGATCACGGTCCACCCCCTCTCCAGCTTGCACATTCCCCTTATTGCATATTTCTATTCCCTTTTCAACCATAACTCATCCCCAGTTGGCATTTCTACACCACCAGCATTATCTTCGTAACACGAGCTCCAGCACCGGGGCCATCCTCGCCAACTTACTCCCGCTTGCTATGTGTGCACGTCATTCCACTTCTGGATCGTACCCTTGCTATGACTATTGTGCGCTGCACACAGCTCTACTGCTTATATGGTGCGACAGCACAATTTGATTTTAGCCATTATGAAGACTCATCGGATCATCGTAAGAATGGTTCACACAACCAAGTTATGGGAGGTCCCGAAGCAATTGACGTTCACACGCAAGCTCGATCCGGACTTCAGAATCCCATCCCAGGATATCGCTGCCAAAAACGAGGACAACATCATTCATAAGCCCAGAGTGTTGATCAGCGGCAGTTTCTCGTGGTCGTTGCCTGAGGTCAGAAAGGAGTACAGGTACCTTACATCCAACGACAATGCGCTTGAGAGCTTAGGTTTGGACCCCGAACAGGTGGCAGATCCAAGGTACCAGAAGGTGGTCAGTGGTGAGGTCTACGCAGAGTCAGACTTTGAAGACAAAGGATACCCTTTTCCGTACGCTCAGGCATACGCTGGATGGCAGTTTGGCCAGTTTGCAGGCCAATTGGGTGATGGGCGAGTGGTCAACCTCTTTGAACTTGAAAAACCCACCAATCAAGGTGTGAGAGTCCCTGCGTTGGCCAATCGTAATAAGTACGAAGTACAGTTGAAGGGATCGGGAATGACCCCTTTCTCCAGATTTGCTGACGGGAAAGCTGTGCTCAGATCTTCCATCAGAGAATATATTATCTCAGAACACTTGAATGCGATAGGAATACCCTCTACCCGTGCCTTGTCATTGACTTATCTCCCTCAGACCTATGCCCAGAGACACGCTGCCGAAAAATGTGCCATCGTGTCCAGATTTGCTGAGCTGTGGATCAGATTAGGCAGTTTCGACCTCTACAGGTGGAGAGGCGACAGAGATGGTATCCGCAAGTTGGCAGACTATGTCATTGACGAACTATTCACTATCGATGGCAAGCAATTCCAACACTGGAAAGAAATCCTGGAAAAGAAGGACTTTTTGAAAGACTCTTCTGGTATAAACGAATTGACCAAGTACGACAATTTCTACTATGAGACGATTGTCAGAAATGCTACTACTACTGCGATTTGGCAATGTTATGGATTCTTGAATGGTGTCTTGAATACTGATAATACATCCATCCTTGGTCTTTCCTTGGATTTCGGTCCATTCTCTATCATGGATAAATACGATCCAAATTACACTCCGAATTCTGAGGATCACCAATTGAGATATGGCTACAAAAACACACCCACTTCCATTTGGTGGAATTTGACTAGGCTTGGCGAGGACTTGGCCGAGTTAATTGGCGGAGCTAGATTACTCGATGATGAAGACTTCATAAAGGGTAATTTTAAAGAGGAATGGGAAGATGAAATCATCTCCAGGGCTACAACGGTAATTGAAGTTGGTGGAGAAATCTATAAGTATACATTTACGAAGAAGTATGTGGAAACTTTCTTCTCAAGGTTGGGACTTTCACATAAGCTTATTGATGAAAGCGACCCCGACAAAGCCAATAGTGAGTTAATTGCACCAATGCTCGATATGCTTTACAAGGTACAATGTGACTTCAACAAATTCTTTTTGGTCTTACAAGAAACCGAAATCGAGGATGAATCGCGCTTTAACGCCACAGACATAGCAGAGACTATTCTACTTCCAGTATTTAATGAGGACGCCCCTTCCAGGTATGACAAGAATGATTTAATAGAGGAGATTACAAGCTGGCTTGGGATCTTCAGAAGATATGTGAAGGAGTCGAGAAATATTGATCCAACTCACTCGAGAACTGAAAGCAAGTTATATAACCCATTATTTTTGCCTCGCAACTGGATTCTTGACCAAGTTATCAAGCATACCGAAGACAGTGCAGGCCAAGACTTGACATACTTGAAGAAGTTGGAAAAAATGAGCTCCAACCCGTACGACAGAAGTAAATGGGGAACTGATTTGAAGGAGTTAGAAGATAGATGGATTTTGCAAGGTGATATGGGTGAAGATTACGCTATGTTGCAATGCAGCTGCTCAAGTTAGGAATCATGCATAGTGTGAATAATTAAATATTAATTGAAAGTACAGTCGAAGATTCTTCTTGGAATAATACGAATTTGATATTCAAAGAACTGAAGGATGGATCTATGGCAAGCAAAATTCTAAAGGCCTACAAGGATATTGCCAGCCGAATTGTTCTGTTCTCACTAGTGGTTTTGACTACTAACCATGGGCAATGTGTTCAAATAAACTGATCTAATAGAACCATTTCATTCCAGATCATACTTAACATATTAGTGTCTACATGCTTTCTTATCTCAAACAGTATTTATTAACATATATAATCATCACTCGTTCAGCTTCTGAAAGCACCCTTGGCATCATTGTAACCTTGGTGGAATGCTTCCTTAGCCTTTTCTTGGACTTGTGGGTCCAACTTGGAGATCTTGGCATCTAACTTGTCGTTACCAGTAGAGAATCCACTCTTGGAGTCGTGGCCATGACTGCCGTGAGAGCCATGGGTGGCGGAACCTAAACCAGCACCAACACCAGCGCCAGTGGTGTCGTTACCACTGGAGTGGCCGTGAGAAGAGGTGCTGTCGCCGTAACCCTTGGTACCAGAAACGCCAGAAGTAGAGTTGTCGTAACCGGATGAAGTGTGTGTAGAACCGTGGGAAGCTCCATGGGTACCAGTAGTACCATGGGTAGTACCGTGAGTACCGTGGGAACCATGAGAACCGTGGGTGCTGTCATGGGTGCCAGTGGTACCGTAAGAACCAGTAGTACCGTGAGTACCAGTAGTACCGTGAGTGCCAGTAGTACCGTGAGTGCCAGTAGTACCGTGAGTGCCAGTAGTTCCGTGAGTACCAGATTGGTATCCAGAGGAAGTAGTGTCATTGTAGCCCTTGGTGCCTGAAACACCAGAAGTGCTGTCAGTACCAGAAGAACCGTATTGGTTGTGGCCAGTGGATCCGTGGCTCTGGTTGTGGCCAGAAGCGCCATAGGCAGCAGCACCGGCACCGACAGCACCGGCACCTAAGGCAGCTTCCTTGCCATGACCTTGGTTCGAGCTGTAAGCATCCTTTCCAGCACCATAGGCGTCCTTACCAGAAGAGCCATAAGTGTCAGTACCAGAAGTGCTGTGGGAACCGTGAGAGGTACTGTGGGAGCCGTGGGAAGTACCGTGGGAAGTACCGTGGGAAGCACTGTGCGAGGTCTTGCCAGCACCGTAAGAGTCAGTTCCAGTGGAACCATAGGCATCCTTGCCAGAGGAGCCGTAAGCACCACCAGCAGTGCCAGAGGAACCATAGGAGTCAGTTCCAGTGGTACCGTAAGTGGAGTCTCCGTGCTTACCTGAAGCACCAGCAGCACCAGCGCCAGCAGCACCAGTGGCACCAACACCAGCAGCGCCTGCTTCCTTGCTGTGGGAGGAACCACCACCGAATCTGGAGCCGATACCTTGGTCTCCACCACTCAAGTTGTCACGACCAACGTATTGGCCTCCCTTCTTGTCCAAGGCATCACTTTGCTTGATGGCCTCTTCCTTAGAGATCTTACCATCCTTGTATTGCTTTTGGATTTCGCTGGAAAGTCCGTCCTTACCACCAATGGCCTTTCCGGCCTTTTGGTCGTATTCTTCGGTCTTACCACCACCGAGCTTGCTTTGAATTTTGTCTGTTAATCCCATGTTGTTAGTTAAATCTAGTTAATTGTGTAATTGACTGATGATGAGAACCATAACCTGGAGGGGAATTGGTCCCTTAAATATTCTAGATCATGAGCAACCTTTCACCGCCACGATTCTCCAGAGATCCACTACTTGAAACACCGCCACACATTCTTGCTTCATCACGCGCCCGATTCCTTGCTACTGGCATGGCCAATGGCATCTCCGAATTCCGAGTCATGAGCATTGCCAGAATGGCCAATTGAACGTCAACTGCCTCTACATCATCAATTGACCTGGCCCAAGCTGCCACCACCATGGGAACCATTTCCGTGCCAGCTTGAACTGGTTCGTCTAGCGTTAGGTGGAATGCACCTGGTCCCCGCCATACAATTGTTGCTCTTGCTATGGATTTGTCGTGTGTGGCTGCGAAAAGGGCTCACTGAAATATGCACCGTGGGCGTTTGTTCGGGTAGTGCCCTTACGTCATGCTGCTTGACGCGTGGAAGCTTCTGGTCCAGCACGGCTTATAAGAGGTGTTGCTAATAGAGGCGTCCCAACGTCACGCGGCGTATCGTGGGTATTGTGCTGATGAAACATGGTCCCCTGCACCGTCCTGCCCTGAATCGTACCGTTTCAGTCTCGGGCCCCTTTGCGATCTTCAGCAACCTTGCTAGTGACCAGAAAGTCGGGGTAACTCTACAACGCCCCTCTCCGGCTCGGCACATGGCCCTGGCATAGGCCGTGGAATGTATAGTAAAACGGGAAAAATGCATAAAATTAGCTATTAGGAATATTGTCCTCATCCGTGCATGAGTATGGCATATGGAATGTTGACGCGTGATGCCATAGTTGGTGGTGCTAGCTCTTGTCGACGCTGACGGGCACCTTCACGTACACGTATTTGTTGTTGCTCAAAAGAACGTGGATCCTCACTTGGTACCACCGGCCTAAAAAGCACGATTGGAAATTAGGCACCAAGCAGAAATCGTCATAGGCTGCCTTCGCTTGGCTAGCTTCCTTCTGGGATACATCTTTCAAGGCCATGCTTGTTAAATCCACCATAAGATTGATCTTCTTTGTGTAGCTCCTGCCACCCTTGTCGGCCCTCCATGCAATGAGCAGAGTTGACTTGGGATCCTCGCGAGGATACATCTCGTTTGTGTGTCTGTCTTGAAGTTTAATGTTGTGAATATGTAAATTGAGAGACTTCTCTTTCAAACATGCTACCGAGGCAAGATCTTCAACGAGCTGCTTCTCGAGCTGGAAGTTCTCCGGTCCCAATTCCTTGAAAATTCTCGTAAGCTCATTCATGTTTGCCTTCATTGGCTTCACCACATTGTTGGTAAAAGTGTCTTGATCAAAGAACGTATTGTTGTCAACTTTTTTATTGTAAATAAGATCATGGCCGAACTCAATGGGAATGGCATACTTATCGGACCTGATAGTGGTTACCACAAACTCAGCGCTGATCCTCTTGATCTCTATTGGAATCTTTCCTGACTTATCGGCATTATCAGGTAGCAAACAGGTTAGATCCAATGGGATGTTGAGTATCCATGAATTGTGCTGCTGCTCACTAATAGGCTTATCTCTGAATCTCAAAGGAGGAATGTAGTCCACGAGGTATCTAGTTAGAGGAGTACTCAACTTCAATGTACCTATTGCTTTCTGGGCTCCCGTGAGACTTCTCTTTACTAGAGGAGTAACTATTTCGATGGATGTAGGCTGCTCGTATCGTGAAGTTGATGCAATAGCATCGATTTTACGAACATATGCTTGCTTCATTTTTGCAAACTCCAACTCTTTCTGGCAAATTCTCTTCGATAGTTCGAATGCTGAGCAACTGTCATTTTCTCGGATCAACTTGAGTAGCTTGTGCCCAGTTTCAATTTTCTCTCTCACTCTATTGATTAAATTATCTTGTAATATTTTGCATTCCATCTGCTTTGTCTTTGTAACTCTCTTGCTCTGCTGCAATATCCTGATATTGCCGAGCACTTCCTTAAGAATTATATATTCATCACCCTTAGAATTTACCAAAATGGTATCTTTGTCTGAGAATAAGTTAGGATCAACCTTGTATTTAGATTTTCTTCCAATGAATCTTACCAACACTGCATAGCTGACAGCAGTGTCAATCATCGAGAGATCCCTGATCTTGATTGCATTAGCAGAATTACGCTCAAAAGTGCAGTCTCCCAAACTTGGTGGCATTTCCACATGCAGCTGTAAGTTATGCTCATTGCACTCGGAATCAAGTAAATTCTTGGGAATCTTGAATGTGAAAAATCTCTTGTAAACAACTCCAGGGTGCATTCTCTTGTCACAATTGAAGCAACAGACAGTATTATCTAGTGGATCGATTACCGAGTCATCTGATATAGCTGGATTCTCTGTAATTAGCCTATTGATGTTCGCCTCATTCCATGAAGCACTGAAATCGAACATCTCCAAGAACTTACTCAATACCACAGGAGTCCTGTCTGCCGCGTTCTTACAATTGCGAACCATTATCTTGCCCTCAAACATGAGATACAACATCTCGAAGGGAATTGGCTCGTTGCTGTTGTTCTTGATGGTAATGTAGCCATTCAAATAGTCTCCCTCCTTGTACTCGAAAATCAGCGGATCAATAAGTGTTGGTTTCTCACCTTTTTTGCACACTTCCTCTGTGAAAAACACTTTTATGTCCACAGCATTGGAAGCGGCATTATCAGTGTGGGTCAATTGCTTGAGTTTGTGCACGTTATCCAAAATGGTTTCCTGCCAGGAAGACGTATTCTCGTCAGCAAGAATAAAGTCGCTATGAGGTGTTGCAGGGGTTGAAGCGGATGCAGTGGCGGCCAATAGCGAAGTTCCCGGGGTTGGAGGAAGTTCATTTGACTCTGTACTCAAAGAAACAACTGAAGCAGGGTTGGAGCGCTCATAAATGGGCGGCTCGTCGTCATTGTCCTGGTCAGGCACACTCAAGTTACGCTGGATAGATGCTGTGTACATCCAGTATGAAGGAAGGATACTCCAGATTGGATCGCTGGAGGGTGGTTCCTTCGAACCCTCGACTTCCACGGGCAATGGAAGATCAAAATAGTCCTGGTCTTTATTGGTGCTCTGGAGGCTGCGATCAAGGGGAGAATGGCCGCCATTGCGGGTTGAGGAGGGACCCACGCAGGTGCTTTGCTCATCCTCCATACTCGAACAACTGTCTGGGACCATAATGTACAATTCTGAGGCTATAGACAATTCCTGGCAGGCCAGAGACCTTATACTCTGACATGACTCAATCAATTAATAATCGCATCCGCCTGCATATTCAAGGGTCGTATGCATGCAGCAGCACATTGACCGTTGCCGAAAAGGCAGGTCCCAAATGCGGCAGTAAGACATACAGTGGCAGGGTCCGATGAATACGTGCGATGCCGCAGAGATGACCGTATGCCCCGATTCACTAGTCTTCTCTGGATACCAGAGGTGAGCTTTCTTTCCAGAGGAGGGGGGACCCGATAGCCAAGACTCGCAGTAATTATTAATAAGCTGGGTCGACTGTTTTGAGTGATCAACGAGATAATTCTGTATCAGGAAGGGCTCGCGCGGCTACACGAGACTTTCGCAATACCAGTTATGCAGGAAGATTCGTATTTGCCAGGTAAATCAGACGGAGTATGACTCACGTAAGTGGCAGGCTAGCGGTGTGGAGCATATTTAATCTCGATGGAAGCTGGTGGAATTTCACGAGGATCGGCTGTCTGGCCCATTGATCTCTGCTGCTGTTCCGATTGGGGCAATCCCGTCCTCCTCAATAATTGAAGATACCACAAGGTTACCTTGAGGCCAGATCCACACAGATTGCCTAGCTGGGTTTCTGGGCTTCTTGTGGATGTCAATCCTTACCAAATATTGCTAGAAAAGGCCCAAATTTCCTAAGTTCTGGCTCCAATTGTACTCTCTATTATCTATAGCTTATCTATTCTAACGTCCAAACTTCTTAAGCTCGAAGTATCTGAGGAAAGGGTACACCAAACCTGCAAAACCCATACATAACCACATTGCGATGTCACCACCGCCCTCTTCGCCTCCTATACGTCTGGCGACTGGTCCTGTCCAGTAGGTCTGGGCCATACCAACAGCAGCACCGACAGCTCCAATTAAAAACGACACAGTCGCAGCGATCCCGCGAGTGAGCTTGTCGTAGTCGTTCCAGATAGCAAAGTTGTAATGCTGCTTTCTGGAGGTATAGAGGTGAATATTCCTGGCCTCGCCAACCTCAGCAAATTCCTTCGTGTACAAGTGAATGAACCGGTCGGTTCTGAAAATAAGGTTTTCCTGGAGCAAGAGCATAAAATAGATCAGGATCCAGTACCCCACCATAGGGAGGAAGTTACCCAAAATCGTTGCAAACTTGTTTCTACCAACAAGTGCACAGACAAAGTAAATGGCAGTCAACACGAACGCCCACAACCATCTTGGAATCTTGGCGAAGCCACGGCCTGCCAATTGCACTCCGAACGCAGCAGAGTAGGTGTTGAGGATATTGTTGGAAATCAACGAAAGGTAGATCAAAATTAGGAGGAACTTACCACCAGCACCCCAAGGTTTGAAGGCTTCGTTCAACAAGCCACCCATTCCGTACTTGGCATAGGCATCTCCCCATGGCTCATAGGTCAAAGCCACATTGCCAATTAACGTACCTGCAAGCCCCACGAAGGTGGTGGGAATCCAGATTCCGAAGAATGTCAAAAAGTAAATGTGCAAGTCGCCAGTGTTCTCGGGAAACAAGATATAGTAGTCGGAGGCAATTGAACCCCAGGTAGATGTGATAGCGTAGCACAACGAAAAGAACGTCAACCAGTTTCCACGCCTGGAGGCAGGGTCTGTGATGGCGTCTTCCCAGGTCAAATGGTCAAATTTCTGGGAAGAAACGACATACAACAACAAGAAAGCGATATTGACAGGCAAACTGAGGTAGGTCTCAACACGCAAGAGCTGTCTGATCCCAAAGATGGCCACCAGAAGCGAGAGAACGGCGATGATGACAATCCCCACAGGCAAGCTGACCTTCCCGTTACTCATACTTGCCAAAATCTCTCCACCCACCACACTGTTGACTACTGACCATCCCATGACACCCACAATACTCACCAAACACACCAACTTAACAAACCACCATCCGAACAAAAACCGAGCGCTGACCATCTGTCTGCACCCAGAACGGGGGCCCATCATGGCACAGTAAGCAGCGATGGCACACCCCAACGTTTCTCCCAAGAACCCTGCAATCAAGCAGTTTTTCAACCCCAATCCAAACACCAAAGGCCCTAAGTAGAACGAAGACATAGAACTCAACCCTCCACACCCGGAGAGCCACAATCCCACCACGGAGATGAACTGTTTTACCTTACTGGTAGAACGCTCCCACGGCTCAATTCTCTCTATGCCTCTGGTCTCAACTCCCAAAGAGTCCAACTTCTTCGAGGCCTTCGCGAGCACTTGCCAGAGTTTCCAGTCCTTTGATTTCTGATACTCCGATTTGGAAGAAACGGTCAGCACCGTGTCCAGCTGTGCTGTCTCGGTGGAGCGGGACACGGGGCCCCCTATAGAGCTCTGTTTCGTACCCATAGATGACTGGTAATAATTGAAGTAAGGAGATCAATCAGATCGTAGTTTTTTTTCGGTGACTCAGTGATAAGATTTAGTGGGGATGAGGCTTCCCGCATTGCGTCAACTGGCGGGACCACAATTTTAGCGCGTAAAATTGTGGAAGCAAAAACCAAAAAAGAAGCCCGATGCGGGGGTCGAACCCGCAACCTTTTGATGTCCTTCATAAGAGTCAAACGCTCTACCGATTGAGCTAACCAGGCACTTCTATGACTTTAAAAATCAGTAGATGTTTATCCTATGTATATTGTTTCCTTAGTAAGCACTTAATAAGCATAATTGTTTTGCATTTACTTCACTCATAGCACTTTTTAGCTACAGCCTACAACTTTCTCTGAAAATCAATTATTCTTTCTAGATTAACTCTAACTAAATTAATCTGCCACTTTCTTTTCTCTAGGGAAAGTTGTCATTCTCTCGATGTCGGCCTTTGCCAATTCTTTCTGTGCTGATTGTCAAGGCACAGCTCCTAATAAAGTCAGTAGATTATAATATACTCCCCATTACCAAAAAAAATTGACCATACCCTCTAGTTGAGGGATTACATTTATAAATCATCATGCATAGTGTACGCCTTCCTGATTTTGTGCATCATCCGAATAATTCCCTATCTTTTGCAACAGAGTTAACCATCGCCTCTCCTCGCCCCACAAGTTAGTTGAATCATCTTATCTTTCTGCAAATCTCTCTTTAGTTTTGTACGATAGATCAACGTTATTTCATAAGAGATATATATTCTTATTAAGATCACTTCTTCAATAAAATCTCGCTGTAGGTTAATCCCAATTTCATTCTCATGTAAGCGGTTATCACGGGTTGCCTATTAGAGTATGAGTCTCCATCTGGCTATCTTCAATCACAACAACTACTTCTGTGACGATTCTAATTCAAAACTAGATTAGTGTAATCCGTACCCAGTAGTTTCGCTTCTTCCATAGGAACGAAACTGACATTTCCATGGAAAAGAATAATTTACTATCTCTGCTATGGTCATGTACTTCAATGCACTCGAAGCACCGCAAAAATACTTCGGTAATGCTTCAAAAACGGATCAAAATCTTCTTGATCAGTTCACTTGGTACTGTATAGTTCAAACCTATCTTTACTCCAGAAAAATAAAATAGAAATTAAGATTCTAACTCATAGTTGCAAAAAAATTAATCCATCAATAATGAGGCGTGAAGACACACAGTCGTGTAGCAGGGATGTAGCAGTGTCTCATAATGGTCTGATCAAGTTCAATTATGACTTTTAATAAGAGACACTTAAATCTACCCTAAAATGGTCTAATCAAACGACAAACAATTGTGGACAGAAAAGCCCATACTCAGAAAGTTTAATTCAACAATTGTAACAGATTAAACTTCACTGGGTAAGACGGATGCAATGTTTTTTAAATATTTCCGTATTTTTATGGCCTTCTTAATTCCGTTTAAGCCTAATGATTCCACAAGTTAGTCTATGAGACTGTGGAGACTTCCAAAACATTAGGAGTCCCAAGAATTACGTGTTGGCTGCTCAAAAGACTACCTTAAAGTCGGTAAAGAAGGAATGAAATTTCTCGAACCATACACATTTATGGACAGTTCTTTCTGGGGACAAGCTGTTTGAACATGCTTGTAGGGGTAATTCCTCGCAATTGAAGGTGATCCTAGTATTTCGGAGATAAAAATAATTGGTCCTGGCTAACCTTATGCGGTTGATTTATTGGGGACTCTATTTTGGCTTCAAGGGTCCTATTTGGTCTACTCAATTACCTATTTAGCTCCCTGGCTTATAAACCTTGAGGAAAAGCTGTGGGTTGCGTTATCTAGTACACTGGGTACACAAACAGCGTAGAGACCTGGGTCACACACCAATATGAGTGAATGAAGGTTGATGGAGGTGTAAAAAACATTACTTAGCCCCTGGGCCTTGCGGAAATCTCAATTATAGGATTTTCCACATCTGCTGGAAGTCTGAACACATTGTATCTTCCAACTCTTCTTCACAACCCAGTATTACCTTTTTAGTGAGTATATATCTGAGTAACTTAATCGATATCCTTAAGCTGTGTGTCAACTATCAACGGAGGAATGTTATCCATGTTTATTTGATGTTTCCAGTTTGTTGTCACAGGCTACCTACCTAACCTTATATTATTGAATAACCTTATTACAATAGAAATCTGTAGAAAATATGAGGCCAGAGGTTCCCGAACTAACGAAAAATAGTTTGTATGTGCATAGACTCGCAATCTTAATTCTCGGATTTGTCAATCATGTGGACAATCCGATTGACCGTAAACTAGATCTCGAAGACCAGATTATTCATTATTCGAGAAATGGTATGCTCTGGCCATAACTGGTCACAAGTGTGTCATATATGGAAGTCTCTTAGAAGAGTGGTACCGCTTAGGCTATGCGTATGTTCTCAAAGCAGAAGTGGGTAGTAAGGATGTTACGAATCTCCAAACATCGTTCCTAGCTTGTACCCACACCATCAAAATTATGTGTGCCACTTACTGTCATAAAAGCTCCGGTGACCCATTCTGAAACTGAAATATTTTCGGAGCCGATTTTTTGCGATCTTTCATACACACTGGATCGCCTCTCTGCCCAGCTTTCGCTTTCAGCAATCTATTCTGACTAATTTGAAGGTCCGTAATTTCCACAAGAGGTTATTCACCCGCGTAAAGCCGTGGATGCAAACCAGAACTTTGTAGGTGCACCAGTATACGAATTTAAACAATAGAGCTTGTTAGACCCGGTTGTGGCCTCCCGTGGGGCTCATCCTATCAGTTCAAGGGGCGTTGATAACAGCAGTTCTAGCCATCTACGTGCTTCCAGCAAGCAAGCTGAAAATGCCTAGAATCACCAAGGTGGAGGTATGGCCAGAGTCCGATTGCATCTGTGGGTCAAGGTTCGTTCCCGTGGTGCGATCCTCGGTATCGGCATCCCTGCTGGTGATTGAAACTATAATTGTGGTCTCCCGGTGCCCCACCACATGTCGTATTATGAAGAACAAAAGAAATAAAGGTACCTAGGTGAATAATCTATCATAACCGTTACCACTCTTTTGCTGCGCCCTCCCACTTCTTGCCCGGCTTACACCCCATGCCTGTTAGAGTTTTGCAGATTGCGATTGTGGATGCCTTCGTTTCTTATGGCTATTGTTTCCCCAGTCTACGCATCTAATGAGCTTGCAGAACACAATCTTTAATGCGCATTGTTATTTTCTGCGATGATCGCTCGGCAGGTTTTATTTGGCAAGAATCTGGAGTATTGCCTCGGTGTGGAAACCCTGGCTATATTTGGCCAAGGGATGGTTCCAACCTGGAATATGGTTTTGCTGGACTAGGCCTGGCATGTCCCAATTACGGCACAACCACCGAAGTGTAGAGGCAACTGGGGTATCGGAGTTCGTGTGGAAACACCGCCCTTGAAGACAGGGCCCAGGGACGATTGCTACGATCGGTCTCCACATATCAGTCATTGGGTTTGAGCGACGGTATGTGCATTCCGCCTGGTTACACGCCCGATTTCCACGAAAAAGCACTGATAGCTTACAAGCATCGCCCGTCACCCGATGCAAGCCAAGATCAGAGTGCAGCCAGCCAGGGTTTAACACATTTACGAGTTGGCATGTCAGCTGTGGGCGGCCCAGACACGTCGTGACGTATCAGATTAAGGTCTACAGTGTCCATATTGGTGTGTGGGCCGACACAGCCGATGAGGTGTGGTAAGAATTGAAGCCATGAGGCTAAAGCTTGAAGTTAGTGGAAGCTCAGGAAAGTCCGATTCAGACAGTTGTTTGTTTCACGTGGTTCAAGTAATGTAGATAAGTTTAGGTTTTGATCATCATTATCGGTCCGTGGATACTTACGCTCTGGGTGTGGTCATCGTGGTGATAAACCGTGTGTAGTGGACGCAGTTTTATGCTAGGGAAGGTCCGGGTAACCGAAACCCCGGATGCAGTGCCGGGTAACCACACGCGTACGCCTCGATGGATATTTTTTAGCCCCAAACTATCGCTGGTGTGGTTTACAGGTTACACCTCCGGAAATTTTGATTATCGATATATAAGATCCACGATGGCCAGCCCAACCTCCCAGCAACCCCATTAAACTTGCAAAGGATACAAGTCAATATTTCCCCCGAATAACGTTGAACGGACGTGAGCGACTCGCCGCTTTCCATTAACCTCAGCCACACTTGCACCTCCACACCATGCTTGTTACCACCATGAACGCCTACACCTCCAGTGGTTTGACCCTTTTGCTGCACGGATGCTTGCCCATGTTGTATAGAATGGAGCAGCTCTTGACCAGTGCCTCCATCGGACTCTTGATGTTGATTGCATTCCCCCTCCTCTTGTTGTTTGTCTGCGACTTACTTGGATACTTGTGCATGCGTGCATTCAAACTGGCCGCCTACCTGACCTAGCATAATCATTATTTATTCATCAGTCAAGCTGGCCTTGTCTCTCCTTAATCTAGTGTATACCAATACATCACATACAAATCGTACTCCAGCTACTGTAATCCGTGATTCGGCTGAGCCCACGCGCTCTCCGTGGATACCCGTTATCTTTCAGGTTCCGATGGCCCCGTTTTGCACATTACCCCAGGCAGAATAACTAATAGTTTAATCTGCCACCCCGGCCAGGGACTCTCATCCGATAGCGATGCCCCATCTGTGCCCCCTAATAGACGTGTTCATAACCTTGCTCTATTGTACTCCCAAACTTCGGACTTGTTTGGAACAGTCCCCTTGCCAACAGGGGTTATCGAAAAATGTGCCAATTCACCTTGCCACGGATCTCCGAGACGCCTGATCCAGCAGTACACTCACGCCTGACATCTTTGGTGATGGATACTGTTGGACCCCTTAACTCACGCTCTTAACGGATGTACCCCCAAACCTTAGCACAGCCTTACCGTCGTTATCTGAGCCCGGTTTGGTTGATAGCAATAATTCTGACTCCCTAGGCTTATTTTGATCCATTGATTCTATTTTGGTACGCTTGTTTCATTTCCTCAGTATCGAAATCGATGTCTATATCGCTATCACTCTCACTGAAATCCTCGTCACTTAGAACCACCTTGTTTTTGCGTGACTGGGGGCTTCTCCATATAGTCTCTTTGAGAGACGGCTGTTTCATCCCCCCGTTGATGTCCAACAGATTCACTTTTTGCTGGTATTGTTTCAAGTTTTTAGAATTTAATTGCCACTTGTCATGCCTGAGCTTCTTGTCTTGCTCAGAGAGCGTCAAGGTCCTGTCCTTGGCTTTCTGAGAACTCAATTCATAAAGCTCCTTAACTCTTTCCAACTTCTCTTTCTTCTTGGTGGGACTCTGCTCCTCTAGCTTATGATTGAAGGTAGGGTCAAATCCAATCTTGTTGAGCATACTATTTGGAAATCCCCTGCTTTTGATCTCCATTAATTTATTGGGATCATTTTGTTCGACTTTATCATCTTTGATAAGATTCAACGTTTTGAATGTTGTGTGGTTCGATAACTTCGAAAGCTTGTCTTCTAATGCTTTGTTTGCTCTTGCATCCATGATCTTTCGTCTCTTTTCTGCATTATTTTGTAGCATCTTGGGATCGTGGTACTTGTCTGGGTTCTTGAATAATTCACTGGCTCTCAGATACACCCTAGTGTCTTCGTTGTATGATTTTTCATATTTCATAAAGCCAGTGCCAGATTCTCCCAAGTATACTGACAGCTTTCCTCTCTTTGGGGATTTCATGTGAACGCTTCCATTGAGTTCCATCCTCTTATTCAGTCCACTTTTGAACTTGAGTTCCAAATGAAACTCACAGAGTTCGGTCTTCGTTTTGTTGATAACTTCTTGACATCGTTTATCGTCTTTCCTACTCACATAGGAACAAATACCAAAGTCCCTTGTTGCACCCAATTCAAGTATCGAGTTCAAGCCATGATCGTCCAACTTTAAGGTAAAGCCGGACTTGGAGTTGCCCTCACCGAAGTCGAACTGATACTTGTTGATCATTGGATTTAGTATAATAATGATATCCCCCACCTTAAGTTTCCAGTATTGATTAAAAGCTTCGTTGAAGAGCATCAATTCTACCGATCTTTGAAAGTCTCCCACAGAAAGCTTCATAAACTTCCTGTTATCTTTAGTATTCTTTGGATCGGACTTTTTGAGCACAATGCCTGCAAAACACCAGTTATTGTACATTGGCTCCTGATAGTTGTTACCCTTGTTGACCTTGGCAAAAAGCTTATCGATCTTCAAGAATTTCAATTCTGGGTCTGTCTGATGTATCAATGACTTCAAGGCAGGCCGGTCGATATATCGCTTTCGCAAATACTGCCCTGAGATTGTATCTAACTCGTCGCATGCTATATCGCCTCTTTGAAAGTCTTCTATTCCTTCAAAAGCAAACTTCCGCTTGGAATAGTCTATCCGCTGATACTTCTGGGCTGTTTCATTGTAGTTGGTTTGGTACAACTTTTTCACGAACGAGGATGCTACCCCGGTAACTGCTTCTTTGGGTTTAGGAACGGATTCCTTGCTGGTGAGGGCTTCCTTTAATATCTCCATGTCTCCCTTTTGCAGCTGGACAGAACGCGTCCTTGCTGGTGCTTTCTTGACTTGATTGCTAACTTTGGATTCAGGTACATCCTTATTCCTTTCGCTACCATCTGAATTATTCAAACTGGCTTCTGGTTCATTGTCATGCCTCGCTTTCTTTCTCTTCTGTATTTCGTTATACTTCGCTTCGAACTCTTTGACCAAATCATTCAACTCATCTCCAGATTCCTCGGTGAGTAAGTCCTCTTCTTTTTCTTTGATATACCTCGGATCATCCATACTTGCTTTCCAGCTTGCTTTTCCTCCACAACAACTACCACTTAACGAATAGTTACTAATACAACCTGTGGTTAAACTGACAGTTGGGGCAATTGATTCTGAAGGTTTGCAGACGCGATATCAGTGTACTGCATATAGTCCCGAATCATCAATGAAAAGTGGCCTATAGTGCAACCTGGCAGTCAACAGACAGGCAAACATCACGCCAGCAGCATTGACGTGATCCCCATCAAGGAAGCCTCAGACCCTCGTCCGCCATGACCAGGACAAGAAGCAAATCGATTATCCAGAAAATTTCCAAAGACACCCCACACTATGCCGAGAACCTTGATTTCGGAGAGAAGAAGAGTGTTGGTAACCGTCCCAGATCGTCCAGTCTAGACATACAGAGGCCTCCAGTCAAAATCAGCAGCATTACTCCAACATATCCTTTTAGTGATAAGGAAAAAGCGAGTTTGTGGTCCAACTACATTAATTCATTCAACTATGACTGTCTTCTTGACCCAGAACACATTCTCGCTGTCAACGAGCTCGAGACCGATGAGTTTTACAACTTCCAGGACATTTGCAAGTACAATCAACTTCAGGTTATGGAATACATCACGGAGACTGATGAGGTCATGGATTTGGTTGAATCGCTTACATTGAAATATGACCAAATCGCCAGCGAGACAATTGATTTCGACACTGAGTCCAGTAAATTGCTCAACTCACAAATGACATACACAACTAAGTTTCGACAAATTGAGGAATACCTCAAGCATTTCGAAAATCTTGATGCCATCACTAGGCATCTTTCGAAGCCAGGGTACAATTTGGTGAACCAGAGACGAGAATTTTTCAGAACCGAGATTTTGAGTCAATTGGACCAGTCACTTCTGTTCTTCAAAGAGCATCCGGACTTCAAGGAAGTAGAGCTGTACAACAGTCGTTTCAGACAGTGTATGACTAGAGCATTAACACTTGTCAAGAACTTCGTGGTTTCAGAAATAAAGAAATTATCAGAAGCTGTCAATAAATCATTATCTTCGGAAAATGGTTCATCGATTTCAATTGATTTATTGGTTTACAACGAGTTCAACAGTTACTTGAAGGAAAATGGAACACAATTTAGTGAGTTGATAAACGAGATAACATCGAGAATTGCAGGTCATCAAGAGTACCAAGGCTTAATCAACGATGTTTTAAATGAATATTTCCAGGTGAGACTTCATTTACTACAAATTTACTTTTCAAAAAACACATACCTCCAAAATCTCCTAAAGACAAATATAAGCTCAAAAGATTTGGTCCAATCATGTCAAGATCAGATTTCATTCTTCAAGAAGGTGAGTGAGAAGGAGTACATTTTGTTCAAGAATTTCTTTGGAGTAGAAGGGCCAATTGATTCTGAATTCTACCACTTTTCTAGAAACTTATTGGATCCTTTGTATGATAGTTTGAGACACATTACTTTGAGGGAGACCAACATCAGTAATCTTTGTCAATTGACTACATTGTTACAGAAATATTACGAGTTTGAGGAGCAAGAAGAGACCCTCATAGATGTTGATAATCCTTTAGGCCAACGCCAGGATGTCTCCATCAACTTTGGAGAGTTATTTGAGCCAATTTTGCATGACGTACAGTCGAGATTAATTTTTAGAATCCAGAATTATGTGGATGAAAAGTTAATGAAGTATATTCCAAAGCCAGAAGACTTACAATTAGGTAGAAGAAGAAGATCCACCCGTGCAAGAGCCTCAACTGGCGTATCCAAATCAGATACGATTGTTCCTGATCAAGCTGCAACGGAAGATAATTCAGTCCCCATCAACCCCTTAGATGTGGATTACCCTGAAAATCTATTCCCTGAGGTATATCTTCCTCTTGGAAAGGCTCTCACTTTACTCTCGAACATCTATGAACTCATCAATTCTGTCGTCTTTGATGATCTTGCCCATTATATTGTACATGCATGTATCATTTTGTTGAAGGGGGAATTTTACAAATTATCATTGACTCATTTAGGATTGGTTGATACAAAGTTACATTACTTGAAAAATTTAATTATTCTAAAGGGGCAAATCAATAACTTTGACATCCAGTATATCAGAACTGACTACACAATTGATTTTACCAGTGGTATCAGTGAGGTATGGACCATTTTGAGAAATGGAGAATTCAATCTCAATGATAATGGTTTGATTGATTTAGTTAAGAAATCTGCTCCAAAAATTATCAGTGACATGATCGATGCAAACTACGAAATAGAATCCGAGTTGAATAATGCGGTCAATGACTTCATTAAAGAATGTACCAATTCGATAAGTGAGCCAATCACACTCAATGATAAGGACACGTTAACCGAGTCAGTGGATAGAAGTATTAAGTTTAAAGACAACTTGATTATTAAGATTCCGAACATATACAAGCAGATAAAAATATTCATCAACGATGATAATATCATCAAGTTTTTGATGGGAACGTTATCGGAGTTGGTAGTTTCTACATATGAGAACTTTTACAAGTATGTGCTTGATAACGCCGATAAAATTGATCAAGACACAAGAGAGCATCTAGATGAGATACAGGAAGTTGAAACCGTTTTTGGATTTATTAATGATTTAATTTCTCAGTTGTATGAGCAGGATCAAGAAGTTGTCTTTAACGAAGACATTTTACTTGACGGAGGAGAGCTACCACTAAAGTCTTCCTTACAGGAATGAATTTTTGCCTTCACATAGATTTAATATAGCAGACATACCAATACTTGTGAGAATGCTTCATGGTATTACTACTTACGATTTATTGTAGCGATGAGCTGGGATTCCAGGAGAATAATTTCCTAATAACCTAACCTTTCTCACCAAGGATTCTGAGGCTGCTAGACACGAACTAAAGTTCCTCCTTGGAGTCTTGTTCGGTGAATCCAAGATCTGGTTCAACCGCATGGTCGCTCGATCTGGAGTTGGGGAGGTAGCTGCACCTCAATAGTGAGAATAGGCTCACGTAAAGGAGAACTGTGATATAACTTGGACATAATGGCAATCAGGTGGCATCTTCTTCGAACGGGTTGTAGATGTTCTTCGACAATAGTTTGTTCAACTCATTCTTAACATTCTTGACTTGGTCTTGCTTAATAAGCAAATGAGTATCGTCCAACTCTTCTAAGACAATCCCCGGGGTCTTTGAATCGATCTGAAGGATAAGTGCACGGATAGAAGGATCACACTGAACAAGCACCCCTTTGGCAGCAGTCAACATTCTGATACTGTTCGACTAAAACAGCTCCATATTAAGCCTCAAAATCATGTGTGTTATATGCAGTCCGGTGCTGATTATTAGAATATAATCCCAACCAACCTTTCGGAGCCTCATGAGACTAAATCATTTCGCAAGTAGTTAAAGACACAGATATATATACTGTATAAAGAAAAATCTGGGAATCTTTCACAGCACAGCACGAGGTTTCGAAGTCCAGTAAGTTTACATTTAGTCACGTGAATAGTCACGTGAATTCCGTACTCATATAGGTCACAATGTTTCCTATCTAGAAGTTCACACCAAGATGGCCGTCAATGGGGTGAAATCGGACATAGACTCCGATACCACCCACATAGATCATACAGATGCAATTGACAAAGTGAATCAATTACCCAGTACTAGCAACGATACCACCTTAGAGACAAGCAACGATTCAGATACTGGAGACGAGGACGAGGAAGATGATGAGGAAGACGACGATGAAGACGACGAACCACCGAAATTGAAGTATACCCGGATCACTAAGCTCCCTCCACAGTTCTTTACCAAGGATCCAGTTTCAGCAAGTACCTTCCATGAGTCCTACTTCATATTTGCTACACACTCCGGAACGATACACATAACCACGCCCACATTTGAGCGGGTCAGAACCTTCAAGGCCCATAGGGCCCTGGTCCTTTCGGTCTACTGTGACGGAACTTATTTTGCAACCGGCTCAATGGATGGAACGGTAGTCATAGGTTCAATCAAAGGTGAACAGGATATCACCGCATACGATTTCCACAGACCCATCCATGCAGTTGTACTAGATAGAAGCTACGCAAAGACGGGGGGTTTTGTCACTGGAGGAATGAGTGGTAAGGTCACTTACTCCAGCAAGTCTGGATGGCTTGGAAAAAGACATGATGTTGTTCTAGATGAGGGAAACGGCCCTATTGTTTCCATTGAATTGATAGATGACTTGCTTTTTTGGATGAATGACCGGGGAATTACGATATGTCAATTAAGTACAAGGAAAATAATCAAGCAAATCGATAAGCCAGAAGACTCACCTCGCTCAGACCTATATTGGCCAAGAGTGAACTATCCCGAGACAAACAGGATATTAATAGCCTGGGGAAACTACATCTGGTCATTGAAGGTTAGCATATCCAAAGGACTGCGTGTGGATGATGGAGAAAAGGCATTTTCTTTGCTTCCATCGAGTGCAACCGTTTCTTTCAGAGGTAGTAGCATTTATGCTCAGGAAACTAAACTGGTAGAAGTCGAGCATATTTATAAGGTGGACAGCTTGATAAGTGGAATTGCTAGTTTCAAAGATGATTTATGGTTGGTGCTTACTTACGAACCACCTACATTTGAGGAAAGCAAGGAAGATGATAGAAGAGGAAAGAGAGTATACAATAACCCTGAGATCAAGATCATTAACTCAACGAACGGAGAAGTGGAATTTGAAGAGGAATTAGGGTTGCGTGATGTACAAGGTTTAGGGCTCAATGACTACACACTAGGTACTTCGCATATTGCTGGAATGATCCCTTCCTATTTTATAATAAGTGCCAAAGATGGTGTTATTGTCCAGGAGTTCCAATTAAGTGACAGGTTGAAGTGGTATTTGGAGCACGAAAAATACTATGATGCCTGGAGTATCAGTATGCACTTGACAACTAGAATCAAAAGATTGGGCTTTGGAGTACAACATTTGGATGGGTTGGTGAAAGAAAATGAATGGAATGAAGCTGCTACTTTCCTAGCTCAGTTATTACAATTAACTGATAAAGACTTGGCCCCCGATGGCGATACTAAGAGTACCCTTAAATCTCAAAGGTCCGTTATTTCGTCGAGTGAGGAATTAGAAACCTATGTGAGGGAAGTGGTAAAGCAATGGGAAACATGGGGCGAAATATTTGTAAAGAGTGGTCATATTTCTGAGTTCACGGATATTATTCCTAAACTGGCTAGATTGGGAATACTGAAACAAATTTATAACCGTATTTTGGAATATTGGATAGCTGAACCGGAAAAGTTCATTGAAGTGATAGGAAATTGGGATTCAGATGTGTATGACTCCAAAAAAGTTCAATCCATAATAGAATTAAAACTCGAAGAAGAAGAATACGAGAACTTAAGAAGATGCTTGGCTCAGCTATACGTTACATTCGGTGAGCCCAAAAAAGCTGTTAAACATTTGATGAAGTTGAAAGATTACGATTTGGTTCAATTTTTATCTGATAATCATATTCTCGTTGATTATAAATCTGATTTACCAAAAATGATCAAAATGAGGTTTTCCGATAATGAGTTGGAAACGCTTCCCATGGAAAAGCTTGAAGAAAGAATTGGAGATATAGTAGATGTTTTGGTTAAGCATCAGTTCGAAATACCTCCAAAAGAAATTATTAGCTTGTTTGGAGGAGCTACTTGTCTTGGATTTATAAACTACTTCTACATTGAGAGGCTAGATGACCCAAGTATAGAAAGTGATGAAACAATCAGGCTATACAGTCATTACAACAGGAGTAAACTCATCAAATATCTTACGAGGAATGAAGGTATCTATGATATAGACAAGGCTATTGCAATTTGTGCTGAGAACGATTTTATCGAAGAGTTAGTGTTTCTATTAGGAAAAATAGGAGAGAGCCAGCGTGCTTTGGAACTAATTATTGATCGCATGGATGATGCAGAGATGGCCATTCGTTTCGCAAAAAGTAAGGATGATGCAGAATTATGGAACGTCTTGATTGACTATTCGATGAAAAAACCTAACTTTGTCAGAGCATTGATCGAACATAGTGATGAGCAATCGAATCAATATTATGATCCTGTCCAAATATTGCAGAAGATGGACCCAAGCATAAAAGTTGCTGGGTTGAGTGAGTCAATTATCAAGTTTACACATAACAATGACCTCAATCTTTTGATCAATCAGGGAATGTTGAGAATAGTCTACAAACAAGCACAAGAAGTTAGTGAAAGATACAGACTCGAAATTTTGAGAGGTTTAGAAATTCCCGAATCAAAAAGGAAAACCTATCTGACTCTTTTGATCTCCAAAGATGTAAAAGAAGTTGCTGGAGGAAAAATTTACACCAATCTAGCGGATAAGATCAATTTAATCAAAGAATATTCTTAGACTCAGAATTCGCCCTGGTGGTGATTGTTTGGTTGAGAGTAAAAAGCGATCCATTGTTCCGTCCTTACAAATATAGTAAGATTGGTACATATAGGTAAATCCAGATCAAGTAAGTTTAATAGCATTGGATTACAAAAGCAATTTCATCCTTAAGATTTTAAACATTTTAAAATACAAACCAACTTTATTGTAGGTTCTTTTGTTGTGCGTATTTCATCTTAACAACCAATTTCATTTTTGCGTGCAAAGAAATTCAGGTTTCCACATATAGAACACCATTCTCACTCTGGATTCAATATAAATATTTGCTTCCACAACTCTACCTAATGATAATTAGTAATAATAGTTTAATGATTCTCAATTGCATAATTCGAGTGGTCCTGATTCATCGAAAGCTAGGTAAGAGAAATACACGTACTTGGATTTGTTTCTATAGAACCAGCGTTGTGCTGTGGCGCATGTAACAAAGGTGTTTCACTGCCATCATATCCGGTAGTGTAGGGGAACAGCTCGTGGGATATGTCAATTTGTTAATGAAGTGCTGGTTCTGCGATCCGTGATTGCATAGCTGTATGCCATCGAAAGCCCCTGCATCAGATGTCTTTATTAATGTTGGAATAGATTGGTGATTGCTTTCCACGGATTAGTAAATAATAAATGAGAGGGAATAATTGGCTTTAGAATCTAGGTCAGCAATCACTACTATAAAACCCATACATCTAAGAGTGAATAAAAACCTAACTAGTTCAAAGGAAAACCTATTACTTTTGAGAATGATCACGTGATGAAAACCTCGCACAATGGTTCTTATTTATCCCAGGCGAAAAATAAATATAAAATGGCTCTTTGGCCGAGCGGTTAAGGCGGTAGACTCAAGTTCTACTATCGTAAAGATGCACGCGTTCGAATCGCGTAGGAGTCATTATTTTTTGCAATTTAACGAGAAGACATTATGAGAAACAGGTACTAGGAATAGGACAACGATTATTTGACTTTCAATACAAAGTTGGAAAACAATATTTTCAATGGTGAAATTATAATAGCAGAATCACAGACAGAAAGCAATAACAATTATTTGCTACATCAGGTCTAAGGAAGATTAAGTTGTGCTGTATCATACTCTTGTGATAAACTCCGTTTCTTGTTTGGTTTGAGGGAATTCGATGGTGTAATAGGTTAAATATGAAGGGGGTAAGACAATGGAAGACCTTGCTCGTAATACCTAGTCACCTAGTCATGGCCTTTGGTAAATGTCATCAATAAAGAATATTGAAGGGTAGCTAAAAAGTTTCCATCGTAGGGTCAGTTTCCATCTAGGACCATTTAGTTTAAACAAACTAGGATGTATTTCATCTGGTAACGCTCATGATGTTTAATTATAATGAACTTGAGAGTCCTGTCATAAGTTAGTATCGACTCTGAAAGTGTTTAATAAATTGAGCAGTTATTATAAGTAATCACACTGTCGTCGTTGGTTAATTAATTTTCCAATAAGCCAGTCTAAGTGAGGTTCTAATTTTGAGGATAAAATGGACAGCATTGAATAGTGTAACTCGATTAATTAATCAATTTGGAATCTTTTGGCTTATAGGTAGTTAGGCGAGTCCGATTATAAGGTCAGTTGTAAGGTCCAACCATAAGAACATTCCGAAATATCGTAAAAGCGAAAGCATTTACGTCGATGCGGAATAGCATCATCTGTAGCAATAGTCTAGACTCATGAGTTGACACTCATCTCAGAATAATCTTTGCCTTTGCTATTAGTTATACAAACATTTTCTCTCTCAGCATAACTATCAGGTAGCATTACTTTGAAACACTATGTTCTATAAACATCCATACCTCGTTTTGCAAATGGAGGGAAAATCTCTCGCTATTCGGAAAATCTGATCGCAAAGTTGCAACAACTTCCAGAATCCAGATTTGCATCCATAGAATGCTTACCCAACGAAATATTTAAGCCATGTGAAAAAACTACTCCTGTCTGAATCTCCTACTTGTTTTTTATGCATGACAGTATATGCGCGCATAACCATTCGCACTATTTGTGGGGTTCTCAATCTGAATTAGGGCATTCTTATGCAAAGTCTAACTGGCATTAGGATATTGAGGAGATCAGCACGTTTCCGCTTCCCAATCAGACCTAGATACGGACTTCATGTGAATTACTTGCTTGCAGAGTAAGGTGGTGAGTATGTTCGTCTTCCTTGCATGTGACGCATAAGAGGGGAAATAGATCACTAGTACTTACGCGGCATTAATGGACAATAGGAAGGATAATCAACACCCACCAACCCACATTCTGGTTTCACATGCTGTAGAACAATTAGATTATATATGAAGTCGGCGCATTTGCAACCCAACTCCGAGCTTTAGACATAATAATTAGCATGTTCGAACAAATCACAGGTTGGCAAATCGCTGTCGTTGGGGCAGTAATATTTTATTTCGGAGCTATCTTTGCGAGAGAGCAAGCCTTCAAGAGGAAATATGGTTGTAAATCACCCAAGGTCGCACCAGGTAGTAGTCCTTGGGATGGTTCCATCAGATTACTTTTAAGACTTTTGAGGATGAAAAAGGAGGGTACTATGATGGATTATATTTGTGACTTTTTTCTTACAGACCTTGGAGGCAGATCTATGTATATCAGGTTGGCAGGAAAAAAGATTATATGTACCACCGAACCCGAGAATGTCAAAGCTATTTTGGCAACTCAATTCAACGATTTTGCTCTTGGTAACAGACATGAACATTTCAAGCCATTGCTTGGAAATGGTATTTTCACCTTAGATGATGAAGGGTGGAAGCATTCAAGAGCTATGTTAAGACCACAATTCTCCAGGGAACAGGTCGCTCACGTTCAAGCATTAGAGCCACATTTACAAGTTTTGGCTGAAATTATTAGACGTTCAAAAGGAAAGACTATTGACATACAAGAATTGTTCTTCGAACTTACCGTCGATACCGCTAGTGAGTTTCTTTTCGGGGAATCTGTGGACTCATTGAAAGATAGGCTTGCCGAAATGAAAGGAGTACCTCGCACCACTTCTTCTATTGATGGTAAGGCTGATTTTGCGGAAGCCTTCAATACTGCTCAGGGTTACCTTGCAACTAGATCATTCAGTCAATCATTTTACCTATTTGTTACAAATAGAGAATTTAGACAATCTTGTTCTAAAGTTCACAGATTCGCAAAGCATTATGTTGATAAAGCCTTACAGCTATCTCCTCAACAGCTAGACGAAGTCTCAAAGAGTGGTTATGTTTTCTTGTACGAATTGGTCAAGCAAACTAGAAATCCAACTGTACTTCAAGACCAATTACTTAACATTCTTGTTGCTGGTAGAGATACCACTGCGGGGTTGTTGTCTTTTGTCTTTTACGAATTAGCTCGAAATCCAGAAGTTTTTGAGAAATTGAAGCAAGAAGTCTATTCCACATTTGGAGAAGGGGATGACGCAAATATTGATGGAATTACCTTTGAGTCGCTTAAAAAATGTGAATATCTCAAGCAAGTCATTAATGAGTGTTTGAGATTGTATCCATCAGTTCCAAATAATTTCAGAGTTGCCACAAAAGATACTACATTGCCACTCGGTGGGGGTGAGGATGAGAAGTCTCCTATCTTTATTTCTAAAGGACAAACAGTTGCTTATTCGATCTTTACCACCCACAGGTTGGAAGAATACTATGGTAAGGATGCAAGAGAGTTTAGACCTGAAAGATGGACCGAGCTCAAGAAACTAGGCTGGGCCTATGTTCCTTTCAACGGTGGTCCAAGAATCTGTTTGGGTCAGCAATTCGCGTTGACTGAAGCTTCTTATATAACAGTCAGACTCTTGCAAATGTTCCCCAACTTGATTTCAAAGGATACTGGATCATATCCACCTAAGAAGAATGTGCATCTCACTATGAGCCTCTTTGATGGTACTCAAGTTGAGATGTATTGACCTCAATAACCCACACCAATGATCATTATGAACAGTTTATGCCAAAATATACAAAACTCAAACCTAAATTGGTCGCAATCGTAGATATCATGGTATTTTTACTTAAGAATATTTAATTGAGCCTGAAGACTGTAGTACAATGGTCTGGCGCTGTAGTAATGGCCAATGTGGTTTGCTGGTTAAAGTATGGTATTGCATACTCCGACTTATTATTTTCGCAAATTCTTAAAATCTTGTCTAATTTATTGTAAATTCCAAAAATTCCAAAATAACCGTCAGTCTTTTTTTTTGCTAGAAAGTACTTATAAACTACTGACTATAAACTTATTCAATGGAAAACACACCATTATGGTCAAACTGTTACAAAAATGAGAGTAAATGAAATTGCTTTTGGTGTTTTTAGCAAATTTGGTGCGCGATACACGACACTAATAATAGAGCAGATCATGTTAGATGACATTTTATACTAAGGGCTGTGGTTGGACAAGAAGAAAGAGGATTAGTTGGTGGTTGGAACATTTCAAGCACGCAGCTGAAAATTTTCAATTGTGTCAAGTATGGATGTCAAGTGGTTGACTTTTCTTTTCTTTTTTTTTGGCTTTTTTCGTTTTAGGCAACTATTTTCTTACAAATATGATAATATGAATCAATTTTAAAGAAGATACTTCACCAATGATTAGAAAACCGGAAATTGAATTGAAATATAGAAAACTAGTTACTACAACCTCATGCATTGAACATAAATAGGGCTCTTTGGCCGAGCGGTTAAGGCGGTAGACTCAAGTTCTACTATCGTAAAGATGCACGCGTTCGAATCGCGTAGGAGTCACTATTTTTTGACAATTCGAAAGTTCAAAGACTAATTTGAAAGTTGTGGCTTTCCATTCAGCTAGTGCCATAAGCATATTTTTTTGATGGTTCAGTTTACAGAAGTATGCAATTAATTGAGAGCCGTGAACCACTTTCAAGCTAATGCCGCAGGAATATTTTCTTGATTAACGCACGGGAATGACTAGGGGGCCCAATTCTTGCGATTGGCAGGTAACGGAAGTGCCGGCTACATTTTAACAGTGCCGTGGGCATATTTCAGGAATCCAGAGGAGTAACTATGGTGCCTATCTTGAGCTTTCAGCAACGAAATTAGCCTATTTTTAGTTAGTAAAGCGAGTTTTGGTATTTTTTTTTCAGTTTATTGTTTTGCTGCGTTTGACCTACCTGGATCACAAGCAGATATGGCAGAATCCCAACATTGGTATCCATGGAAGCTCGCTTGCACTTGGCCTGCCTGGCTCATTCTGATCCCTTGCCTTTTGCAACCATTTGCAAGCAAGTGCACATGAAAATGTCCACATTGTGTTGGTTCCAGTGACATGTGAATTAGCCATGCTGATCAGTTATGAGCACAGACAAGAATTCTTTAGCGACAATAAACTAACTGTGCTAATTTACCTAGACGTTGTTGGGCGGATATCTAGTATTTCCGTGTCCATTTTGCGAGCCCGATTAGAACCAACCCGAAGCGGGCAGTGCCCACCCGTCGCGGGAAGGACGTCATTGAGAACGGCTGTCACTTTGGCAGCAGCAGCGTTTGAAATCAACTCTAGATCATGTTCTCCCAGGGCGTAAATGCACAGATCAGGCACCACCGGAGGATACCCTGGACGTTCGATATTTGGGTGGTCAATCTTGGTGCTCCGAAGAAGCCCCACTGCATCGCACTGCGCATTAGGTTCTATTGTCTGGCAATTGCATGTGAAAGCGAAGTGGCCACCGCAGAGGCCAGAAAGCAAGCAAGACAGCGCAAAATGACAGCAGAACAACGAGTAAGTGATACCACTGACCGTGTGCTTTCCATCTGAGCCCTCTGGTGGTTCGCTGGCAGTTTAGAAGGCTCCAGTAGCCTTTCACACCCAATGGTGGTTAGGGTCCTTGAAGCATGCACAGGCGGCATCGCGCAGCGACAAGCTACCGCTCTCAGTGCATTTTCGGAGTCGAAAGTGGGATTTTCCGCGTCACCAGCATTGGCGGCGAAAGGTGGAGAAACCACCTTCATTCTGTTGGGGCGTTACGTAAGTCGCATCTAATCACTTTTCAGTGGCCATTCACATGCTCCCCGCAGTTGCCCATATATGGCTGCACGATTGCAACCCTTTTCCATGTCCACCAACTACCATGACTGACTCAGTGATACAGGAACATCTCACCAAGTGGTACTCTATCGTGATAGGCGCTTTGCTCGTCTACAGCCTTGTGACCTTCGCCAGAAAGAGCCTCTTCAACAGAAGACATGGGTGTAAAGAACCTCCCAAGATGGAAGGTGGGATTGGGTCCATTCCGTTGCTTCTCTCGCTTCTCAAGAACAAGAGCGAGGGCCTCATGATGGACATGAACCACAAGATGCTCAACTCCGCAGGCAATGTCAGAAACTTCTACATGAGAGTGGTTGGTGTCAGGGTCATCTTGACCAAGGAGCCAGAAAACATCAAGGCTGTCTTGGCCACTCAGTTCACGGACTTTGCCCTTGGCACCAGACACGCGCACTTCAAGCCATTGCTCGGGGACGGAATCTTCACTTTGGACGGTGAGGGCTGGAAGCACTCCAGAGCCATGTTGAGACCCCAGTTTGCTAGAGAACAGGTGGCCCACGTCAAGGCATTGGAGCCCCACTTGCAGATTCTTGCCAAGCACATCCGCAATGGCAGGGGAAAGACCATTGAGCTTCAGGAATTGTTCTTCAAGCTCACCGTCGATACTGCCAGCGAGTTCTTGTTTGGACAGTCGGTTGGGTCCCTCCACGACTCATCCGTCTCTGACCAAGCGGCCCTCGACTTCGGAACCAGCAGCTCTTTTGCTGAGTCCTTCAATGTTGCCCAAACCTACCTTGCCTCCAGATCTTACAGTCAAATGTTCTACTGGATGGTCAACAACAAAGAATTCAAGGACTCGTGCAACAATGTTCACGCTTTCGCCAAATACTACGTCAACAGAGCGTTGAATTTTACCCCTCAAGAGTTGGAAGAAAAGTCTAAGGAAGGCTACGTCTTCTTGTACGAATTGGTCAAGCAAACCAGAGACGCCACCGTGCTTCAGGACCAATTACTCAACATTCTTGTTGCTGGTAGAGACACCACTGCTGGCTTATTATCTTTCATCTTTTATGAATTAGCCAGAAACCCTGAAATTTTCGAGAAGTTGAAGAAAGAAGTGTACAGTGCCTTTGGATCAGGCGAAAATTCTGACATTGAAAGTATCACCTTTGAGTCTCTCAAGAAGTGTGAATACCTTAAATTTGTCATCAACGAAGCATTGAGATTATATCCATCTGTTCCAGTCAACTTCAGAGTGGCCACCAAGGATACCACCTTGCCAACTGGAGGTGGTCCAGATGGAAAATCCCCAATCTATGTTGGTAAGGGTCAAACCGTTGCTTATCAAGTTTACTCTACTCATAGATTGGAAGAGTATTATGGTAAGGACTCTGAAGAGTTCAGACCTGAAAGATGGGCCGATCTTAAGAAACTAGGCTGGGCCTATGTTCCTTTCAACGGTGGTCCAAGAATCTGTTTGGGACAACAATTTGCCTTAACTGAAGCTTCTTACATCACAGTCAGACTTTTGCAAATGTTCCCTAACTTGGTTTCAAAGGATACTGGATCATATCCACCAAGGAAGAGTGTTCATTTGACCATGTGTCTTCACGATGGACTCTTTGTCCAAATGGACTAAGTACAAAATGATATGACGTTTACATCTGTAAATTACTTTCTTGTAAGTTGCATTTTCCATTTGTGATCATTGCGAATTAAATATGATAGAACAAACTCGTATCACAACTACAGGCAACTCACCCGATATCATCTTGCATTCTAGAGAAGAATACATGTCGAGAATGCCTAGTACTGAATTTCAAGGAAATAAAAGGCTCAAAAAATCACGAAGAGTAATCAACTGGTTCAAAAGACTCAAAAAATCAAAGGTAGGAATGATACAGCCGCCTAGACCTTCATACACAGAATTGAATCATCTGATGGCTAGCTTTCTTGAGGATTGTCTTGAGTTTAGCGTACCCAGTATTTATCCTCTTCAGAGTTGGGCGGGAGTGGAAAGCGCGCTTACAACTAACCAGCCTGGTACTTCTGCATGCCACAAGCAGGAAATAGATCCAACAACTCCATTGATGGCACGGTTTAATCCTTTCTCTCTGGGCAAAACCAATCATCTTGATTCATTTGGAAGGCTAGAAGCATGGGAGCAAAAAGGCCCAGATACTGTGATACGCCTGATAAGTCTTCATCCCAATAATAACTCTGAAAGCGCAGCTAAATGGAAGGTGAACTGGTTGGCACGGTACGACAATGCCCAAATTACCCACAGGACAAACTTCAAAGAAAATTAGTATTAAGATAAGCGTACTGATTTTATACTGTAGCGACCTACAATTGTATAAAGTATATCATAAATGCTTTGCAGTGTCATTCTTCCCCTCAATACTAGAAAATACATACGAATATATGATGTTGGCACTGATTCTGATTGTGTACACCAAAGTTTCCGAGTAAGTCCGCAGAATCTTTAGGATCTGGCATCATAATGAGGATCAGAAGTAGTTGATAATCCATCATACCTACCTACGCTGATGCAAACGGATTAAACCTGCTAAAAACCGTCGAGGTGGCACCAGACAACAATCCGGAAGCGATGTTGTTCGCTTTTCCAAACTTATCACACTTGGTGAAAGCCATAGCATTAGTCACAGACAAGGATACGGCCATAACCACTAACAACAAGTACAAGAACTCAAACTTGAGCACTGCCAAAAAACCCAACACTGCCCATGCAACTGGTTGAGCGTACAACAACGCCCAAAATACTTTAGAGTCTATAGGATTGACCACTCTGTCGGGACTCAAACTCTCGAAAACCCATACGTTTTCAAATTCACCGGCTCTTCCTTCAATGACATTGGTCTCGTTCCACCATCTCAAGCCTACTAAAAGTCTCCCTGCAACGTTCTTCAATGTCCAGAAATCTGCTGACACCAAAAGGATTAAGATGATAAAGTGGAGAACGAACTTGTTTTTGTGGACAACGAAGCCAAGGAAGAAGTTTCCGAAAATGTAGATGACAATTGGCGCTATCCTGAAGAACATATAGAATAGAAGCGCCACTGGGTGGGACGACTCCTTCAATCTCTCGGCCCATGTTTGAGCATTTGTGCTGGTATTGGGGTCTGAGGCTATGGTACCGGTTGGATGGCTTGTCTGGTCCCTGGAATGGGGCACATCAGGCTCAATGTGATTGACTGGCTCGGTATCAGGTTCGATCTGGGTGTAGCCGCTCATTGTCGTGGTTCTCGTGGTTCTACTTGGAGGTGTGAGTGCTTAAACGAGGCAAGTGGGATGGAAGAACTAGTTATCAGTTAGACACGGTGATACTGTTGAGAGGACCAGTGGGTGCGATCCGTATGGCTATGTTCTCTGCTTGGTTGGATTGGCCTTCAATGTAATGAAGGTTGTGGTAGTCAGCAAAGCCCGCATCACGATTGTAAATGTCTCCCATGCGAAAATGATTTTCTGAACTAGGCTACAGTGTTTTTTCATATCCAACAATGCAGCAAGGGTTTTATAGAAAATTCATTGGTGGAATCACCAGAACTCAGTTGGAGACCGGAAAGGTGAGTACAGGCGACTAGGACAAGAAGAGAGACGTGCAAACGGACCTCTGGTGGGGGAAAGAGACGCATGACTCGAGTGGTCTGAGATAGGAGAAGAAGAGAAGAACAAGAGAAGGCACCAGAAAACGAGATAACGTAACGGCCAGTGGTACTACATTCATGTCTGGTAGCATCATGATTAAAAAACGGGGGTGAATAGACGTACCTGGGCGTGATAGAGGGGTCCTACTAGTGGTGAAGTCAATAGTGGCCATATTCTTGTCCTAAAAAGCGTGGAATACATACTAACGACAGTTCGGTTTCTACCTTTTGACACCTATTTGTATCATGTACTACGTCGGTTTAGATACCGACAGAAAGTTCAACTTGCCTGGATTCTGGCCTGATCCAGCAACCTTGAATCAAATACCGAAGGAACCTCACGAAATCCAGGCGGAAATTGCCAGAATCAGGAGGGCCAGATTAGAGAAGAGAAAGAGGTTGGAAGAGAGAGCCAGAGAGTTGGGTATTGAAGAGGAGGAGGAAGTCACCCAATAGTGGGCCCACTGGTGGAGGAAATGTCGTGACTAGGAATGTCGCACACCCTACTTGTATATACTATCGTTTCAATCGTCAAATCGTTAATTGGCTGTTAATAAAAACTTCACAGAATAAGACTAGCTAGTAAGCCGGCACCCGTGGTTAAATGGACTCTTCCAAAGAGTCCAATTTATTTTGCATTCCGTAAAGGTTCTGCTTCAAATCATCAATCGTAGATGGAGAAAGCTTTAATAAATCTAGCTCTGCAACTTCGATCACCCTGGAAAGTGCATTTAGCACATCGTAATCAGTGATTTTGTCTTCGATCTCTTTGGAGATTGCACTGACCTCAGCAGACTTCTCTAATCCAGGAGACGGATCGACTGGGAGAACTTCTTTGGTGAACCCTGGTGAGATTGCACCACCAAAAGTTGCCGATTCCAGCATTGTCAGGTTAGGGCCGTTAGATTTTAGTATGGGGTACCTCAGCGAATTAGAGTATTGAACTTGATTCTTCTTGTCTGTAATCCATTCATTATCCCTCTCAAGGTTACGTTTGGATGGCACCAGCGAAATCTTTTGGCCAAAGTCCAACGTCGATTCTTTGGGTGGACCCTCAGTGGATTCGCCTGTTTGATTGTTCCGGATTTCGGAATAGGAGCTATTCGACAATAGTGCAGAGTATGTGGATTCCATCAATATATCGTTAGATTTTGATTGCGTACCCAAAGATATACCTTCGAACCACTTTCGTTGTTCAGGCTCTTCCCCTTCCTCTTCTATATGTACATGAGTTTTTGATTCAGTAGAAGAGCCAAAAGTATCCGATAAACAACTCCCAATGATCTCCTCTATAGAGGCATATATCAAGGTGATTTTAGCCCTTTCATTGACAAGTCCTAGTAAGTCTTCAATTTCCCAGGGAATAACCACATTTAGATGGGACATTATATTTGCCAACGTGTTGTATGACTTGTTTGTCTCGTACGTGGCACATCTGGAAGCGATCGGTGTCAAGGAAGGATGGAGATATGGCTGTGGCAATGTAAGAGCAAACTGCAGACCTGGTCTTGGGCCCAACTCTATCAAATTGGTTTTTCTCCAAGAAATAAAGATTTTCTCGGAAGATAAGCTATCCCAAGCTCTTTTGATCCACTCAATAACCTTGATCAATGGTATGGTGTAATCTGATTCAGATAAGACTTCCATGGCAGTCGAACTTGATTCATTCCTCAAGTATTCCAAATTGAAGTCTGCAGGATGATCATCGTTGGATAGCTCACATTCAAGCAATTCTTCTTTATCATTCAATCGCCGTGATTTTCTTCTTTGAAGGTTGATCATTTCCAAGTATTGTTGAATTCTATATAATATTTTGAACTCCTCCACTATTCCAAAGTTCATGGGCAAATAATCGAATTTGATCCCATTATAAGACGAATGGTATGGGTTTTTGTGGTTTGTATTGTTCTTCAAGAAGCATAGTCTGATATTGCTGAATTTAATGTTGATTGTCCGATGGGACGAAGAATCATCCAAAATGATAAGAATCTTTCTGTTTGGAGATACGTTGGTGAGCTTGTGCTCTAACGTTAACAAGTAGTTTTGAAACATGCTGGATGTGATCCACTTGTTGGTGTTCGATTTATAGGATAGGTGATATGTCTCTGTAATTTTGTTCATTAGAGTGTGTTGGCTGATGGTTTCCAATGAAATATTTTTGAGAGAGCTATTGGAACTTTTGGAAACTTCGAATTTGTCATAATTTCCAACTATAAGAGGAGTGAGTTTTTCGGATCCGTCAATATTGCATCCCAACATGATGGTTAAAGAACTCGCTGAAGTTGAGCTGTTCTGCTTTAAGCCCTTGTCTATCGAAGAGACATCAAAGATTTGATCCAATGGAAGAGAGTAGAAAAGTTGGAACTCATCAATCGTAAAAATATCCTGTGGAGAGTACCCCTCTGTGTGTATGAGCTGTTTGAGGTACGACTTTAACTCGACTTTATCTTCTAATTTCCACACCTTATTGAGAGGATATTTCCCCGGGTTTTGTGCGTGGTCATCAGGTGTTCCCGTCAAGTTTATGTTCAATCCTCGCAAGAAGTGATTGCACCATTTTTGGTTGAAAATACCATTACCATCTTTTTCCTTTGTGGGCAATCGTGTCCAGATGGCATTGGCAGTCAGTTGAATCACAGGAGTCGTGATAGGTATATTCTCCCATGTTGCTTGGGTAATCCACTCGGTCAATATTCGCCGTAGCAAAGGGTTGGACTGCTTGCGTCTTCGCACCAACTTGAACTCTGTCTCTTTTGATGCTAGAAGCTCGTTTTTGGAGCTCAAAATACGTGAGATTGTCGTTTGTGAGGGAGGCTTTTTCGATCCGTACTCTTTCAGGGCCCAGAGTGCCAAGTCGGCCTGGGTCATTTGGGGATTGGACTCTGCTTTCCAGCATATGTCGATCTTCTGCTTGATTGTGTAGCCCATGCTGGCTTGGAATTGAGCTGACTAGCGGAAAGTTACGGGGACGATTTTGGGAAAGTTTGAGCCTAGGAGCAGAAGTGTTGATGTATCGTTGTTTGTGTTTGCTAGCTGGAAGTGTTGGAACGGGAAGCACAGAGCAATGCTTAAGGAGTGTACACACAAATTGGACAAACTGGGCGGATTTCACCCAAAATATGCCTTCTATGGGACTGGCAGGGATCAATGGTTGAATGTGGGCCGGGAATGCTAGATAAGGGTAGGAGTGTAAACTTTGCACTCTTGTTTGTATAATGGGCAGTTCAACCAGTAGAATGGATTATTTCGTCCCTTTCTAGTTCTCTTCCGTAGAGATACCAGTGCCAGATCGGTTCACCACCTTCTTACTTTGGTATAAATTACGCCTGTTGGATCTAACGATGTGGACTGTATACTCACGTGACAGGTCGTAAGAAAGAACCCTCTAAGCGCATATGATTCCATGGGTGCAAATTGGCTGCGAGACTGCGAAAACGATAACATAGTGCCAGTTAGTAGCAGGACTGAAAGGAAGGTTTAAAGGGTCTGATACAATCAAGTGAACTCCATGGTTTGGCTTCTTTGGAATTCTGTATCTTTTAGCGTATTGTTCCACAATTAAATGGAGAATACCAGTCAATGTGAAACTTAACATACTGAGAAAGTATCGAGGATGAAGATGAAAGACGTTCTACAGATTTGAACTAAGGGTAAAGGAGAGATTTTTGAGGATAAACGAGTGGAAACCTAGTCGAGCTCACCAAACCTACATTTTTAAGCAATCATTTCGAGATTTCTGACCAGTCTAGGGGGTGCTACAGTATGAGGAATAGAATTGAGTCTATTTTTTTTAAAAAAGCTCTATGAAACTAAACTGTAAGCAGAAGGCAGCCAACACTAAGAGTTAGAAGAGCAAATTATAGCCAATTAATTATTCTGTATCCGGTTCAGAATTTAAGCAGCAGCAGCAGCAGTACTCAAAGCAGTTGCAACGGAAGCTGGAACAAACCAGTATGGCGATGGGACACCAGCTGAGGAGCAGAGCGAAGAAGCCAAGCTGGTTGCAGACTTGACGTTATTTCCCTTACAACTAGAGGCAATACACTCACCAATAGGGCCATCGAATTGTTGCATAACACACAAACAACCAGTGTCCCAGTAAGGACATGGGGTGTTGGAAGTTTTTTGCTTGACACAAGGTTGGGCACACTCTGGCAACTTGGTGTAGATAGGATCAGCAAACCCGTTGATTGAAGCAGTCTTTGGCACTTGAGGATAAGTAGCGTATGGGTTGGTGGTGGTGGCTGGAGCAGCGGCAACAAAGGCGGTTGGAATGGCGAGAAGGGCAAGAACAGAGAATTTCATTTTTGGTTTGGTTGAGTAGTTGAGGAACTAGAGGAGCAACCAGTATTTATAACAGTCAGGATCTACTCATTAAAGCACGTAGACGAAATCCGTAACATTACCGGTTTCCAATCATGAATCGAGACCTTTGAAAAATGTGACCATTGGCTGAAAACTACGCCTTGAGACTAAGTCTGGTAGTCCCGGTCTCGGGAATGGGAAGCCTCTCCGATGCAACCACCTAGAATGGGCCTTTTAAACGGCCAAAACTATCACCATATTGCTCCGTGCCTTTAATTGGAGACACGCGGAATCGCCCGCGTGCAAGTAGTGGTGGAATTATCGGACATTTGGGGTTCACGCATGGCGGATTGATCGTTTCGATAACTTGTTGCATTGTCCATGTTTTACGAACCAGATAATGTCAACTTTAACCCGCGTCCGTTCCTACAGATCAGTTTGACCACAAATGGACCCTGTAGGTCCACGCCTTGCGCTTTTAATAATTCTGAATCGGGGCGCAACATTTCCGACATACGGTATTGACCCGAGACCCTTAAACTATTTGACAGTATTCGAGGAATTTTCCACTCTGCGAAATCATATAAGCGACTGCAACCAGCAAACAATTTCAAGCCAGAAAGAGGCTGAAGCTTGTTGCGCCTTAATTGACAAAGTTAAGGTAGAAGATGAGAGGTTCATTAAACTTTATGTGCTATGCATGAGATGTGACCTGGAAACGTTTTACGCAAACGATAGACGTTGGGCGATACAACGTCTAACTAAGAAATAACTGAGAAGCTTAAATTATCCAAATTTGGATAAACAAGCGGATGAAGAAGCCGACCCGATCCCCGACCTGAAATAACTTTCCAGAAGTGATAACCCCTTAGGTGGAATCTGCAAGTCTGGTGCTGTCACCAATAACTAGCATGCTCAGACAAGGAACTCTATCTCCAAACGATAGAATTACGTGAGCTGTATCATAGTTCCATTCATATACTCGAATTGGAATTACGTGAGCAATTGTCATATTATATTATTCTTGTAATTAATTATATTAACGAACTTGCTAGTTGCAGAGACACCTGTTCCTGCGCAAGCCAAAGGCACGAGTGGCAGACATACCCAATACTCCATATTTTGGAAACCCCTTAATAACATACACCTAGATATACAAAATACTGCTGAGCTTAGTGGGTGCTGAGGAACTTGATCAAAGCCTCATATGTAGGGTCAAAATAGTCGGGGGCCTCAAGCAACAACGAGTGGAAGCCTCCTTCAACCTCAAACAACTGTTTCTCGACATTTTTGTCCAAAAGCGAGAAAAACTTCTTGGTACCCTCGAGATCATTGATGAAATCGGCATTACCATGGGCCACAAACAAAGGCACCTTGGTGGTGAACTTGGCAGCATGTTCCTTCTTAAGAAGCCCCTGGCCTCTGGAGATGAAGTCGTCCAAGTACTTCAAGGTTCCCACCATCTTGGGGGTGGTGTCGGCCACGTATTTGGCCCACTTCTTATCATGAGTGATGTACTGCGTTTGGATCTTGGTATCGAACTTGAACTTTGGCAAAATCTTGCTCAACAACTTGGCTGAGTAGAACACAGGAGCGCTAGGACTGGTCTTTGGGTGTACGGTTGTCAATGGTGCCGTCACAGCAATACCTCTGATGTCGTCAAGGTACTTGCCTTTGATACCGTAGTCAAGGAGAAGGCCTCCTCCCATGGAGTGTCCCGACAAGAACAACTTCTCCGACTTGTCAGTACGGGCATCGAGGTTGCGTTTGATGAAAAAGTCCAAGTCGTTGTGGGAATGGAAGTCGTTGGAGTCTCCGATAAGATCGCCAGGAGAGGTCTCGGGGGCACCTCTTTGACTGAAAAAGAACACTTCGTAGCCGTCATTGACCAACTTGTCAAACGCAACGTTGTAGAGCTCGGAGTTCTCGAAGAAACCATGAACATACACGATTTTACCCTTGTACTCCACGCCTGAAGGGACCTTCCAGGAGTAGGTGACGAAGTCGGAGCCGTTGAAGCTCACCTTTTCGGAAATGGGGGTGTTCTGGGGCTTGTATGGAACTTCTACAGGCATGTTTGATATGGTGGTTGTTGGAGATAAGTAGTGGGATTGTACTGTATAAATAGCAGGCCGGTGGGGGGTTAGTTGGTTAGCAGATTAGCTCAACAAACGCGGGTTTTGATCACGTGCGGCCATAATTCACATGGACTGAATCCACTATTGACTATGGGTTGATGGGTTGACGGGGCTCTGCTCCGGCCCGACCAGGGGCGGGTGTCCGGACTAGTTCTTGCACAGAGTGTCCAGTCTATTCATTTTTATAGACCTCCACTGGATTAATTCTTTCCCAGTGATGTAATATTCTTCAAAATTGGTTTTCAGAAATAGTGGTCCAGACTGGGCCCCATCTCCTGATCGCTAATCGCTTAATAATCACCTGGATGCCTATTAAGTGTGATGGTCACCTGGATCACCCCATGAGCGCACTGTCTCGGTATTTTGCTGACTCGAGCTTGACCCGAATGCTTAGTTGAATCTCTTAACGTAACATCCATGTTACAATATCCTTTGGAGAATTGTGAGATCTTTCTCGAGTCCTCCCTCGTAATTTTAAGTCTCAGTTTAATTTCTTGTGCTCCCCATTGCAGTCATAATACACGTCACGCCAGCGTCCTCCATGCCCTAAGACTAGTCCCACCCCCACGGTCTCCAAATATTCCAATCGAGCCAACTTTTTCACCAAGTCAAAACCGCTGACGATGAAAGGGCTGTAGCCAATGTTGAGGTAGTACTTCATGAATTCGTTCAAGCCATTGTGGTAGGCTGACTCGATAAACTGGACCATGTAGTCGTTGGTAACTCTGTTGACACTGCTCGAAAGACTGCTCAAGTCGTAAAGAAAAACGTCACTGAAAAACGTATCTCTCACCCAGCTTCCGTAGAAAAGTCCGTACTCGTAGTAGCTAAAGCGCTCCTTGTTTCCGCTCATGCATTTGAGCAAGGTGTTCTGATCATTCACTTGACGGGACTTATCTACCACTCGTAGGTTTTTGATATTAGGCTGTTGCGTGATTATGCAAAAGTCAATCTTGGAAATATATTCGATGCTTAGCGACTCCATTGAAAGGTGTAGATCCCAGAGCTTGCCTTGCAAGTTTGTGAGACTCTGGATCAATGCTTCGAACTGGCAGAAGAGACAGTCATAGGTGGGATTGCTCCCCAAGGACCTCAAGTTGGGTGTGAGCCGAGTGAACTGGGACATGAAGGTGGTGGGCTCGCTGTTGGGATCGTGGGGACTGTTTGGATGTGTCAGTTCTTTTAGGTGTAGTTCCAACTTTTCCAATCGCTCGGGCTGCAACAATGTTGCCAATATTTGCACGAGTTTGCAACCATTATTTCCAATGTAGCCATCAAGGCTCAAAGAAGTCAATTCTAGTTGCAATTCACCCGTCAAAGTCAAGAAAAACTGGAGCCAGGGTGGTTCTGGCTTAGCTTGTGCGATGTTCAAGTTGTTGAGCGAGTTGAGTAAACCCAAGTTATCGTCTTCCTCCATAGTTTCCGAGAACTGGAGAGTCTTAAGGTTGGACAAGCTTCCAGTGGCACCAAGGGCTACTGCCAAGTGGGTAAAATGGGTGCCAGCCTGGGGCTGATTCGAGTAGCTCACTCTGAGCTGCTGGAGATTGGGGAGGTATAGGTGGATCGAAGGAACGTTTTCCACGGCAATGTGCAACGTTCTGACTGATACTGGGACAAAACCAAGGTCAATGGTCAGTTTGGGGACGACCAAGGTATGGATCTCCAGTTTTAGGAGCAATTGGCCCAACAGGTTCTGGTGCACAGCAGCGGAATTTCCCAACAAGCAGATGTTTCTGAGGATGCTGGCAATCTTGTCGTTTGCTAGGGCCACCGAAACAAGGGCTTGGAGCTTAGAGGAGCATATCAATGTGCCCAAGTTTCTGGCAGCATGGCTGGTGCATGCTTTAACGGTTTGGACATGGCCGGCATCGTCACAAACAACGATCTTTCGGTACAACTCGATGGCAGCAGGGAGGTACAAGAGTTTGCAGCTCAAGCAGAGGCTGAGCAAGGCGGGGGTGTCCAAGTTGGCGCAGATTTCTACTAACACACTGGTGGGAAGGTCGGTGATTCTGGCATGCTGGGGTTCACCAGACACCGATTGGGCAGCTGGGCTGCTGTCCGCGAGGCCTACCTGTGGATACCCGTACCGGGGACGGTACGAGCTGGATCTGCGACGTGGAGCGAGACGAGGAGGGGCTTGGTTGAACATGGGCCCCATGGATGGAGACTATTCTTTATCGCGATTCCAGAGAAACGTCATACTGCAGAGAGTCCTGTACAATGGCCAGGATCTGAGGAAAGCCAGCGTGGTGACTGATGGGGACAGTCAGCGTCCGTAAGCCGGCTAGATGCTGGCCCAGAGTATGGTAGTACGTATCTATCACACCCCTGCTTCTCCCGATGCTCCCAGCTCTTCTGGCGGTCCCAGCTCTCCTGGCTCAATGGACTCCATCCTGAGGTTGCGTTCCTGCACACACTCCCTCCTGATCCGTTACCATCAGCGAATGTTCTGAGGCACCAAATCACATTCCCTGATCTGTCCATCTTGTCAGTCGTCTCTAGTGCCATCACACAAAGCAGCATCGAGCTACGCCATCTTACACCGCCACGAAATCCACACGCAGCCAATCACTACACTGCTACAACACCACACATCCATGGCCCAACCAGAAGAAGAAACCACGCCCAAGCCCCACAACCAGACGAGTCTGCATCAGGAACTGGCCAAGACGGCGCCAGCTACATCGAGCGACCCGTTCCAGGGCCTCTCGTTCAAAGTGGGAGTAGCAGAAAACAAAAACACCCGCTACCGCAACAAGATGGAGGATGTCCACACCTACATCGCCAATTTTGCGGAGAGAGTGGACTGGGGATACTTTGCCATCTTCGATGGCCACGCTGGCAAGGACACCGCCAGATGGTGCGGAAATAACATGCATACGCTCTTGGAAAGAGAAATTGATCTTCAGGAAGACCAGCGCAACAGCAACATGACAGACCATCTATACAACTCGTTCGTGAAGGCTGACGAGTTGATAGGGAAGGAGGGCGCCGGGAACTCTGGCTCAACTGCAGCTGTGGCGGTTCTCCGATGGGAGACTGATGACAAGGTCCAAGACAAGGAGGAGAACGGTAGACCAAAAGACTCCAAGTTTGATTTCACCCCCGGCAACAACCACCGGAGAATGCTATACACCTCAAACGTGGGAGACCTGAGAATAATCTTGTGCAGAAACGGACAGCCGTTCAGATTGTCCTACGATCACAAGGCCACCGATTCCAACGAAATCAACCGAATCAAAGAAACCGGGGGCCTTATCATGAAAAATAGAGTCAATGGAGTGCTTGCCGTCACAAGATCATTGGGAGATTCCTACATGAAGGATTTGGTAATTGGAAAACCTTTCACCACCTCTACCGAGATTACAAAAGATGACGAATTTATGATTTTGGCATGTGATGGTGTGTGGGACGTGCTATCGGATCTCAAGGCCTGCCAGTTTGTATCAAGTGTTCTTGCAGCTACTGGCGAGCCACAGACTGCGGCAAAGAAGTTGTGCCAGTTAGCCATGGATAACTCTACAACAGACAACGTTACCGTCATGATAGTGAAGTTTGATAAAGGAGTCTTTGATCAGACAGAGGCTTAGCAATCCTCTCCCGATATATTTATACACAGAGCTTTTGGGGTTGTTTGGCAACACCCCCTTCACAGTGGGCATCAAACAACTTCTAATTTACCGTGTAGAGTAAGAATATGTATACTAATCTGGTAATATAAAAAGCAAGACACTCATTAATTATCTCCCTATTGAGCTTCTATAACCGCTTCACTTTTATTCTCAAAAACCTCCTCAACCTGGACCTTTGGTCTATACAATTTCAATGCCAAACTGCTCATCACAACACTCACGGAGGAAAGGGCCATAGCCGCACTTGCCCATACTGGACTTAATCTGGTATTGTGGTATGGATAAATAACCCCTGCTGCAACAGGAACACCAATCATGTTGTAAACCAAACTCCAACAGAAATTGAATTTAACCCTGTTGAATACAACCCGAGACAAGTCGAGCAAGGTGACCAATGCGACCAATGGTTGGGCCTTATTTAAGAGGATAAAGTCACTGGAAGTGACTGCCAAATCAGCACCTGAAGACAAGGCAATTCCCACATCAGCAGTGGCTAAAGCAGGCGCATCGTTGATACCATCGCCTACCATTGCAACTACTCCACCACTCAATTTTTGTATTCTTTCCACATGGAGTTGTTTTTGGTCAGGTAGAACTTCACTCACAATATTGGTGATACCAATTTCTTTACCAATTGCATGGGCGGTGATGCTATTATCACCAGTAATCATCCAACAGTCTATTTTTTGGCGTTTGAGGAACTCAATAACCTTGATTGTCTCGCTTCTGATCTGGTCCCGAGCTGCCATCATCATAACTAAATGAAATTGATCATCCTTGTAGATTTTCTGGCACTTGATTGCCACCAAAATGACAGACTTGCACTCGTTCTTCCATCGGGTCAATACCAGTACTTCATGCATATTAATAGAGACTCCATTCTCAACCAAAAATTTCTCATTGCCAAGAATCGCCTCGGAAGGCTCATACTGGCTCCACAACTCGGTATTTGCTTCAAAGATTATTTCTCCACGAAGACCTTTTCCTGGTACAGTTTCAACGGAAGGAATTTTGTTGGGAGAAAGTGATTTTCCTGTGAATTCATCCACAAACTTCTTGACAGCCTTGGCCAACGGATGCTTGGAAGTAACTTCCATATCCCTGGTTACTTGCAAAGCGAAAGACCTCAAAACTTGCGATTGTTCATTTTCTTTCGAGCCAAAATAAAAATCAGTAACTCGAACATCTCCATTGGTAAGGGTTCCAGTTTTGTCGAAACAGATGGTAGAAGTGTTTGCGCCATCCTGGAAAGCAGCACCTCCTCCTTTAGCTAAAATACCGTATTTCGCAGCCAATCCTGAACCCACAAACAACGCAGTTGGAGCGGCTAAGCCAATCCCACACGGGCATGCTATCACGAACACAGCAATCGAAAATTCTAAGGACCATACCGTCCATCCACCAACATCGACATCCAAGTAATGCTCAGGCAATGCACCAGAATGGCCCAAACTCAACCAAATTACCCACGTAATAATAGCTAACGCTGTTATTACTGGAACAAAGTAGCTGGTCAATTTATCGGCGGTTCTTTCGATGGGGGCCTTTCGTAACTGGCCATCTCTCACGGTGCTGACAATTTGGTCAATCAAGGAATCGCCATCCAAACTAATAATTCTACCAATGACTCCCATTGCTCCTGTATTCACAGTACCTGAAAAGATCTGATGTCCCAGGATATGCTTGACGGGTCTTGATTCACCAGTCAAGGCAGATTCATCAAATTCAGATTCCCCACTGATAATGACACAGTCTACTGGTGGAGACTCGCCTGGGTTAACTCGTAAGTAATCTCCCGTCTCTAATAATTTCACATCAATAATTTGGTCGTTGGTGTAATTACCCTCGTCATCAAGCTCAACTAATGTAGCTTCAGCAGCTTTTAAATCGCTTAAGCTTGAAATTGCGTCAGCTGTTTTAGACCTTGTGATACTTTCCAAGAGTTTTCCAATTAAAAGGAAGAATGTAAGAAAGACAACAGAATCAAAATAAGTAGTATCGGATCCATGGTGTGGATCACGCTCTTGTTTGGATGCCAATACCAAGAGTACGATACTAGCAAAATAGGAGATTGTGGTTCCCAAACACATCAAGAGATTCATAGATCCAAATCTGAATAAGCGCTTGCGGAATGAGTTTTTATTCAACCACAAGTTCTTCAACTCCTTGATTGCCTTTCTATGAAATATGTCAGCGGCACAGAAGTAGACGGGTGTGCTCAAAAAGAGTAATATCCAACAATTCCTGGCCACATTTCCTGCCCAGGTTGGCTCATCAACCCATTTCTTGAATTTATTAGATGATGGCAATAACGACATTGCCACCACACCGAAAACAAACGTAGGAATAGCGAAGACAGTAGCAATAACTAACCTAATAGATAAGTTGAAAACTTCTTGCTTCGATAATTTGCGTAAATGCTCATCCATTGAGACAGGCTCGATAATTTCACACTCGAAAACACCAGGGGCTAATGGATCAATTTTATAGGAATCGTGATCGCTAGGCTTGAGGTGATTTAAATCAAATAAAAATTTACGGACGTTGATTTCTTCTCCTGGAATGTAGGTGAAATTGATGAATGGGTTCTCCAAAGTTATGGGGTCGCTGATAATCACAGCTTCACCAAAACTAGACAAATACTGGGTGATTATTTCAGGACAGTGCTCACAGAACATACCTTTCACGTTGATGTTAATCGATCTGGTTTTCTTTCTTCCCAGTGTATAGTTGATTTTCTCTGATTTCATGACTTCGAAGTCAAATCCACAATCTTCAATTTTTTCTGTAAGCGTTTTCAAGTTCTCATCTTCGTCTCCTGAATCATCAAGCACAAACTGACCTGATTTGGATACTAAATTCACCGCACATTCGAGGATGAATGGTAATTCATTTACAGCAGTTTGTATGGCATTCACGCAAGCAGCACAAGTCATCCCACCAATAATTCCAATAACCTTTCTATTGATGGAAGTTTGAACTGGTAAGACCTCGATTAATTTTGCTTCATAACCTAGGTCGTTAATACCATCAATAATTTTGTTTATGACATGCTTATTGGGGATTATCACTACAGCCATATTTTGAAGGAGACTAACAGAGTATTTGGATTCGTCTGGCTGTTTTGGATCCATTTCGTTCTGTATAAAGCGACTGATTTGCTCAGAAATGGCTTGCACACACGAAGCACAAGTCATACCAGAAATGGTGAACACGGCTCTGTATTCCGTGTCTGGCTTATTCACCACGGTTTCCACGGTATTTATAGAGTCGCAATCATTCTCCGAATCTTTCTCGAATTTTTGGGGGCTATCATGGCAGATTTTGCAATTCTTCCTATGGGTTTTGGCGGACTTGTAGGAGAAGTAACGGTTGTAGAGGGCCCAAATGTCAAAAAAGCCGTCGACACTTTCGGGCTTCGTTTCAGCATCCTTAGAACTGGATATAGGCTGGCCCTCCTTGGTCACTTCCCACGCCAACACATGAAAGCCGGCTCGTAGAAGCTGGCGAACCATGGGCTTGGTCACGTGACCAAACACCGAGTCGTCGTGGTCGTTATTGTTGCCGAAAACGTCCACGCTTCTGTCATCAACATAGAGTAGCACCTGCTGGCTGGCGAGCTGCTGTACTTCCTCCACGCTGGGAAAGTGATCCACCTGGGTGACCTTGAAGTGACGAGAAAACACCTTGTGGATAGCCACCGCACAACTCTCGCAATGGATGTTGGAGAGACTTGCATGGAAATGTTCCATTATGGTTATATGTCAATGGCTGCTTCTTACACACGAAATCGGTATTCGTGGTTTGTCTATTCTTATCAGATGGTGGGGGGAACCTTCTTAAATACGATGTGAGAGATTATTGCCTAATGCGTCTTTTCTGCGATGTGCCGAGAAGAAGGGTTCTTTATGGAGAACGGCCCAGTTGGAGCTGGTGCAAGCACACCGGAACCGCAAGCCCTACCAAGAGCCCCACCACTCGCTCAGGAATGGTGTGGAAAAACATCGACGTCACAAGAAACATCCAGTACCACATTATCAATACCGTTATTGTGGTGTACCAGAGCACTCTGCGGTATAGCACTGCGAAATCGGGACTGCGATGCCCAATTGTTTCTTGGGTCCCCTGTAGGGTCTCCGAGCCTGGTACGGAAGGTTCCACTGCCACGAGCCCGGCCAGCGGAGGCCCGTTGGCAATGGTGGACTCCTCGTCCCGTGTGGCCACCTCCCTAGATCGCACTACCGAAACGAGCATAAGACTGATAGACGTAATCAAGTAGTAGTGGCCAGAAGAATCGAAGCCGTCGATCCAGCGGCCTCCACTCGCCTGGCATTCTCTTGCAGTGGCTCCTTGTCCCTCGCAGTGCCCACCCGTGGCAATGTTGATCCGTTCGAAGACCAGGGGCCCAAAACACCACACGTTAGTGACCAAGCACACCACGGTATTCACTCCGTAATTGCGAAGAAAGGTGGCCACCTTGTCGTAGGGTATCCTGTTATGCTGCTGGTAAGTGAAAAGATACCCGAAGTACAAGAGGGTGAACCACAAGTACCCGTAGTCCTTGACGAAGAAGTGGTTGACCCAGGCCAACAACGGATTCTGGGACACCCAATGCTTGAAACGATGCAACACGAGCGACAACGGGATGGTCAAGACGAACGTAATGGGAAGTATAACCACGCAAAAGGCCCATGGCGTAGGCTGTCGTGGCACCAGAGTCCCAGTGGTGAAGAGCATGTTGGTGTGGGATTATGTAAGCCGGGGATTTCTCATTTTCGCCTGGCTACATAGTGCTGGAAGGGAGGTATTATTTGTGCTAGGCAAAGGGACTAGATACCGCTCCGTATCTATGCACGGATCTCAAAGCGCGTTTGGGACTACTTATCCCCTGTATTTATTTTTGAAGCTATCATTTCAAGCATAAAGCTATTCTGAGATCACTGTGAAAACGTTTAGTGGCGATGTGACTTGTTTTGGAGAAATAGGCCTGGCTTCGGTGATTTTCAGGCCATGCGCCCTGTTATCTCTTTGATACAACAACAAATTCGGCAGAAAATGCTGCTGCAGCGGCATTAGCACCGATGATACAGTAACAGACATGCCTGCCACAATTGAGGAAGAAGAGTGATTGACTCATTGGAATCACTAGATTAGTTGGAAGAAATACAAAGAAATGGAAATTGCAGCTGTGGAGACATAGTGGCTTCTTGAAATGAATTATCAAAAATGCCTTTTCAAACACCCAACGAATCAGAGCAGTATTTGCTTAATAGAAATTCCAAACCGTTCAATTCTGCAAATTTTTCTCGTTAGTTGATAGAAAATAACGGCTATCTTTCATTTCAGAGTATTAAGAGTGCTATTTTAGCTCAGTAATCTATTTGTTTTGCCGATTATTTGATTTTCCACAAAAACCTCAGTCCAGAAGAACCTACGAATTTTTTCAGTAATTATTGGAGGGTTGGCCGAGTGGTCTAAGGCGGCAGACTTAAGATCTGCTGGACAGTGTCCGCGCGAGTTCGAACCTCGCATCCTTCATTATTTTTTGCCGAAAAGTCAAGTCACGTGCTAAGCTATAATCACCATGCACGTGACATCTCATAATCCTAGTTGCTTAATCAGAATCTTATACAACTTGGTCCTACGGCATCTTTTACATACTATCACAGCCAAAGAATGTTTCTAACGTTAGTAAAGCTACCCCGTGTGGTCCCCAATCGAATCAGCGTTTTAACAAAAGCGATCGCTTCCTTCAGATCAGCCTCACACCGTGCTACTGCTGCAAAATCACCAAAGCATACAAGTTCCAACCCCCCGTTAGCGTTCCCCTGTCTTGATAAGGTGGAAAAGAAGAATGAGGCACTTTCACAATCGTGTTCTCCTTCTGTGTCTGCCATCAATTCTCTTGAAGGAGGACCAGAACCTTCATATTCTATGGTTATGACAGGATTCAAGATCTTCAAGTCCAAGAAACCCATCTTCCTTGATTTTGGTGGCTTCTTGCCAGAATACGAAATTGCATATGAAACCTGGGGAAAACTTAATGAGGACAAGTCTAATCTCATACTCATTCATACGGGGCTTTCGGCCTCGTCGCATGCAAAATCGCAACCAGACAACCTCAAGAACGGATGGTGGGAGGAGTTCATTGGTTCGGGGAAATACATTGATACCGACAAGTACTTTGTTGTTTGTACTAATGTTTTAGGTGGCTGCTATGGTTCAACCGGCCCCTCGTCAAAGGATCCTGCGAACAACGACTACTACGGAACCAGATTCCCTATCTTGTCTGTCAATGATATGGTAAGAGCCCAGCGTGAATTCATCAGAGGAGAATTTGGAGTCAAGAAAATATATGCTTCTGTCGGTGCTTCGATGGGGGGCATGCAATCCTTAGCATATGCATGGGAGTTTCCCGATGAAGTTGACAAGATAATCTCAATTAGTGGGTGTGCCAGATCTCACCCATATTCCATTGCATTAAGACATACCCAAAGGCAAGTGTTGATGAGTGATGCCAACTGGAACAGAGGGTTCTACTACGAGAAAGTGCCACCTCATGTTGGAATGAAGTTAGCCAGAGAAATTGCCACTGTTACGTATAGATCCGGCCCTGAATGGGAGTACAGGTTCGGTAGAAATAGAGCAGATGAACTGAAGCCTCCAGCACTCTGTCCAGATTTCTTAGTGGAAACGTATTTGGATCATGCTGGTGAAAAGTTCTGCTTGGAATACGATGCTAACTCGTTCTTGTATATTCTGAAAGCGATGGATCTTTTTGACTTGAGACACTCCAACTATGAGAAATCCAAGTCAAATAGAAAATCTGCACAAGAAAAATACAATGCAGCAGAAAGTATCGAAGAGGACTTGTCAATTCCCGAAAAGCCATACCAAGAGCAGGTCAGAAAAGCAACCGTTACTCCAGAAGAATCGTACCAAGATTTGCGTAAAGGAATGGAAAGATTAGCCAACAATGATGTATTGGTTGTTGGTGTTGAATCAGACATTCTCTTCCCGGTCTGGCAACAAAGAGAAATTGCAAAGGTGCTAGGCGAAGCCAAAGAAGACATTAAAGGTAAGGGAAAAATCGAATACTTTGAATTGGGTAACGATGTCAGTAACTACGGTCATGACACCTTCTTATTGAGTTTGAAGGATATTGGTGGACCGGTCAAACAATTTTTGGGATAGGAAAGGAATCAGTCAGTTAGGTTCACTGCAGACTTCAGCTTGGAAAAAAGGTAACGATTAAATTTAAAAATTAGTAACGAATTACGTATTTAATAAATATTTACTACGCTGTTATAGTAGTCTCATAGCGTACGCATGATATCTGCAAAGTTCAGCACAGAATACGCATTGAAATGATGGTTCAAGATTTTAACGGGCCAACCGTTAAAGTAGCAAGAAATTACACCAATGAAAGAATTGACCGACTATTGTTTGAAGATAGGCATTGGGAGAATCCCTTATAGGTTGGCCACGCTTCCTTTGACTCTTAATACCTAATTTATCAGAGTTACTCAGATAATGAATTTATATTAGACAGACCTGCAACTTAACAGCAGTAAGCGAATGTGCCAGCAGGTGTGCAATCAGACCAAAACACCCCTGTTCTTGTCGAGTTCGTATCCCAACCTTCTGCTCACCTCAAAAATCCAATCTCTTATTCTTCCCACCACGACCTTGGCCAACCCGTTGGACTTCTTCTTGCTATTGCTGCTCTCCACATGATGGGGCAACAAGTTGTCGTGGGCACTCAAACTAACAAACAAGGCAAATGGAACAAACCATACCCCCAAGCCAAAGAACGAACAAACCTCAACGAAAGTAGGAATTGTTGGAGGAACGTACCCTGGCTGCAATCTCTCTTCCAACGGAGGGATGTACGGGTTGTGGAAATGGTTGAACCACAAGAAGTGGTTGGCAATCACCAACACGCATGAAACGAGAAACACAGGCGACGTAAGCTGCACATAGGGAAACTTGTTCAAGTTCTGAAGATACACCCAGTAGGAGAATATGGAAAAGGCCGTGAGGAAGAAGGGGAACCTGTCAAAGAGCCATAATAACACAAATGCCACGATCAGCACGTATATGAGTCGGGTCAAGAATCTTTTGGTTGGTTCGGAATGTTCCTCCACTAATTCAGATATGTAGTATAATCCGGAGGCAATGGATAGTATGAGGAAGATAAACCCCACCACTATGCCGACATACGAAAGCAATTGGAGAAACATGTTGGAGAAGGCAAGTATGAGTGGACGCGTTGATGACACTTAGCCCACATCATGTGATCACCTAGCAACGGTAGATCGAGATCAAATCGGGGCGTGGATGCGACAATGCACCAAAGCGAGATGTCACCTACAAAGATAGCTAAAATTAAGATGCAATGTTGTATATAGAAATAGGTAAACCGTTAAGGCAGCACTGTGAATACCGGAGCGGTATCAACAATTGTTTGTACCGTATTGATATTCTTTCATGGCTGGAGTACTGCGCTCAATCGTAAATTTCGATGGGAGGAATTCTATCGGTGTTATAGAACCAGTTTCCTCCCTCCAATTCCCTCATCAACCAGTCAACTGGGAACATGACCAAGTGGCCCTGAATCTCGTTCAAGATTCGCTCTGCTGAATCCCGATCGAAGATTCTCTCGCCGGAACGAAGTCTTCTGCGGGTCAAGAAACTTCTCTTAGGACGTGGCTTTTTGGTGGAGCTTGCAGTAAATCCACTTTCAAGTCTTGATTTAGGAGTTGAGTCAGCTTCCGAAGACTTTGGTTCCTCGGTGGGTACTTCGGTTTCAGTTTCGTCTTCAACGCGTTGCGTAGCTGCTTTTTCCGGGAGTTGTTCTTCGTCATCATCTTCATCCTCCTCTTCGATCAAATCATCATGCTCGTTGTCTGAAGCATCATATTCATCTTGGAGTGAAGATTTGGCATTTGCCTGGTGTAATTTCTTACTCAGTTGACGTCCAAATCTCCGCCTGTTACCAGGGCCCGGTTCTGGGGCGCCTCTAGGTGGTGGCGCATGCCCTAACAATCCCTGTTGTTCTTGATCAAATGTTTTCATGTTGATCGTAGCCGTACTGCTTCTTTTATGACGATGTACTGCAAATTCGTCTTCGCTTTCCGATTCATCGGACAAGCTCGTTCTTGTGCGTTGTTTGACTCTTTCCTTTGCCTCTTGTTGTTGTGACAAATAGAATGCTCTCTGTAACTTGGAGTAGTGCTTGTAATCCTTCCATGAAATGGCATAATCATCAGGTTGCGTATGGAAGATCAACCTAAACATCTCAGTATTCCTTCTGGCATGCTCGTACCAAAGATCTTCATAGAATTCAAAATATAATGGATCCTCAAAACCATAGGGATCGACATACTTACTAAAGTGAACGTCGCCCTTGGGGTTGATACTTTGAAGAATATCCCTTGTTCCTTGTTCATCAAGGGTAACAATAGGGATTTGTTCGCTATGGCCCTCAACTGTTTCTCCCTTCTTTTCTTTTTCTGAAATTGAGCCATCAGCTGCGTCCTCTGGTGTATCAAGTGGTGCTTGAATGTCTCCATCAGTAATGTTTACTGAAATCTTTTCGGGTTCAGGACTTCCCGAACCGTTGTAACTGGAGTTTTTGCGGGGTTGCTTGATGCTAGGCTCCATTCCTGCGTCGACTCTTCTCTTAGCTTCATGTTCATTGTCTTCCTTTTCCTTTGCTGCGACTCTTTGCAAGTAAGATATTTTCTTTAACAATGCCCATCTTTCCTTGTTTCGTTCATTGATCAATTTTTCAGATTCTTCATCAATCTCGTCGATTATATCAAAATCATCAGCTTCTAAGAAATCCTTCACGTTATGGATATCTGGCAAGAATGAGGATGTCGGATTATTCTTCATTGCTTGCTTGGCAAGATCTTTCAAAAACCGACTAGCGTTAAGTCTTGCCCGTTTCGCCAATTTAGTTTTATATTTATCAGGACCATCACCATAGACGTCCTTTTTGTGCTTATCAGAATGTTGAACTCTGGCATCGTATGAATGCTTCTTTTTGTCTCTGATACCAGTATTGGCCTCATGGGGACCAGTTCTATTGTTGAAAGAAAGTGGTAATGGTAATGGGGTAGGGATTTTCTGCTCGTCAGATTTTGTCTCCTCGTCGAGCTCAACTTCCGCAGCCTCGGTTTGCAAGTTCTTGGACTCCTGGAAATTCTTCCATCTGAAAGTACCTTCTTTCTCATCCAAAATATCTCTAGATGCAATTTCAACCATGGCGGACATAATTGCATGCTCACGGTTCTTAAACTTATTGGTGACTGCCTTCAACCCAACGGACGATTTAGCAACTTCTTCAAACCTCTTAAATCTTCTCTCAACAATATCTAAGATATCGACATTGACTCCAAGATGCTCCCTCATCAATCTCATACGAAGTGTATGGGCAAACTTGGCAGCCAAATAGGGCTCGCCATCCATGGTTGTACTAATCATAGATTGATCTCTGACTACAGCTGCCACTTCTGAGTCTCTAACACCTCTCATAGATCTCTCATTGATGTTTGCACTTCCGATAAGAGCAACCCTATCATCAACAATCATGGTCTTGGCATGAATGTACAATTGTTCGGTAACTAAGGTTCTATCAGGCCCAATTCTACCCCATTTTCTTAATGAAAAGAATTGAATATAGTCATCAGGTTCGATTCCATACTTCCTCAATTTTGCATAGATTGACGTAGTACCTCTTGAAATAGACATGTACTGACATTGCATGATCACTCTGACAGATGAACCATCAGGCTCGTCCACCTGGGATTCAAAGCCGGGCATTAGTGGAATAACAATAATGGCCCTCCAATTAGTGCCTTCATTATGAGCCTTGATAATTCTATCAACCAAAGCATCTCCGATTCTATTCTTAATTTCTGTACCATCAATGAAACAGGATGTGATGAAAAACTGATTCTCGATATATACAAAATGTTCTGAAGTTTCAATCAACTTCAAATAAGCATTCTGGATGCTCTGCTCATGCTCTTTTAGACCCAAAGACCAGCTGCCCGATGATCTAATCAACTGAACTTCACAAGTACCATTGAGACCCAAGTGCTCAACCTCTTCATCAGTTAAATCAGATGGTGGAGTAAGTAAAGGAGTAAATCTACTTGGTCTCTTCTGTCTAAGCAAGTAATTCCATCTTTGAACAAAATGTCTGGCCAAATCTCTAGCCACTTTACCAGAAGTAACCATATGAACATCGTGCCAAGGCATTCTAGGAACAGAATTTCTATCATACATAGACTCATAAGGTTTGTCTAGGCCGAAAAAATCTTTAACACGAGGATTTGAGTAATCCTTACCTGGGAACACTTGAAATTTGACAAAATCTTCGGGAGATAACCTCTCTTCAGCCAGCAAGGATTCAAAATTCACCTCAGAATCATCTGTCAAAACATGGTCAGGTGTATCGTATCTACCATAACATAAATCAATTCCTCCAAGGAATGCCACGGTATGGTCAATGATACATAACTTCTCATGATGCGCCCAAAAATAAGTATTTTGAAGTAATTGGTTTGGTGATCTAATGACATGAATATTTTCTTCGTCAAGAGATAAAATTGAATGCTTTGTATAAAGCGAGTCTGTTGCTACCGTGGTCCCCACATTACGATACACTATAACGTAAATCTTGACACCTTGTTTTGCTTTTCTCTGAAGAATTCTATCAATTCTCCATTGCTGATTACCATTAGCAGGCCGTCTCAAATATAACTCTGGAGATAACCACCAATCGTGAATAAAGATAACATCTTTTGCCATTTCTAACGCAGAGGAGACTGCCCAGAAATAATCTCTACCATCAACGAACCATTGAGCAAAAGAATTTTTTCTAATTGGTGCAAATGATCCGAATCTATTTGCATTAGAATATATCGTTGAGTTTTTCATTTCCAGCAATGACTTAATCCATAATTTTTGTTCCTTAATAGATTTTGGAACAAGAACCATTTTTCTTTCTGAATTTTCCAAAGTTATTTTTAAGTGTTGAAAAACGTTCTTGTGAGAAGATTCGTTTTCAAGTGTTTCCTCACCTAACTTCATTTGAATCAAGGAAGAATCATCATAGTCCGATTCTTCGTCATCTTTTCCTTGCTCGGTATCACCCTTGAAAGTAATCCTGAAATTCGAGTCAACCAAGAACACATCTAAAGGTAGTGTGGAGTTGATATCAGCAACATACATAACGTAGGAATTTCTGATCAATAACCATTTTTCAGAACGTCTGTCAATCATCCCCTTAAGATCGTTCGCTTTGAAATGGCCGACTCTCCATCCTTGGGACTTAGCCGTTCCTCCTAAGTGAATAACACCCTGTTTTCCAATGTAACCAGTTTCATAACTTAATAATGAGGAAAGTGGAGAAATCTCAAAAAACTGAAATAACTTGTTTGATTGGGCTCTTAATGCGACTAATGTTATAAGATCATTCAAATAGTTTGTCACCTCTTTGATATACTCCTGGTTCTTAGTGATTCTTGCTCTGACTTGTTCTGGTGATTGCTCTTCACTATAGGTTGAATTAATGCTACTGAGTTGCGATCTTAAGTTTGCCAAGTGGCCCCTGAGTGTATGATTTGTTTGAATTGATGAATTATCTTCATGTAACTCCTCATTTGCTCCTGATTTCAAGTGGTTTTTAGATTTTGACCTGTTATTCACCCCTTCAGCATTCCTCAAAGGAGGAATAGGGTACTTAGGAAGGTCTGTCTTGATACTTCTAACTTCATTTCTCCATTTTTCGAACTTGAACCTTGAGTGCAAGTACAACAAGTCCTTGGCATTCTTTTCCACTGACCATTGGAGCCTTTGAGGTCCAACACCATACTCCAAATCGATTCTAAATCTTCTTATTTTGGTACCAATATTAGGAGAGGTATCAGTAATTCTGAAACCTAATAATGTCAACAATAGAGGTGCTCTTCCAATTCCTCTCTCATCTTCTAATAGACATGATGCAAGTAAGCCAATAGCATCCGCACTGACAGCCAATCTGCCTACCAATGCTTGCGCCCTTCTAGTTGTAGCCATATCTTCCTCATCAGCAGTGAAATCTACTGCGCTGATGGACTTTTTTCCCTGGCGGTCCTTTTTTCTGGTCCGGAATGCTCTTATACGCTTCATTAATTTTGGTGGCTTATTTGAATCATCAACATGTGAAGGAATTTTGCCCGAAGTGGGACTATTCGCTTCTTGAGCACGACGTGAAAATGGAAAGAAAGACCATGAGTTGTGTTCCTGGCCATCATCTACCGCATCAACATATTCATTGTGTTGTGAATTGGGGGTGTCTGGTAACACTGCACTATCATTGGGCGAAACAGGAGTTGAAGGTCCTTCTTCAGGACCAGGGTATTCATTGGGCTCGTCTCGTCCATTGTAAGACACGCTGTCCATTTCTTCCTGCTCCTCGTTGTCATATCGTGCCTCTTGTGTATCGGTAAATTGGTTGAAAAATGTCCAAGGGTTTCCTACCACTTTGGGAGATTCGTGGTTCAAGTGCACTGGTTCCTTCTTTTTGGGTTTTTTCTTTTCAGAAGTGGCAGACTCCCGGCTGACTGATTTGTGGATTTCATTAAAGTCTTCAACTTCACGCAATGGGCGATTTGGTTTCTTGTCGTTGGTATTTTGGGTATCTTCTTCCGGATCCGCGGAATTGACGAAAACAGCTGGGATGTAAGGACTGATTGTGTTCTTGATGGTCTCGACATAGCCAACCTCTTCGGTTGCTTCGCCATCATCTGGGCTGTTTTCGTTGGCCAGGGCCTCACTTTTAGTATGTTCCACTCCTCCATTCACCGGAGTATCTCTACTCTCGGTATTCCTGTCTCCAGCTTCCTGAGTTCCATTGGACACATGCACTTCTGTATCGTCTAGCAGCTCTTGGGTCATTGTGACACGTGAAATTTGCCTCAAACGTGGTGGTGCTGCTGAAGTATCTGAACTGGAAAAATCTTCACGTTGGTCGCTTGTTATTGAGATACAACAGACACTCGAACGCTGTGCAGTTAACGCTGAGTTGGCAGATGTGTTTATGTTTGCTGTAGCCTGCTTGTTCTGTTTATGTTCAGGCAGTATATGCAGTCAGCTAAGCGAAAAGTGCGAGCCGGGAAGATTTCTTGGATGGGGTAGCAGGGCACATATTCAAGGGGCCTGGGGCGTATTTCGTTCGATTGAGCTGGTCCAGTGAACACCGCTCGAATTGATCATCCTCTCGAGCCAATCTCTATTGTGCAGACAGTGTGAGCCAATTACTTGACCCCCGTAATATAGTGATAATGCATGGAATAATCACGTTGTGGTCGCAATACTTTCTAGTTCTGGCATGTCAAAAAATAAGTATGCCCAGCACACAACCTTCTGGGAGTTGAGAATAAAGTAAGTCTGAATTCGTGGTCCGGAAATGAATATCACCAAAGCCAGCTGAAAATATACGGAAATTATGAATTATCTCTTTTATTGTAGAAATTTTGCAGAAATTCTCAAGAACCAAAATCATTGAATCCAGCTTAAGAAAGCGGCTGTATGCAGTCCTAGAGTCTTACATAGCAAATACACGTATCTAATTTATTACTCTTATTTCTCTGCCTCCTTGTTATTGATTAATAAGTAAGCATAGCAGACTCCTGTCAATTCTGATACATTTTCTCTTTTCTGTCAAACCACACCAGCCTCAATTAGGATGCGTCAAGTGCGTAATTTTCCTGAGTGCTTCTAATATCAATCAAGTATGATGCAACGACTGGAATGCGGCTGGGAAACTGCTGATATCGTTATCATTGATTACATTGTGGCGCTTAACTGGAAATATAGCATTGCTGATAAGAGGATCCGATTGGATCCGGTTATTTTCACTGTGCACTACTTTGTTTGGTTCTTAGAACTTCGATTCCTCCAACCCTCTCTATTGTAATCGTGCTATATTAATGTGGCTGGCCTAAAATGTGTATTCACACAGTAAGGAAACAGGATTGTGGCTGTTGAATGGAGCTACTTAAATCTTCTACTGCTTCCTCTATACTGATACCGTTAAAAGAATGTCAAACATCGGAGGTTCTTATGAGAAGAAAGGCGATCAAAATGCAGGTATTACATTGTCAGAAATAGACTCCCACGCTGATGGAGAGTCAATTCTTCTGTCTCAAAATGGAAAATTGGTCAAAGCTGGAGATCGCGATGAGGCCATGCTTTTACTATTGCAGCACCAAGACCACAGTATTGAGCTCGACTTGGAAAAAGATCGGAAGTTGCTATGGAAGATTGACTGGTATTTAATGCCTATAATGTGTCTTTTGTATTGTTTCCAATACATGGATAAGGTTTCAAATTCTTATGCCTCAATTTTGGGTCTCAGGTCAGACTTGGAAATGAAAGGTGATATGTTCTCTTGGTCTGGCTCTGCATTCTATCTTGGATATCTATTCTTCGAATATCCTGCTGTCAGAATATTACAGAAATTTCCCGTTGCTAAAGCTGTTGGTATTTTTGTGGTCTTGTGGGGTATTGTACTTTGTCTTCATTCTGTTCCTAACTATGCGGGTTTTATTACGTTGCGTACTATCCTTGGAATGCTTGAATCGAGTATTACCCCAGCATTTGTTATCATCACTGGGCAGTATTATCGCAAAGAGGAGACATTTTTACGAACTGCTCTATGGTTCTCTTCTAATGGGATTGGAACAATTATAGGAAGTGGGGCAATTGCGTACAACATTTTAGAAGATGAGAAGAATTATTCCTTAGCAGCATGGAAGCTTGTCTTTATTATCACAGGCGCATTAACAATCTTCTTGGGAATTATTATTCTAGTTCATCTTCCTGACAGCCCTGCTAATGCCTGGTTCTTAAATGAGGAGGAAAAGCTACTAGTGGTGGCCCGCATACGAGCCAATCAACAAGGATTCGGAAATAAACACTTTAAGTGGAATCAATTCAAAGAGGCATTTCTTGATATCAAAACATGGCTATTTTTCTTTACTGCAATTACAGGGAACATACCCAATGGAGGTCTTACTAACTTCTCTAGCATTCTCTTAACAAGCGATCTAGGGTTTTCTACCAAAAAAGCTTTACTTATGCAGATTCCGAATGGGGCGATTGAGTTCGTTGTCTGTTCTCTCTTTGCGTACTTCTCAAAGTATGTGAAGTCTAGAATGTTTTGGGCAATATTGGCACTGTGGATCAGTGTGCTTGGTCAACTATTATTGTCATTCGCAAGTAATAACAAGGTTCAGTTAGCAGGCTACTGGATTCAAGCTGTCGGTCCCGTTTCCTTTATATGCATATTGTCAAGCGTTGCAAGTAATGTTGCAGGCCATACAAAGAAAACGACAGTCAATGCTATTTTGTTAATCGGTTATTGTGTGGGTAACTTGATAGGACCACAAACATTTTTAGCTTCCGAGGCTCCTCATTACTCTACAGCAAAAACTTGTATAGCTGTTTTTTCATTGCTTTCAGCTGTCATTTTGATACTAATCTTTGTTACCTATTGGTTCGAGAATAGACTGAAGGACAAACGTGAAAATGACTTGGAAAAGGAAAAGTTTGGGGAAATCCAACATATTGAGTTTGCAGACCTAACAGACAAACAAAATCCTTATTTCAGATACTCGTTTTAGTTTTTGACTTATGATCATGTATCTTAATTCAGTTCTGCGTAGTCTAGTATTTCATCAAAGCTGAACCATATTGAGGGTTTCATTATCATGGAAATGCCTTCAATTGTTCAGCCTATGACTTTGAAAACTTGATGCAAGTTTCAATGTTTTTATGAATTACAATCAAACATATTTAATTTCATAGAATAAATGGGAGTATTCAAGTACCTGAATATTATGGCAAAGAAAGATGAAGTCTCTAGAAAACTCGTAAACTTGATCGGACAAGAGACGGCGTGAAAATTGTCCTGTATAATTCATTAAACGAAAACCTTTGCGTTGATCTTCCGCTTATACAGAATTTCACTCAAGTATGCCACTTTTCTTGTTCTAGGTGCGACTACATTGCCGACTCGTCTCTCTCTTCGTATGCAAGTTAAAGTAAACGAGTAGTATCTCAGGTCCTTATCCCCTTAGACGAGCGGTTACTCTCACTGCTTGGACCTAGACGCGCGGCTAGAACTGTTCATTGGCTTCGACGCACGTCGCTAGATTCGCTTGGACCTTGACGCACGGCTACTTGAGTCTCCTGGGCATAGACGAGCAGCTCTGACGGGCGCTGGGGGACCTAATAGATGAAATGAAATTCAACGAGAACTCCTTATGATAGCAAAAAGTCCCTTTCTATATACCAAACTAGATCGAACAAAAACCCTATTTGCCTATTTCTTAATTTATCAATGGTATGGGTCTGGTAGTTTTGCTCATCATCGAGTAACTTTAATTGGGGAGATGATTTCTAGAATTGCGGATAAGTGCTCACTTAAGCCTCTAAAATATGGGCAAAAAACATGCTTCTAGACGGGTAGATTCATTTCTTAATCTAATCTAAAAAGATTTAGATGTTCATGCATCGTAATCGGATGATCTTGAATTATTTAACTTTGAAAAATTTATCCTCATTATTGCTCTCCAAGACTTGACGATTAGCCAAAAGAGGAATAGAGATTTTGCTAGTTGTACCCCTGATTCTCTTGCCCTGTCATCTCTTTCAGAGCGGAAGAGCAATATTAGAAAAAACAAATTGAAAGATTACGTTAATTCACAGAGTACTTGTAAATGAAACCTGCTTATGAAGAGTGCCAATAGCACCTAAAGTGTCTGAGATCATTCTTGGCTATGTGCTTCTTTACGAAAATCCCCTCTTTTATCTCCACATATATGTTTTAGCCATGGCACCTTCGGAAAATAAAGTTAAAAAATAGTCTTAAGGAAGCCACAATGGTCCGCAATCTGCATTGTGCGGCATCGTCCGCACATTTTTCAGCAGGGGAATAGTGCCCTGCGCCTCATCCTACAGTGTAGTGACATATCAAGAGGGAAATTGGTTTTGGTTGGCAAATTGACAAAACTAGTATGTATTCTGATATGAAGCGGAAGTAACACCCAAGGAATGAGACTGTGCTTCATATTTCTATTCAAAGATAAGAAACCCGAAATGTCGAGGTAGGCATCACGTGTGCTTCCTCCTATAAAGTATGGTACAAACATAAAAAAAAGAAATCTCAAATAGTCCACATTTGAGGCTTCCACTTGTGTCTCCGTAGTTTCCTTGCATGATTCGAAGTTTGTTCCAAGGAATCTAGTTTTGTGCTCTGCAATTAAATCGAATCTGGTGACGAAAAACGAAGATGAGATTGAAGATTCGAAAAGTCATGCATATTTTGAAAAGTCGCACAAAATTGAAAAGAGAAACATGAACCCTTGCTAAGGGAAAGAATATCCTAGAGACAATTCGATTGGAGTATTGACGCATGACTTTTACTGTTACTACCCTGAATTAGCCCCAGGTTCGGCATTTTAAAGATCACTTCTTCGCTTGGGTCCTATCTCCCTCCAATGCCCCAAGGACGCCTTCTATTTAACAGTGAGATCCCTGTCCGAATTATATTTTTTAGAGCCGCATGCATCTGAAATCGGAACCCTATTCTTAGAAAGTTTATTCGTGTTCTCTGCCGTAAAAGTGTAATTTCATTAATACATGAACAAGAAAGTGCACGTTGGAAGAATGCCCACAATAAATGACTGTCTTTGTTCACATGCAATAAAAATCGGTAACTATAAGGAATACTAGTGTCAAAGATAAGGTTTATGTTGAACACCGAATCTTACGAGTTGTCGAGAACACGAAAGCGAGTCATAACCTCAAACAAGAAATTGAACAATAATTTGAGATAATGTTATGATACCCAGGGCGGGGTGCTTGGAAGTTAGGTCAGTTATTGGAGTTCTAATATTTTCACTTCGAGTCCCACACGTTGATTGGATGGTAGGATGTCAAAGGTCTCACTAGTCGAAGACACTAAGCCTGGTTTCTAATGTAATTCGCTAGCAGCAATAATTGGTCTGCTGTTCTGCCGAATTGTATTTCTACATCAGACCGAGGAAGGAGGGTGCGCCAAGAGATTTCTGTTTTTCCGATATGCATGATGGACCACCAGTTGCGAAATATACGACAAAACCATATTCTACGCCTGATGCAGTATGCATGACAATAAGAAAAAGAACAATAAATGTGCACATCAGCCTTGCTTTAGTTAATAATTTAAGGAGAGTCACATCTAATTCGGCCGTATTAATTCCATTAGTGCCTTAAGCGATGGTATCAGAGACGTAGGCTAAATTTTTGTGCAGTTATTTAAGGGATTGGTCTTCCTGGTTTTCATCTTAGCAAATCACTAATGAAGATACTAAATATCGTGGCCTTTGCCGGAGGTGTTGCACTCGCCGCCGGTAAGCAGGTTTCTGGTGTTTTCAAGAGTTTAGATTCTTTTGTTTACCAGATGCCACCAGGGTCCTACTACCCAAACAAGACTCCGGCGTCCCCAACTTGGTTTGCAACTCTTAGTTGGGAAATGGATAGTGACAAAATCTCGCCTGGGGACACCTTCACACTTACGATGCCTTACGTTTTCAAATTCATTTCCACAACCAGTACCATAGCATTGACAGCAGACGGCGATACTTATGCCACATGTAACTTGATAGGCGGTGAGCTTGTTGTTGCTTATTCTTCAGTTGAATGTACCGCTACCAATTCAATCAAGGAAACAGATAACATCAAAGAGGCATTCGGAACTTTAAAGTTGCCGCTCGTTCTCAACACTGGAAGTTCTGCGAACTCCGTCGATTTAGAGGCGGCAAAGGTTTTCAACCCTGGAACCAACACAGTAACTTTCAGAGATGGCAACAATGTTCTTTCCACTACTGCTACCTTTGAGGGTGGGAATAACAACGGGAACATTCCTAGCGGTTTGAATTTTAATACCAGAGTCCTTCCAAACTTGAATCTTTATGAATTGTACCTGTTGGCAGGCGATTGTCCAGATGGTTATGCTTCTGGTACTCTTGGGATCGCTGTGGAACAATCCAATATTGACTGTGAGACTGTTCATGCTGGTATTTCCAATAATCTCAACGGTTGGTTATTTCCCAAAAGCTTTAGCAAGGACTTCCAATTTAAGGCTACCTGTTCACCAACTGGGTACCAAATCACATATTCTAACATCCCTGCAGGCTACAGACCTTTCATTGACATGCTTTCTGACAATCCTGCTGGAAGCACAGGGCTTTTTACTAGGTATACCGATACCTACACTTGTAAGAGCGGTAAGAAAGCCACCAATGATGATGTGAGATCTTGGGGTCGTTACCAGAACTCAGATCCCAATTCTAACGGTGGGAGGGTGAAGATTATCACTGTGACTTATACCGGGTCAACTACCTCAGTTACAACATTACCCTTTTCAAGTGGTGAAGGTAACACTAGAACGGTTGTTGTCGACGTTCCAGTTCCAACCACTACTATTACTAGCACTTGGAGTGGACTGGTCACTACTTCGATTACCCGCAGTGCCACTCCAGGGCAAACTGCAACAGTCATTGTTGAAGTACCATCGCCTGTTGTCACACGGACTACTGCATGGACAGGAACTATTACGACCACCACAACGGCCAGAGGAACTGATGGTACGAATACTGTTATCATCGAAACTCCTGTCCCAGCTACAACCTATACTACCCCTTGGACTGGTAACATCACCACCACAATCACAAAAACTGGTACCGACGGTACTAACACCGTGATCATTGAAACCCCAATTCCTACCACCACTGTCACCACTCCATGGACTGGCTCATTCACCACTACGTTGACCAGAACTGGTACTGATGGCACTAATACTTTAGTGATAGAAACTCCAGTTCCTACCACCACTGTCACTACTCCATGGACTGGTTC